CTAACACTACAAAATCAATACAAATACTATCCAAATTTCTACTAAATCCTGAATTAAAACATATAAATATAAATTATGCAATTTCTTTTTTATATAGCTTAAGGTAGATGATATCTAGCTATGGAATATTTAGGATATCCAAAAATCAATAATTTAGATTTAAAGTAATATTTATATTAGCTAGTAATACTGCATATATAAATAACCTAGATTAAAAAAGCTCCGAAGGCTATATATGCCTATTATTTAATAGACCTATTATTAGGTAGTAAAAAAGTAAAAAACAGTTACTACTTCTACTACTAAAGCTAAATTATTAGCTATTTTAAATGCAACCAAACAATTATATTAGTAGAAGCGACTATTTAAATTCTATGTAATAACTATTAAATAATTAATCTCTTAATCAAAGAAAATTTAATACTTAAAACAAAATTAAAGTATATTAATATCTAAAATTATTAGCTTTGGAAGGAGGTTTAAAATAAAAACCTAGATATTTAATAAATATCAAGTTAAAGGGTGCCTGCAGATAGTCTAACTAAATTATTATTAAGTTAGAACTATAAAAATTTTACTAAAGCCCTTATACGACATGCAAGATATTTTATTAAAAATTATTAAAAAATAAAGGGATTGTTTAATATACCTACTATATTAGCCTTAATATACCCATATATATTAAAAGCTGAGGGGGGTGTGTTAGAAATAAAAGCCCAATATATTAGGCACTAATTACTACTACAAAATATCAGCAAAACCATGGAAAAATTATAAGTTATAATTTATATCACAGAAAACTATAAAATATTTTAATCTATTTCTATAAGATTCTATAAGAAATTGATTGGCTATATAACTCTGTTAATTTTAAAGCAAGTCTTACCTAAACTTTAATACATATTTAATTACCCAAAAAGGAAACCAAAATGCGAATATAAAAGCAGGTCCTTGCAAGCAATTTTTATAATAATAAAACAAGCAATTTAATCTATTTATTCTTCAATATATTATTATTATAAGAATATAAGAATCTATTAATGATAGAACCTGACTATTTTCACACCCAGTATAACTATTTTCACACCTACTAGTCCCTTTTAGGATAGCTCAACATGTGACTATAATTCTGCTAGCTTTTTAAAAATTTAATAATATCTCTCCTACCTACGCACCTGGCTCCTTGCACCTGGCTCCTGGCTGGGGCTATTACCTCCCTGCTACCTCTGCAAAATATATATTATTTAAAAATAAAATAAAAACTAACTAATACTTATTTCCTATTCTAGACTAGTCTATACAAATTGGCTCGGCCTGGCTGCCTGGCTAACTACTACCACAGCCATAGTTATGTTTACTATTGTCAAGGGCTAAACCTCTATAACCTAATAACTAGGGTGGATACAAAAGGAATCGTCGAAGAGGAAAGAGAAGAGGAAACAGCGATGAGACGATTGCGAAGTAAGGGGGGGGAAGTCACATGATAGAGTGTACTAATCAATATACTAATCATGTGGCAGGCGAGGAGAAAGGAAACACGAGGGCTGAGGGCCCGAGTAGGCTGAGGGGCTCTAGCCCCTTACAACTATGTCTACTATGTCCACCTTATCTACCTTGCCTACTACCTTACTGCACCAGTTAGCCCTGGACCTCTATACTTATCTTAGTGATTTTAAATACTAAAAATCATAATTTGGATAATTTTTTGCACTATATAGCTGCCCGTGCGTCTGTATAATACTAGGTTTCAAATAAAAAGGCGGGGATTAACTAGCTTTTTTCTTTACAGCAGTGGCTTAATATACCACTACTTATAAAAATAGTTTGGAGATAATAATTGTCCTATATTCTATATATTTTTTATTATATAAATGCAAGGAATTCTAACTGCTTTTATAATAGCTCCTATATAGTCCTTTATCTCTCACTTTCCTAGACTAGGAGGAAGGTATTTTATAGTTGTATTTTATACCTTATTTAGTGCGTAGAATGATATATACCCTATATAGTTATATAAAAAAGGAATATAAAGCTATATAGGGTGTTAAATATAGTTATTTATAGTTTTTTAATATATTTTACTATATTAATCCTTTACTACCTGCTAAATTACCTAGACTATATATAAAATATAACCCCGCCTTAATTAAAGCTCTTGCTTAACTATATAATACGATTTCTTATTTCTTAAAATAGTAACCTGGTTAAAATACATATACTAGTTAATATAATAGCACAGAAATTACTTTATAGTAAAATACTAAAGCTATTTAGTATTAATATACTATAAAAGCTCTATAGAAATTAGATTATTATACTCCTGCTAAAAGTACCACTATTCTGCTCTATACTTAGTCTTTATAAAAGTTTATATAATATTAAGAAAAGGCATGTTATACTAGTTGGTCTTGTATATATAATTTATAAATAAAATATAGGGGTTTTCCTGCAGATTTTTAATACAGATTTAATATATACAAAATAAAAAAGTAATATAGTTTTTTTTATTAGTTTAATATTAAAAATACCAGCCTTTTTTCTCCAGTAAAGAGATAATTAACGCCTGGATAGGTATTTAACTAAATTTTTTTTATATTTAAATTTAAGATATCTCTTGCAAGAAGAGAACAAGAGGGATTCTTTTTATATAAATTAAACAGGATATAGTGGATAGGAGTTACCTTATTAATTTAAGCCTTTATCCACTGTATATTTTGTTAAAGCTTGTTTTACCAGTAAGCTGGACGCGCTCCTTTAAATAATAAAGCTATATAATTATACTTAGGATCCTATATATACAAGGACTGATTAAAAGTATTATTATAGCTAATTATAATATTAAATAGGCAATTAATACACCTGGAATTTAATTACTGTTGTGCTGGCTGGCTGGTAGGTGTTGTACATGTGTGTATATTTAGTAGAGATATGGTCTATGTGGCTGTCACAGAGGCAGGCAGACGGTCGAGCGGTCAGGTTAGCGTTGGAGCTATCCTAAAAGGGACTAGTGGGTGTGAAAATAGTTATACTGGGTGTGAAAATAGTCGGGTTCTAAAGATATTACTAATATTCACTATACCTTCCCCTACCGCCTCCCTCCGACAGGTATTTACATATAAATTTAATAATCGAGGATATCTGGCTAAATTTAAAGCTGGAATATGCGTTAAAGGCGATCTGCAAGTTTTAAATAATTTAAATACTAGGTAGTTACTCTAGTATCTAAGATAATAAGGACTTTATTAGCCCTAATAGCCGCATTTAACCCTAAATCTATGCAGTTTAACATAAGTAATACATTTTTAAATAGCTCTCTAGATAAGATTATTTATATTTATTACCCACCTGGATATGGATAGAAAGGCAAAATTTTAATAAAATTAAATAAAGCCTTATGTATTTTAAAAACGTTCGCTAGGGTCAGACCTTAATTATAAAGCTACTACGGCTTTCATTAATAACATTAGCAGAAAATGGGTCTAGCATAACTATAAATAACTATAATATCTAGGCTTAACCCAGCCAAGGCAGTCCAAATTCTGAAGTAAAATATTATAAATAATGCAAATCATTTGATTCCATATTTATATGGCATATTTAGCCATTGAATATTCTGCTGATAATAGCCCTAAAATTAAAGAGCTTTACTACTGGTACTACTTTTTAATTTTATACATTATTAGTATTTTTAAAATATTTAAGGCATATAATAACTAAAAATTAATAAATAAAAATTAATAACATAAATTTAAAAATGCAATATAATATTACAGCACAAGGTTAGACAAATAATTAGAGTATAATTTAATAACATCACTTGAACTTTCTCAGAATAGGTCATGTCTATATTATTTATAGGCAAAGAAGGGGCAGCAGAAAGCCGTCATGTGACTGCTACCACTTTGAATTGTAACAAACAAATATAGTGCCTTTAAAAGCCTTCGGAATTATTTAGGTACTATAGATAATAGTAAGACAGGTAAGTCAACAGCTCTATACAACCATCCTAACTGTGGGCGTTTACACTATTGGTCGGGTTCGTGACTTCACTTGCATAAAGGGGCCTAGGTGTCAGAATAGCCAGCTCCTAAATATATATATAGGTCAGACACCCTCCTAAACAGGCATAGTTGCATGTCAGAGTAGTCGGATTCTTTTCATATAATATTATGGATAATAGCTAGAGCTGTCTGGTATGGTACTTTCTCACCTTAGCCTTGTGTAGCAATACAGACAGATAAGGACTATTGCCGGTAGGGAATATCGAGCATACAATTATTCTTATCTATAGAAGGAACAGTGCCCAGTGCCCATGTGTTATTTACCAAATCATCAACTACAAAAGCTAAGCATAACCATGCAATACAAAAATGGCAGACTACGTTCGGCTCGAAAGATATTGTTCGGCTTGCAACGATCGGCCGTGGTGGACGGGGAAGTGCAATCGTCTTCATATTAAACTGCGTCTTAAACTGGATGACGGACCGCTGGAATCGGGGCGAGCGGAAAGGACGACAAATACTGGCGAGCAATAAAAAGCGGTCACTCGATGTTCGTTCGGCGATGGCTCGAGCTGCTGACCAGGATAAATAACACCGTAAATAAACCAAACTCAAAGCACGTAACCCATCAGAAGCGCAAATTCTCCCCTGAACAAATAAAAGGAGGGGAGGTTGAGGGGATGTAGGTGGAAGATTAATGTGGAAGAACAAGGGGAAAAAAAGAAAAGAGAAAGGGGTCAGATAATATCAGACCACAACTCGGGCATACCATCAATCCCCATGACCTCAACATTGAGAGGAAGAGTTGGGAAATTATGAATTGCATTTGTTTCCCGCATCTCTTCTTTCTCAACTCCCCCCCTCTTTCAGCTTTCCAACCCCTTTCCCCTTTCCCCCCTTCCCCTGGACTTTCTTTCCTTTTCCCTGTCTCTTCCTTGCGATGAAAAGGTAGCAGAAAACAAAGTGATTATTGCCTCAGTGAGCCTAAACTGGACCAACCTACTCAGCGGTATCAAGCTCGTCGTGAGCAGAAGTCATGGGGTCTAGAGGAACTGTCACAATTAATAACATGGATTTGCCTGGGAAGACAGAGCAGCATCATACCTTTCCTGTTATCTCCATTTGGTACAATTTCATTATCATCATCACGTCGCTCACGTTCGTCGTCCTGGCGTTCTCGGTCATCCTTCACTTCCCGTTCTCTCTCATCAGGGCTACGAGAACGGTCACGAGAACGGTCACGGTCTCGATCTCGTCGATCGTAATCACGGTCCCGTCGGTCGTGATCGCGCTCGCGTCGGTCGTAGTCGCGGTCGTGGCGATCATAGTCCCGGTCGTATCGATCATCCCTCCTGGGAGAGTAGTCGCTGCGACCCCGGCGAGGGGATGGAGAACGGCCACGGCGTGGAGGTGAACGGTCACGTCGGCGGTCACGGCCAGAATCAAACCGCCAAGAAGCAGATGGAGGGGTCCGAGCCCACTGGCATCAAGTTGAGCGGTTGTGTATAGGAAGGTTGGATAAAATTGATTGTGAAAGACTTACTTCAATCTTGAGCAAATCATCACGGCCAATTCGTTTATTATGCATCTCATGATATGCATCATCTGCATCACGACGGCTCTCATACTCCACGAAAGCAAACCTTTGGGGCGTTAGAATTCAATAATAGGATACGGGGGATGTGGAAACGCACAATCTGCTGGACGGAGTACGTGGTGCTGGTATGTCACATCGAACCAGACGGCCGTATCTGAGGCGGTGTTAGGATTAGCCTTGAAGCTTAAATGAATCGAGATGGCAAATCAATGGAGGGTCAGTATGGGTGTTCAAGGGCGCGTAGCTTGCAAGATGGATCACAGGGTTTGGGGGGAAATAAGAAAAAGTTAAATCATAAGGCTACGACGGGCAGTTCTCTTTTGGTCACAGGGGAGCGGTGTTCTGACATCGACATTGCGAATTTCATCCGAGGTATATGTTGCGAGGATAAAACCGGTTCGTCTGAATAGTAGCGTGTAGCAATCGACGAGCGGCACGTACCGTTCGAATTCGTAGGCAAGGTCGCGAGCTCGAGTTCCGTGCCCGAAACCGGTGACATATAATGTAGTGCCAGGACGAGACATTTTATGTGATGTTTGGGTGATCCAAAGTATACACCTGGTAGCTGGAGATATTCGGGGTACAAAGATGTGTGCCCTTGAAAGATACTAGGGGTTGGTGGGTGAAATAAAGTCAGATGCCGAAACCGTCTTGGGGACTTTGTAGGTAGTCTGAGAACTACAGTTGGCGAGATAGTCCATATGTGCATTATTTCTCTCAACCATTCAATATTATAAAATAGCTGGTTAAACCGCTCACATTTGGGCGATTTAGAAATCTGATGTTAAAACAACCTAATAACTAGTAATAGTAAGTTCACTGATGTAGAGATTTTGTGGCTCTATAACTTATTTTTATCATTGCCGTACGAGGATTTTGTGTTATTCCAGATTAAGTCGGCCAGTATTCTGTGTACCTGCACAGGCCCATACTAATAAATGTAGTCTGATAGCAAAGGTGTACCATTCATACATTGCTACTTAGTGATTTGAATAATTAGAAGGAGAGAAAAAGAGAAGTATAGTAGAACTAAATTTACCTTTGTCTATAGAGTAACAATGGGTTATGTATGATGCAAGGCGCTGAGTGTATGTATATAATATCCTGTAATTGCGATTTCCTTTCCCTTCTCTTAATTTGACACTCTAGAAAAAAAAAGAATCTATTAAGCCATCCAGGGTACGCTCGTGTAATACCTCCCCCCCAACACCAAACTGTCCATTTGGCTGGTCACTACCATATATAGATGGCACCACTCTTTTCGAGATCGCATTAAGGCACTCACTCCCGGGCTACTGAGCCTTTTCTGTATGTTAGATGCTATCCCCGACGGATCAATGTTTCTCAAACTGGCCATACAGCGGACCTGGCAAGTTTATGCGGGTCAACAAATCTTGCCTAGTAGAATATATTACTTCGTATGTAGTATTAAATCATAGAGCAACAATTAATACATGGGAGAGAAGGCTTAATATCTCAGTAAAGGTCTTCCATCATGTCCTCATCAGCATCATTCCCACGACCTGTTTCATCTCTCTGATTAATAGCTGAACTGTCAACCACCTTTTGATTCCTATGCATAAATTGAAAGTGTTCATTGCTGAAACCCATTTCTAGGTTACCTTGATTAATACAGTGCCCAATAGCGCCCAATAGCTGCCTCTCCCATGTTAACTCTGTTTGAACATGGCACTCCTGAAATATACAGGATTTACCCGACGGGGCAAAGCGAAGCATCGTGGAGTTTACATGTGCTGGCGCATGAACCAGCATGGCGCTTACTGTGGAAGACATAATAAGTGATGCCACAGTCGCCTCAACCCTTTTGGGAGATGCCGTGTGGGTGGTAGATTTCTGTTGTGCTACATCTGATATCCTGAGGGCGGAAAATGTTTTCCCTAGTTTCAACACCATATATTTATTGAAAGCCGGAACTAGCTGCAATACCAGGCCAGTGTTGTTGTCCTGAATGTCTGTCAGTATGGAAATATTGTGATATAATCCCCAATGCACCAGTTGGTAGATGCACATGACTCACAGTATGCCATATAGAGCGTGCCATTTCAATTTCCGCCCGAAGTCTTTCAAAATTACCCTGCTCGAATGCATCGGCTATGGAAATATATGGCCTCGCCAGGGCTTGGTATACTTTCATCACATGTGAAGAAATTGCCGGCGGAGGCGCTAGTACCTGGGAAAGTATTAATCTATCAACCTGCGACCTAGAGATGGTCTTTTGAGATAATACCTTTCCATATCCTAGCAGGCTTGCTAAAAGCCATTTCTTGTATGCCTCCACCATTATCCTGCTGACGGAGTTGGTGACAGGGGAGGAAATGACTATACCCAACCAGTGAAGGGCCTTATCCCACTTTTTGAGGAAAATATAAACCATTGCACCATAGAGAAAATATTGAAGGTGATCTCTATGAGTTAATATCGAAGAAAACCCAGATGTATCAGTGATGAATGCCGTGTTACATTCATGATCGGCACACAGATAAGGTTGATGGTATTTCTGATAACCTTGGCTCATAGCATTGGGTAAGTGGTATATTTGCCGATCAAGAATGGGAAGTGCATAGCTGTACGATTTTGAAAGAATGGAAAGTCTTATAAATAGGAGGTGTACTGATGTGAAAACCTCAGACGAGTCAAGTCTGATTATGGAGTCCCTTATCACTGAAGCTGCTAAAAGTGGCTTTTGGGAGTCAGCGAGATGACAATAAGTTGGAGGAGGGGGACATATTAATTATATGTGATGTACCTTCGAGTCTGCCTGCGCAGCTTGCGAAACAAGTTCAACAAGCTGTCGCCATTCCAAACCAGCGTATCGAATTTGGATCGCATCAAAGCTCCTCAGGAAATGGACAGCCTTGGACCACAGGCCGCCGCCTGGAAGTATGCCACCAGGCAACCGATTTTTAGTTTTCCTCTGTATAGATTGAATATGGAAATTAAGGACAAAAAGGTAAGATAGACTGTGGATTGAAGGATCAAGACTCTGTTAAACACTTATGTAAGCTAGCAGTTTCTCAATGCCATGTGAAGACATATGTTTATTCATTTTCGTTACAGGGTAGTTGCTTACATCCAAGAGATAGTCACTAACAGGTGCGATAGCAGAAGCACTGCTGGGTTGCTTAAGAAAAGCAATTAAATCGTAAATTTGCTGATTGTATGTTTCATCACGGGATGTTGAATCAATCAAGCGAGGTGATACTGAAGTTAGGCGTGGAAGAAACTCGGCCATTTTATGTCTCTTTTTTTTATTTTTTGGGGGGTCGTATGTAAGATCGTAACTATAGATCAGCCAACAACCTAGGTAGAAAATCCAGAAAGAAGACACGAGTTTGTAGTAGATGAAAGCACCCCCGCATGTAGAGATCCGAGTCTCTGTATGAAGAAGACGGAGAGTACGGAGCACGGACCGATTGTTGGAGGCAGGATTATGTACGAAACTTACGGGCATCTAGTCCCTTATGCAATCCTATTACTTCGTAGTAGGTTGGTAATCTGTCGGTAAGCTGTAATTTGTGGTACGTTATGTATTTATTACCTCAGGGAAGAGGCATCTAACCATATGGAGTACTTTTGTTTGATTATTACTATTTTTAACATTGGGAATCTTGGCCTTAGTAATAATATTACAACTACTTGTTACCTGTGCCGAAACGCAACCAACACATAGCATCTCAATACCAAAATACGCTGCAATCAGAATATTACATATACTCCCACTTATCCTGTTTTATTATATCTCCATTTCCCTACAGCTTCTTTTCTCTTCCTTACGCCTCCCCCCACTTTCCTGGCACTTTTCTAGTTCCTCATAAAATGCCAGTCTAAATGAAAACCTGGATATCCCTATGGTTGATACATTGAGCCATTGACTCGATGTTTTGCAAGAGAATTTCGTTCCAATTCAATCAAGATCGGGGTTGTTCTTATACCTAATAGGCCTCGATAACTTAAAGCTCGTTCGGCTTAGGAAATTATCTCCCCTATTACCCCCACTGTGGCCCAGTACGTTGCTCCAGGGGCTCCAGTTTCTTGAGGTCATTATTTGTATCTTCTGCAAATCAGAATGAGCCTAGACCGCCAGAAATCAAGTCGACAAAATGAATCGACAAGTTCCGATAAAATGACTAGTATATCTCAATTTTCGCGGTCAACTGATCCGACGAAGGTAGGAAAACTTGCTGTACATTCAATAAATGAATTCTTAATGTTCTCAGGATACTGCATTCGTCGGCGAGATCAGAAGTAGGATAGCGGACCCTGTTATTGCCGCTTTTATCGCAGGCGGCGTGGCAGGTGCTGTATCCAGGACAATCGTGTCACCCCTCGAACGTTTAAAGATCTTACTTCAGATACAGAGTGTTGGCAGGGAGGAATACAAACTATCGATATGGAAAGCGCTTGTGAAGATAGGACGAGAGGAGGGCTGGAAAGGATACATGCGAGGAAATGGCACAAATTGCATTCGCATCATTCCTTACTCTGCGGTTCAATTTGGCAGTTATAACTTCTACAGAAAAGTACGTTGGTTGTGCGATGTAGTCCCGTATGGAAGCCAGCTATTTTCATGAAGAATGCTATGTCCATGGACTCGCTTCTCCTTTTGTCGCTTTTTGGCCCCCAGGATTGCTAATATTCGAAGTTCGCTGAACCGTCGCCGGGTGCTGATTTATCTCCAATGAGTCGACTCATCTGTGGAGGGGCTGCCGGAATTACTTCAGTCACCGTGACATATCCCCTTGACATTGTTCGGACGCGACTGTCTATCCAGTCAGCCTCGTTTGTCGCTCTCGGCCAACGTGATGCCAACGAGAAGCTTCCGGGCATGTTCAAAAGCATCGTCCTGATCTACAGGAATGAGGGTGGCGTTATTGCACTTTACCGCGGTATAATCCCAACAGTTGCTGGTGTTGCTCCATACGTAAGTTTGGAAGAAGATGATCACCGCAAACCTTAGCTGAACTTTTCAAGGTTGGTTTGAATTTTATGACATATGAATCTGTCAGAACATTTTTAACGCCTGAGGGCGAGAAGACCCCTAATGCTTTGCGCAAATTAGTGGCTGGTGCAATCTCAGGAGCAGTGGCACAAACTTGCACTTACCCATTGTAAGGTTACCTCTACTCGGGTTTCCGAAGTTTATTCGCGAAGAGTTAAATTGACAACATTCTAGTGATGTCCTGCGACGGCGTTTCCAGATAAATACCATGTCGGGGATTGGGTATAAGTATACATCCATCTGGGATGCGGTGAAAGTTATTGTAGCCGAAGAAGGGCTACGTGGGCTCTTCAAAGGCATTGTTCCCAATCTTCTCAAAGTGGCACCCAGTATGGCTAGTAGTTGGCTCAGCTTTGAGTTGACAAGGGATTTCCTTGTGGGTTTAGAAGATAACTGATACCCTGACCTCGAATTATTCATATACATCCATTCCACTTCGTGTGTGAAGTAACTTGATTGCAAGGAGCCATGCCATTTGTATTTCCCGGATGCTACATACCCTAGTCCACTGGGGCAAGTAAGACTACAGGTTATAGCTGGTTCAATATAGTACAGTGGTCAATGTGGTAGCTTTGGGAGCAAACATTTGGGAGGGGGAAGCTGTGGTGCATTCTCATTATTGTGTTTTATAGTGATATGAAAGCGGTTTTATTTTAGAGTATATATATGCTGACCTATGCACAGTCAACGCTCTGGGTGGTTACCAGTTTTCTTAAATACTGTATTAAAATGCATCTTCACTATGCTTCATTGTTGATACAGAGGAAACCGTATCCTCTTGTCCATTGAAGAATATTGTGGCATCTCGACAGAAAGCCAACGGCATAATATCTACCATATTATTAATTAGCGTGAGCTTCAATAAAAAATTATCTGTACAAACCATGCATCAAATTAATCCCAGTTTGCGACCTTGTAAGGCGCCTGGTATTTTTTGATGTACTATACCAGAAGCCCTCTGCAGTCTGCACAGCCCATGACAAACTAGATAAGTACGTAACCGGCATGTGCCATCTGTATTCTATACAAAATGGCTGGTTTGATACTCTGAAATCTCAATAACCAGAAAGTTCATATGAATATTAAGCGGTAATCATATATAGCAATATTATTTATTTTCTAGAAAGTTTTATTATTTTTTCTAGTTTTAAATATCCGAAAGTATAGGATACAAAAAAATACAGTTGTAATTTATCTTTGCTAAAAGTCCCTAACCTTTAGGAGCTGCCTATCTAATATATATAAGTATAGTATATTATTACTATATTATCCAACTTTTAAGCTCTCGCGACACTCTGTGGTTGAGATTTCAGAGTATCAAAAACAGCCATTTTATTGCCACTCAGTCTGAAGGCCACTCGCTTACCGAATTATACATCAACCAGTCACTACATATTGCTAAATTCTGATATATAGGTGTGTCATACCCGTCTCCTCCAGCTCACCGCCCGGCAGACCCTGTGAGCTGGAGGAGACGGGTAGCCATTTCCAATGATTTTCTGATGTCGACTATATTTTACAAAATTTACAGTATTTAACAATATTTTTATATGGATAGTACTATCTAAGAAACGGTAATTTAAATACTGACTGGTGGGCCATGGCTGTCGAACTAGTTGTGAATGGCTACAGTGATTTCAGAAATTTAGCAATATGCAGGCTGGAGACTATACAATATAATCGTATAACTATGTACTACTAAAAGATTCAACTCTCCAGAGCTGGATAATGTCCCAGCAGGTCAACATATGCTAAGCGGCTGAGGCAAAACAGATCTAAACAGTCAGCATATTAGTTTCTTATAAGTATTGTGACAGTCTTTACCCACTGCAAAAATTGAAACCCCTATATAAGGCAACATCAATAGGCAAGTATAGGGAACAGAATATGCTGTATGAAGTAAAATTTATTTCTTATGTTAGGTGTCCAACTCAAGCAAAAGTATGGAATACCAGCCAAGGCGGTGGACAGGGTGGAGACACTTCAATTACAAATTGAGCGCTATTCTATATTAGTACTGGGCTAGGGCTCAACCCGCACACACTGTCTATCTGAAATTTGTAGACTAAAACCCTCACAAGCTTCACTTTGCATACGGGTGCGACAGCCAGCCAACTCCCAGGTGTCCTGTTAGATTCAGCAGCAATGGGTATGTTTACAGATCTGGGCCTCCACATATATCTGCGGGTTATTTTCATCTGAAAATGATATAACGGACAGAAGATGCTATATATTTGTATATGAATTCGCTAACATTATCATAGGTATCGACTTGGATCGCCACCATGTGCGCAGCACCCATCGCAAGGCGCCTAAGAGCGAGAATGTTTATTTGCAAGTCTTGGTGAAGCTTTATCGCTTCCTCGCCCGTATGGATTAGCGGTCCCTTCAGCACAATTGAATTCATGGCCGTGGCATGGAAACTGATTGAAGTCTTTCTTCCCTAGGTCGCACGGATGCCAACTTCAATAAGGTCGTTCTGCGTCGCCTGTTTATGTCGAGAATCAACCGTCCACCGGTTTCGCTTTCCCGCATTGCCTCCAACCTTGCCGATGCGCATAAGGGCAAAACTGTTGTCGTCATTGGCACAGTCACAGACGATAACCGCCTCTTGAATGTCCCAAAACTGTCTGTGGCCGCGTTGCGCTTTACTGCTACGGCCAGGGCCAGGATTGAAAAGGCTGGGGGTGAGACGTTAACTTTGGACCAGCTCGCGTTGCGGGCTCCTACCGGAGCGAACACATTGTTGTTGCGTGGACCTAAGAACGCTCGTGAGGCTGTGAAGCATTTTGGGTTCGGTCCCCATAGCCACAAGGTAGGATGTTTCAAACCCTTCGATGAACTGAAATACCAATAATGGACTCTAACACGAAACAGAAACCCTACGTGCGTAGCAAGGGGCGTAAGTTTGAAAGAGCTCGTGGACGGAGAAGGTCTCGTGGATTCAAGGTCTGATGGGGCCTAATTGCATTGCATGTCTTGTAACTAGGGCGGAGTCGCTAGTTACTAGTTGATGAAAATTGTGTGCAGATATCCTGCCCAGTGCTTTTGCATCTATTTTAAATCCTGCTACCTAGAACAATGTAGCTTCTAGGCTGTGTCAGAATTAAATTTGAACTTCAAGGTAATTACGTCAAGCAATTAACTAGAAAGAGCTCCGCCAACTGCTGTATAAAAGTGAATCTCAATACGTCATTATTACTATACAGATAGGGGCTTATGCTTATATACTCTGCCTCCATGATCTTCAGAATAGTCAGAAGCTCGATGCCCTGCTCCCCGCAACAGATATTTATAGATGGTTAACCCATCCAACCCCACAGGTCCCCTTGAGTGGATTTTGTTTGTGCTGATACCGACCTCGGTACCAAACCCATACCTCATACCGTCCGCGAATCTAGTTGATGCATTCCAGAAAACGCCCGCACTGTCCACACCTTTCATAAAAGCCTCTGCAACAGTCTGTGACCTAGTCACGATCACATCAGTGTGTCCTGACGAATGCGAATTAATATGAGCAATAGCGTTTTCGAGTGCAGAACATTCAGGCGTCGAAGTGACAGTCTTGACAGCTAAAACAAGATCTAGGAATTCAGTTTGATAATCTGGGTCAACTGCATCTTGAAGTAATTCTAGTGGGGCGTTCGTTAAACCCTTCGCCAGTGCATTCTTGCTTGGCACATCACATCGAAGGCAGACCCCCTTGGAGAAAAGAGCTTTAGCGAGAACAGGAAAAATACTCCCAAGGGCGTCTTCGTGAACCAGTAGGGTTTCCAAAGAGTTGCATGCAGCTGGATAATCAGTTTTGGAATCCACGACGACTTTTACGGCAATTTCTGGGTCTGCATCGGAATGAAGATATGCAGAACAAACACCGTCAGCGTGGCCGAGTACTGGAATCTTCGTATTATCCTTAACAAATCGAACAAGTTCATTTGAGCCTCGGGGTATCACAAGGTCAATGAATGTGTCTTGCGCGAGTAGTGACCAGACAATATCTCGAGCCTTCACAAGCTGTATGGATGATTTGGGTACTTTGGTATTGGATAGAGCTTCTGATATAACGTTTGAGATGGCAATAAATGATTCAGTAGACTCTTTCCCGCCTTCTGTATGTCAGTACGAGCACGAAGGGAGTGGAGCGAAATTTTGCGTACCTTTGAGAATTGCCGAATTCCCGGACTTGATGGCTAAAGCAGCTATATTCGCAATGACCTCGGGACGAGCCTCAAATATTACAAGCAAAACCCCGATGGGGCAGCTCACTCGTTCGAGAACGAGATTATCATCCAATAGAGTTCTGAGTGTCACTTTTCCGACTTCAGACTGTTAGTAAATGCATTCAAACTTGTCTAGCATACCTACTTGGGTCTTCTAAATTTCGAACGCTCAATATACCCTTCAGCATGTCATCATACTTTCCAGGTTTCGACAAATCTAGTCTTTTCAAAACACTATGGCTAAGGTCACCATTCTCGGCTGCTCGGCTCGCTACTTCAAGATCCTTTGCATTCGCCTCCAGGATAGCACTTTTACTTCTAAGAAGTGCATCGTGGAGAGCCGCGAGAGCCTCATTTCGCTCATTATCAACTAAAATTGATAGGTACCGAGATGCTGAGGACGCAGCCGTTGCTATTTCGACAGCGGAGAATTCAGTGAGTGACATTTTATATAACCCTAGCAAAATTCGGACAAAGTGCAGTCGTAGAGTGCCAGTATGGTAGGTGTTTAGTGTTCGAGTGGGGGAGCAGCTTCGAAACTCTGATTTTTCTTTTAGGCTTTATTAGTTCAAGTTGTCACCTGTGACGCTAGGCAGTAGTAAAAGTGGGTCGGACTACTGCAGTACTCCATGCGCTCTGCCCACGGACAACAAAAAGTAATATTAAACAGGTACCTACAGTGTAAATCACACCCTCTTGTGAACCACTTTTGGAACAGGTCGGGCAATGCTTTAAATTATACGGAGTACTCTGTACATTCTTTGTGTGCTGGAGAATAGGTATACTACACAAAAAGCAGGCCTTGAAAGCCTAAGACTATGCTTCTCATAGTGTGCATTTAGATATCCCTTTAAATATATATATTATTTAGTAAATGAATTAAAATCTAAAGCATCAGAAACATACAACATTGTTTTTAACCTTCTTATGGGAGGCCAACCCCTATCTCTGGGTAGTTGTGTGTTTGCCAGTGTGCTTGAAAGCCAGGGTATAAGTAGATAAATAGCACTGGGCCTGGCCAGCGAACCGTCTATTTAGGCCTACCTGGTCGCAAATGGAGTAGGGACTACGTAGCCCTGAGCTGAGCTTTCCAGTCAAGGAATACTAGTACTAATTATAATAGCCACACTCCCAATCTTAATTATATAGGACGACTGGGGAAAGTTGAGTGGGGTAAATTATAATGTACCTACATAAACTAGTTCTAGACAGTAACACACCTGCATATCGCTTTTTTATCATAAGTGCTCTGTATTTGCTGAAGGATGCAGCTCCCCCAAACTAAGGGCAGGTTATCTACGGTCCACTGAGTATTACCTAGGTCCAAGTTTACCATCTGACATGGTAGGTAGGTAACCTATAAAGTAAACATAATAGCTATTCTGTGCATTTACATGCCATGCAAAAACATTAACATTAACTCTCTGGCTTCCATTAAAAACCATAGGATTTCTGGACTGTGTGTATCAGCCCCATATCTATTCAATGGAGGTGCTAGACAAGCTTGTTATATTATTTTCCAACTCCTGGAAATAAAAGAACTTAAAAAGGGGCTAAAATGGTAATTAAAGAGGCTCCGGAGTATGGACCTATACAGAGTACATATGTATGTATTATGTATTTGGCTACAGTAGAAGGATGGAAGGCTGCCAGATACCAGGCAGTACCTAGTACGGAGTACCATGTGTTCAAACACCCAGTGGGCCCGCTCCCTTATGAGCACTTTACTTCCATAGGGCAATACCTGCCCATACAGAGTACGCGTTCCCCCATATGCACTAGTACCTTGTATGGAGTAACCTTGCTAATATGAGGGGTACTTGATTCGACTTACTTCGCTTCTCTTCTTTAATTTCGAAACCACCAAAGAGCTTTCTGACTTTACCCAGATTGGCACCACACCCATATTACAACTTTAGCTATCATTTTTGATCTATTGTGTTTTTAGTGGAGGTTGCCTCCCTATTTCCTTGTCCCACCTGGTTTGGGCAAAAGTCGCCTCATACAGAGATATTAGTTGTCTAGGTTGGAACAGAAGAAAATGAATGTGCTCAGACTTCAACGGTTAGTTATACTCTACTTGTGCCTCCCTCATTCGGCTTGTCATTATCTTTATGCCATATACTGGATACTGTTCTGAGTTCAGTTCACACAGAAAGTTTCCACAATTTGAGCAAGGGGAAATATTTTCCCTCCAAGATGCATTTAGGAAGTTAGACATCGACGAGAAGGGGTATGTGGATGAAACAACTGTGATTAAGTCAGCTCAACAATCAGAACGTCAACCGTACGACATCGTACGCCAAGCGCTGAAGGAGGTCGAACTCGACAGTTCTCGTCGAGTCGAGTTTGAAGACTATGTGGATGTCAGTTTGCTATTATAATATACGTGGCCTTGGAAAAGCAGCTAAAAGCAGCCACAGCTCATCTCTAAACTTCGTGCAACTCCGGGGCAAGGAAGATCCGGCGATACCTCAACCACCGCTGTTTTACCTGGAAACGGAACTGGCTCTCGTCATGTCTCGAAAGGCAGCATCGGGGGTAAAATCCATGTGCAAGGATCTTCCGCAAATGTCACACATACGATCAACGAGGACGAAAGAACCGAGTTCACGAGACACATAAATGCTGTCCTTGCTGGCGACCCAGACATTGGTCAAGCCTTACCTTTCCCCACAGACACTTTTGAGATGTTCGACAAATGCAAAGATGGCTTGGTTTTGGCAAAATTAATCAATGACAGTGTACCTGATACCATTGATGAGCGTGTCTTGAATAAGAGTGGGAAGAAGATAAAGGAGCTTAACGCCTTCCACATGACTGAAAATAATAATATTGTGATTAACTCGGCGAAGGGTATTGGTTGCTCTGTCGTGAACATTGGAAGCGGTGATATCATAGAAGTACGAGAGCACCTGATCCTAGGTCTAATCTGGCAGATCATCCGCCGAGGCCTCCTTGGCAAGATCGACATAAAACTCCATCCTGAATTATATAGACTCCTGGAAGATGATGAAACTTTGGAGCAATTCCTCCGTCTCCCTCCGGAGCAGATACTACTGCGCTGGTTCAACTACCATCTAAGCAATGCAAAGTGGAATAGAAGGTATGTGGTTCTCTATTATATTTCAATCCGCTATCTTCCCTCTCAGTCCTTGCTCTATCTATAAAGGATTGGTCTTTGGAGCAGGCGTATCAAATACTATTGGTGGTGAGAAGTATAGACCGTGCTGATTTATTACTGTGACAGAGTCACCAACTTTTCCGCTGATGTAAAGGATGGTGAAAACTATGCAGTTCTTCTTAACCAACTGGCACCTGACATCTGTTCGCGTGGTCCTCTGCAGACCAAGGACCTGCTCCAACGAGCCGAACAGGTCTTGGACAATGCAGATAGGCTGGGATGTCGAAAGTTCTTGACGCCTACCTCCCTTGTGGCCGGGAACCCAAAACTCAACCTTGCGTTTGTGGCTAATCTGTTTAATACGATTCCTGGCCTTGACCCAATAACCGAGGAGGAAAAGCTCGAGGTTGAAGATTTCGATGCTGAAGGGGAACGGGAGGCTAGAGTATTCACCCTTTGGCTGAATTCCCTGGATGTTCAACCCACAGTCAACTCTTTGTTTGACGACCTTCGGGATGGGACCGTTTTGCTGCAGGCATACGATAAGGTCATCCCTGGCACTGTTAATTGGAGACACGTTAACAAGCCACCGGTCTCAGGTGGTGAGATGTTGCGATTTAAGGCCGTTGAGAACACAAACTATGCTACTGAGCTTGGAAAACATATCGGTTTCTCTCTTGTCGGCGTTCAGGGGGCAGATATCACCGATGGCCAGCGCACCCTTACACTAGGACTTGTATGGCAGTTGATGCGAAGGGATATCACAAACACCCTCTTGGGCTTAGCACAGCGGATGGGCAAGCGTGAAATTACAGATTCTGAAATGATTCGATGGGCAAATGACATGTCACAAAAAGGAGGCCGAAATTCGTCCATTCGCAGCTTTAAGGATCAGTCCATTGGATCTGGTATATTCCTTCTTGACGTGCTTAATGGCATGAAAAGTAGCTATGTGGATTACGAACTCGTAACTCTGGGCCGGACAGATGAGGAAGCCTATGCAAATGCTAAATTAAGCATCAGCATAGCACGAAAGCTGGGCGCAACTATCTGGTTGGTACCTGAGGATATCTGCCAGGTTCGATCTCGTCTGGTAACCACGTTCATTGGTGAGTTTACCCTTTTATGCAATGAAGGTAGATGGGCTAACGCCGGCGTTCTTACAAAAAAAAAGGCTCTCTTATGGCGACGCATGAGAAAATGTAGTAATTACCTAAGTTAGTGTTAAACTAGCACGTCCCAACATGCCTTGGTATGCTCAGTTACATTATTACTATCCATGTCCTTCGGCCTTTTCCTTGCCATTTTAAGAGCATCACCGTTTCATTTGAATTTGTTTACTCTTAAAAATGCATGGGCCTGATGTGAAATGCAGATATGCACAAGGAGTTTTCAACACTCGGAAAAACTTTAACAATTCACGACTATTTAAGTAGTTGTAGTAATAGTGGTGGTGTTGTCGGTAGTACTGCTACTTCATGTTATGAACGCGCTTCTATTCCAATTCTCCACTGGGGGCCTTTAGGTTGTTATATTCCTTTCCTCTGTGTTCGTTTTATAGCTATTTAGTAAATTAATATCTATACTTTATTTCTTCTAGAGGAATAGTTCCTAAGGTTATGAACAAACAGTATTATTTCTTGTTTTAGTAGACTAAGTCTCTAGGTAGTTATAACCAGTTGGTGGTGCAATGGTAGATGTGGTAATTCTTACGCTGTATAGTTATTTTTATCTACTTATTAATTACATAACTGTCTAATATCAGAACTAATATGGCCACGTATGGAGGAAGAAGGTACTTGAATTACTATCTAAAGGAGAAAACGCGAGCTCTATTTATATCTTTATATAACCACATAATTAGACACTAGACTTTAATATACCCCCCAGCCTGGCCGCCTTAAAGCCAGAATCTGCTGATACCCCAGAGGAGGCTCGGACTACGAGATTTGGAAATAAGCCTGATGAGACATACCCGCCATACGTAGCCCTCACCGCTTGGAAATCCTCCATCTAAGAATATATTCAAATTGTAATAACTCGTGCCATAGCTGCCAAAACTTTCTAATCAATGCCCCAGGGAAGCCACAATTGCTCAAGGACAATGTCACACTCTTGTGTCTCTGGAAGCACGGATGCCCAGTTTAGCACTGGCGAGCAGGACACTCTACAATGGTCCAAAGGTGAAGATCACACAGTTACCCACACGCACCGCCTTAGTTTTCACCGTTACCCTAATGACTGCCCCCTGCCGAAAGTAAGGTGGTTTTATGCTGTGGACTCCCCCAAGCGGAAATCAATGCTATGGGATCGAGAGAATAAGGATACAAAACCACTGCCACCGCCAAAAAAATTTGTTCCCTTTTCCTCCAGGGACTCTCAGGCGATAGAAGCCGCATTTCAGAAATTGTCTGACATCGAAAATGCGTGTGAGCACCCCAGTTATACCTACAAATGTGGACAGACGCAACGCAATTCTATCAAGGTAGCTGTCAACGAGGACTGTCTTTTCGATGTCGACGTGGAGAAGAGAGAGCTGAGCCCGGCATACTGGGCAGGCCCTGTTTACGAAGTTCGTCGCGGTACGTGGTTCCTCCAAGAAGGGTCCGCGATTAAACCCTGCGAGGAGAATTTAGCCTCTCAACTGGAGGAAGGCTACCTCAAGGTCAAACCATGGCGCGTCGAGGATCTCCTAGGCTCTTCTGCGCGGCCTTCCTCGGCCATGGGCTTCCAAGCCATAGGTGAATTTTACAATACGAGAAGGAACAGTAGCGTTTAGACTGATATTTTTACTAGCGCCTAATACTCCACGCAGTCGTACTGAAGATACTACGAATATAGCCCCTGCAGCAGGCGGTGGGTGTCAAAAGTATCGCCTTTTTGGTGCTTATATGAATAGCATAGTGACTTATGTGGATCAATCAACAGCAGTGTTGACAAATGATGACTTCATGTCGCGTATGAGCACCACTGTGTACCAGAAGCTGGGTGGTGTCCCGGGCACAAGAGTGATACGTGGGTTTGCTGAAACAAAGAAGGGAAAAGACGCGCGGAAACCAACGGGACAGGCCTTGCATAGGCCCTCAGAAGTACGGATTAATGCCTCAGAAAGCAGTGCATATAACTTCCTGAAACCTGATTCACAGCGTGATATCGCTGCTGAGACAATTTCAAAGCCAGCGCTGGAAAGGCAACTGTCCTCTTTGGCTGACGGTGCAAAGAATGAGCCCGAACTTGAAGAACAAGCATATGGACAGGAGGAGGAGGAGATGGAGGATTCTCGAGAAGCTGATAACGATGATAGGGAGCGGGAGATCGATCACCTTGTTCTCGTCACACATGGCATCGGCCAGCGTCTTGGACTACGGCTAGAGAGTATCAATTTCATACACGATGTGAATGTCTTGCGGAAAACTATGAAGAGTGTTTATAAAGCCTCATCTGACCTCCAAGCCCTTAATTCCGCCTTTCCAGACGAGCAGACGAACTGTCGGGTCCAAGTACTTCCTGTGTAAGTGGATATTATCACACCGTAGACTCTGTTGTATACTTCTAGTACCCACGAGCTGATACTAGAAATGTGCATTGCTAAATCCCTATAGATGTTGGAGGCACTTAATTGACTTCCCGTATCGAGCGGTGAAACAGCCCCGTAAAGAGTTTGACCTCGCCGACGCGGATTTCGTTGAGGATGACCAATTTCCAAGCTTGGCCGATATTACATTGGACAATGTACCGGCAGTTCGAAACCTGATTTCAGATTTGGCGATGGATGTGCTTCTATATCAAAGCGCGTATTGTGAGCATATCTCCAACATTGTCAGTCAAGAAAGCAACCGAATCCTCAAGCTCTTTAAAGAACGCAACCCGTCCTTTAAAGGGTCTGTCAGCTTTTGTGGTCATTCACTGGGCAGTGCCATTCTTTTTGATATCCTTTGCTCTGAGCAGCTTGGCAGTGGCCTTCGGCACGATCATACTACCCCATCAAAGAAACCAGAACAGCAGCAGCTGGATTTTGATTGTGAAGAACTCTTTTGTCTTGGTTCGCCTATTGCACTCTTTCAGATGCTTAAAGGGAACACTATTGCTGGGCGGTCTACATTACACGCCAGCAGAGCTACAAAATCGTTCTATTCAGAGGGACGAACAGAAGGTATTTATTTGCAATGAATCCTTTCTGGGTACAAGTTTATTCATATTACCGCAGGAATTTCTTATAGTGGTGGTTCAACTTTGGTGTCTTCTCCGAAGTGCCGTCGACTCTATAATATTTTCCACCCCTCTGATCCGGTCAGCTACCGAATAGAGCCCCTTATATCACCAGCAATGACATCACTCAGGCCACAGCCTTTACCTTCGGTGAAAAGGAGCCTTTGGACAAGCTCCGGGCAAAGTCTTTCCATCATAGGCAGTCGTGTGGGGCAAAGTGTTGGATCTTTGTGGAATAACTTTACTTCTGGTGTTGCCAGTAGCCTGCTCAACCGCAGTCTTGGTCTTGGTTCGGACGACGCCACGAATCAGCCTTCATCCTCTGGCACTTTTCAATCCCAACAGTCACAATTGTCGCCAAATACAGATAGTGGTATTCCTCGTCGAGACCAGCATCTTACACTTATAGAATCGAATTTGGAGACGCTTTATGAAGGGTTCCAGAAGTCCAGGCGGGAATGCAGAGATGTCTCTTCGGAGTCCAAGGGCGGTATCTCTGGCGAATATGATGAATTTGGTGATCATATGAGAAAAATACGATTAGAAGATGCAAAGGTGAGGGCATTGAACTCTAGTGGGCGTGTTGATTATAGTATCCAGGAGTAAGATTCCCTTTTTGATTATTACTTGGGTTAATCAGTCATATTAACTGTCAGTGTTAATAGAGGAGCATTCGACATATCATTGATAGCCAGCATTGCTAGTCACCTAACATATTGGGCAGATGAGGACGTCAATCATTTCATGCTATCTCAGATGCTATCTAGGAGAAATCCACCTCGAAGTAACTAACAATGTAGACATCTTTTATCCTTTTAATTTTTGTGACAATTCTAAGGGTATTATTGGCTGGGTCTTCTATCAGGTGGTTTAATGAGCTAGGGACTTTGTAGTAGCTGTGTGTGATTGTTATCAACCTGTACTATTTAATGTTAATATATATTATACAAATACACGGGTACCTAGGCTATAATATACTTATGTTACAGGGAAATATTGAGAAGGTCACATTCTTACATTTCCGAGGGAACATATGAAACTGGAGACGTGAACTACTAACTGTAAAGATAGTGAGTTAACTAGGTACCTATGTGGCCCGTATTTTTTAAATAAAAGTGATGGTGCTACAGCGAAATTGATATGAACCCAGAACTATCCATATTATATAATCAGAAACAGAGGTGTTCCATTTATAGCTAGTAACTGTATCTCCCCCAAAGAGTCCGAGGCGCCTCTTAGTTCGCATTTTATTCGTTGGACGCTGCAAGTACCCTAAAATCTATCCTGCTTGAAGCACCCTTAAATCGCAGCCTGGCTCGACCAAAAACCCTTTATAATCAACCCAACCTTACTGTGGCTAATGACTATTTTGCGGGCTCAATAACTATGGATGCCATGAACGAGGCACCTGCTTCCTCACAATCTTGTGGATCTGAACGTAGCATGGAAGCACTTGATAGAAGCTCTACGCCGAGGCATTGTACCAGTGAAGGCTACAGGAGCGATACCGGTTCGACACAAACAAGAGAGCTTATAGACTTAATGATCCAACACCTTTCAGCCTCCAGCAATGAAGCTCTACTATGCCTTTTCATCTGCCTAATGGGTGCAACATATGCTCTACTGGGAAGATTCGGCTTGGTCCTAATTGGACTCTTGAGTGGCATTTTTCTACACTCTTCGTGGGAGGGGCTGAACAATGGAGACTCGCCGAACCCCCACAGGAGGAGAGAGCTTTCATTAAATATAGCCAACAAATTACTCGATTGGAGCAAACGCAACCATACTGAAACAGGGCCTGGGCCCGACGACTTCGGGCAGCACTTCAACGAGGACATACATGATCTTATGCCCGGTTATTCATCTTTCGGCCCCGAGACAGCGGCCGCTCTGAATACATTGACTGAAGCGATAATTAGAGATTACGTGAAGTAAGCAATTCGCGTTATATGTCACATCATGAGCTTACCAGGAACGAAGCCATTGGTATGAGCCGATTCTACCTTCTGAGACGACTTTCCCTCATTCCTGCAGGAGCGTTTTAACTGCCTTTGTCACAGCCGTTGCATTGCATCTCGCACGTAAACGGACAGCAGACACTTTCCTCGAGTTTCTGACAAACTCTTCCTCTATGATAATCGTGTTTCTTAGTGAACTATCCACCGCCTTTGAGATTGCTGGGCCCTCTACAAAGCCGGAAGAGGCCATTCAGCGTTACCTTGAACTTTATCGGGAGAGCAGTTTAGCGAATGTTCTATCGACTCATCAACAGCAGAAGAAACTTAATATTATCGCCGATGATATCTTATCCAATTTCCTGGATTCGACAGCTTACGCCTGCCCTCCTCTTAGGAGCTTCCTTCGAGAAATACTATCTGGTATTGTTCTTGAATCCACCATATCCAATCTGTCCAGGCCTGAGACTATAAACAGTTGGATAATTTATTTGCTTAGCGAAGGCGAGTCGGGAATAATGAGCGCAATCGATGCTGGTGTTGAAGGTGCCCGCAACGATGGGGTAACTACAGCGAGCCGCTGCCATATGGACACATCTCTGACAACTTCGTTTGATAGCTTTGATTTGAAGTCGAAGTCTCCCATTAAGGCTTACCAAGGAGGACCTGATTATGCAGATAAGGCAACAGAGGAAGCCATAACCGAAGCAAAACGTCTGAGTGCTATGATTGCCGCCCAAGATCTACAAAGTCAAAGCTTTGACCAAACAACAGAAAATAGCTCGGGGAGTCAGACTTCTCAGCATGTTGACGGATTTTCTCCGGGATCTACCATTGACGCTATGAAGGATAAACCTGTCCCTGAAGTACAAAGGAGAGTGGAAGTCCCTGAAGCCAAGATGGACGGGACCCCATCTCAAATGAGCATTGAGCAGGGCGCCACGAGAGAATCTGGGTCCTCATCGGGGCTATCAGTGAGATCCTCATCATTAGAGCAACCCTTGTTGTTGTCATCTCCATTAACTCTTCACCGCGCATTTGTATCGATACACGATGGTTCTGAGTCCAGTGAAGAAATCATATTACGATCGAAACCAACCTCTAGTTATTTGCTCCAGATTGAACCGTCCTCGGCGCCGTGTACTGGATGGATGGTTTTTAGAAACTATGCGGATTTCGAGTCTCTTCATGAAACGCTAGAAGCTATCTCAAGATTAAACAAAATCCAACAATTTTCTGACGCCCACTCCTTACTTCCCACATGGAAACGCTTGACGAGTCGAGCTCTTGCAAACAATTTAGAAAGGTACCTACAGGATGCTCTCCAATATGAGCCACTCGCGGAGTGCGAGAGAATGAGACGTTTTCTTGAAAAAGAAGGACCCATCAACCATGAGACTAAATCCTCGACGAAGTCTAGCTTTTTCCCGAGCCAGGCAGCACTGGAGAACGTGGGAAAGGGAGTTTTGGGTGTCTTGACCAACGCACCTAAAAGCGTCTCTGGTGGACGCAATGCCGTTTTTAGTGGGATGGCTGGAGTATTTGGAGCAGGACCAAGCAAAAATACAGTGTCTAGTTTGATTCCGGCTAACAGTAATACTGCACGTTTTGGCGATTCTTTTCAAATCCCGCCCGGAATGTCCGGGAGCATAGGAGATGCAGTAGCAGGTCCCCTCCCAGTTCACCACGAGTCCCAGGAGCATGCGCCTACGCTTCCAGAGTCTTCCTCTACAAGGCCATCTGTCCGTGGTACTGAACATTTGGAGGAAAGCGTGCCAATTGACCTGGAAGGAACAACAAGCAGCGCTACAGAGAATGCTAGTTCTGGAAATGACTTTTCCAGCGATTCTGATATGGTACTTCGTATTCATGGGTTGTCAGAAGCTACACAATGTTTAGATGAACAGTGGAGGAACGATCTTCGGAAGGAGGATTTCGTGGAGCAAACGACTACTTCTGGGCGAGGCCTTTCGTCTGATAAGAACCTTTCAATCACGCAGGATGAGACTCGTGTTGCGGTAGAGCTTATTTTTGCTGTTATAAATGAGTTATACATGTTGTCTTCTGCCTGGAACATACGCCGAACCCTTCTGAATGCAGCAAAGACCTATATGCTACGCCCAGGAAACCCAAATTTAGAGACAATCCGCGGACTTCTGCAAAATTCAATGCTTGATGCTAATACATCGGATCAAGCACTTGCACGATATATTGTGAGACTCCGCGAAAATGCTCTTCCAACAGAATCAGAACTAGAGTCCTGGCCATCGCCACCGAATGACGCCGAAAAGGAACGTTTAAGACAGACGGCCCGAAGGATTCTTGTACAAAAGGGGCTTCCGCAGACACTAACGGGTGTAATGGGAGCAGCTGCCAGCCGGGAAGCGCTCGAAAAAGTGTTTGATTGTCTTCAGGTCCAAAGCGTGGCGAAGGGGTTTGTTTTCTCCATTGTAGTGCAGGCATTGAAGGCTGTAACTCTCTGACCACCCGCCGGTAATAAGGCATTCTGGTTTGCTATTATTATCATGGGTGATTGGACGTATATGAAAGCTCTTGGTTTTCTTGCCAGTATTTGCCCCTTACAGCCTAGCTGGCATCCTTTGTTTAATCTCGCTTCCAACATTACGGGTATTGCCTACCTATTAAATAGGCAGACAGCTAACCAACTAGTTTAGAGTTTTCACCTTCTAGATAGATATAGGCGGGTGTTAGAGTGGTGATGTTGACTGTAAGGATAGATTGCTTCTATAAATATGGCTGTTTTCTTACTCGTGGGAATTTAAGAACTCCCTCCCTTTAGGCCTCAAATATATTGCTTAAACTTTAAGCTCGTATGGGTTGACAAATTACATGCAAAAACAGGATCTGGGATGGAGGAACAGTAAATACCGAATCCCAAGACACAGCAGCCCTGTCCTGGTACTAGGACTGTTTACCTTTCACTCTCATCCTCTTCACTTGTTGCTTCAATATTCTTTCTTGACAAATGGGAATCCTCGTGTCCACTATTCCAATTAACCTCACGCTTGTTGTCGCCAGGTCCTTGCCGATTACCCGTGCTGTGATCATGATATTCCGGCCGAGGGATTGAATGCCCCTGTTCCTTGAGTGCAGCTTCAATGCCAGGCAATAAAGTCACGAGTGAGGCGAATTGATCGATTGGCATAGAAATTCCCTTAAGAGGATATTGAGCAAATTTTGCTGATACTGTCGCTTATCTGTGAGAGGAACTAACTTTCTTGCCAGGAAGCTCTTGTCCATCTTTCTCATAATACTCTCTAATATTTACCATAAACTTTCCTCGAAAAGAGGACACAGTGACCCGGCGCATTTTTGATAGCTCCCAATATCTATCCCCGTTTGAATCAATTTTCCCTCCTATGTCTTCGCGCGACATGTCTAGGCCGGAACATGTGGCTTCTTTAATGGAACCAGCCTTTGTTCTTTTAGGCTTGGAATGCTCAGTATGAGTAGAATCATCACTGGTATCTGACGCACGTTTTCTGGGTCCAGAACCCATGTTATTTACCTTTGTGGGGTTGGGGGCAACCAAGGGAGGAGGGACAGATCTGAGGTGGCAAAAAAAGGTAGAAATCATGAATCTTACGTTCTAATACCCAAACAAGCCAAGCACATATGGGCTCACGTGACTATTTGGATATAGTACTGAATTTGTATTCTCATGTTCTACCTAGGGGTAACAGTGAATATATAATATACATATTATATATTCTATCAACCAGGTATGTTCTTAACTTTCTGTACAAATAATATAACCTTTAAATCCAGGCTTCTCATTGAATTGTTGGACGGTGGGATTCTGCAGCTCTGCTCCTATACGAGGGTAGCAAATTAGATGGGGTTGCAGTTTAAAGCTGTATTTTACAATTATAACATTGCATATATTAATTAGTTTGTATATTTAGTAACTAGCTAGATTTTTTTGTAATTAGCTAGACATAATTTTCTACAACATCTCTAATTTCTCTATTATGGAGATTTTAGCATACTTCTTCGGACTTCTTCCACTTTCCTCTTATCCAATATAAATAAATACATGATTTTATATAGCTCGGTTGATTGGATCTCTATTCTTAAATTGGTTAAATATTGTTTGTTTTGTTGATATTTGTATTTATAACTAATAATTAACTAACTAGTTAGTAATCTGTATGATTAAGCGAGTTGCCATATTACAACAAACTCTATAGAGGTGCTAGAAATATAAAGAGGCTTGGTGGTATATTATGCATTATCTAACTTAGAGGAAGGGACACCTTTGTTATGTATATGTCAAAGATAGATTGGAAATCAGCCATGTTCGGGTCCTGAATTTTTATTGATAAGCTTGTACACAGTAACGCAAAGCTACATACAGTATTATCTTAAAAGTGCGCTTAGAAAGTCCCTATCTTAATAACATGTTGATGTAACTATTGTCATGATCTCATAATTGTATCATTATCTTATCTATGGGAGTTCTACTGTATCTATTATCTTCATCTATTCTTCGAAGAAGAGATTAAGGATTAGTTCTCCAAAATCTTGATATAAGATATAGTGATTTTGTTTTCTACTATCTTACCTAGCTGACCGGTTGATCTATCCAGCCAAGTAGATTCATCACAGCAGTATATGTATGTGACCTTCTATATTTGGTAATCCCCTCTCATAAACTAACGGTATAAGTTACATGATTATCCCGATCAAGAGGTTATGCGAATTATTAATGTCACGTGAGTTTTATATTTCAGATTAATTAGCTTTTTACTGTATTAATACTTGGTGTGAAATATAACTCCGAAGACTAAAGAATCACACCTCCGTATAATATAGTATTCCCATTATTTTGACATTACAAGCCTGGAGAATATTCAAATTCCTGCAAAAAATTTTTCTCTCTGTACTTCATTAGTTTCATATTGAAATAGAATAGATGATGTCGTCAGTTGCCTTGTTTTTCGCATAGTTATGTTCAAAAATTTAGTATAGTTAATTATCTATATAGAACAGTTCTGGAGACCTGAGCCCCTTTTCCCGCCATCCGCCTACGCCAAACGAAATCCCCTTTTCCGCTTCCAACTGAACCTATCCCTGGGATCTTAATCCATGGCACAGCTGCTCCCTCCGAGTTGAAAAAACATATTCCATGGGATATATGACAACAATAACAAAATAACGCCCCGCATTATTATTCATTGCGAACCGAATTATAATGAGTATCCTAAATTCTTAATTATAACATACTTTAGTAAGTACCTTACTCAAAAGCCAGTCAAGCATTATTTGCGAGCACAACTGTTTAATATATTATGTCGGCTACTGACTTGTCGCCCAGTTTCCCACAGTAGTCGGGCCAGAGAGCATAAAACCAATCAAAGAATACCTGGTATATCCCAGACTTTATCTATACCTATCTCACTCACTCTAATCCATTCTCGCCAAGTCTCTACCGTTTCTTCTTGTTCTCCTTCTTTCTCTGTGAGAATAAAAGGCGTGCTTGGCTGGGGTTTACATATCCCTAGTTTGCTTGTACCAGCGAATCGTGGTCGCACACAAATACGTCAGCCACGATGTGCTCTGACTAGAGGGTGGATTATATACCGTCCTGGCTATTAGGAGTCAATGTTTCTCCTAGACCCCTGAAACGGCCACTCAACCCGGAACCAATCTGAATGCTTTACTGTGTGCTGGAAAGTGGATACTGGTAGTCAAGCCATACGATCTGTCGTACGATTTATGATAGTGACATTTACAAAGCAGCTCCTCTTCTGTCGAGTCTGAACAGGAAGGCTAGGATGACCCACAGTTTGGGAGTCAGCATCTGTGGTACACCTACCAATTTGTAAAGTGCAAGACAGCACTTAGTGAAGTTCCAGTGAGAGTATCCTAGCTGGCGTGGAGTAATTAGATTTATCTCCGACGGCACTATTACCCTCTGCTGTCAATCGGGTGTGAAGCCGAGAAAAGCTGGGAGGACTTTTGCAACTATTGATATAATTGCCACATTAATTGTCTGCTTACTTACTATTGACCGGCTATTCATCTGTCCACGACAACCATGGCCAGCAACTCAACATCGGAAGTTATGTCTGCAAAATCCTCTAAACTACCTTCGCCTAGACCGACGTCGCCTGAATCTGTTTCGATAGCCTGCAGGACTGCCTCGCTTTTGCCTCAACCCGATCCACGGTCTAAAGATGAGCCGACAAGACCTGCCTGCGTCCCAGGGCAGGCTGAAGAGCCGTCTCTAGTACCACCAAGTGACAGTAACATCCAGGGGGGATTAGGCAGCTTGAACCGTTGGTCTCAGTCTACCGCATCTAGCAAAGAGTTGCCCGATAACTTTAGCCAAGGAGTACACCCTAAGGTGTTAAATGATGATAATTGTGGCTCTCCTGGGGGCGTGCACCGGTCAAACCGGGCAAACTCAAATGCTTCCCCTAAAGCTACCGGCGCACTGGTTAACAATGGACATTACCTGAACCCCTACTCAAACGACTTAGTAAATCCGGATATACCGATGCTTGAACTTCCAGGAATTGGTACATCGTCGACTTTCTCAACCAGCCTTGTGGATACAAACACTTCACATCTTGACCCTACATCTCTTGAGTCTACAGCTCTCACTACAGACGTTTTCCAAAATCCACGGTCAAAAGGGGGCACAGCAACGTCTGCAACTGATCAAACGTCGGAGGATATCTTTTCTCAAAGCATGTATGACACCGAAATTCCGCCTAATGATTCTCAACACTTGACCACTGGTAGTCGGACCGGTCACGAAAGACGACGACGGGGCCATTCCCAAAAAGCGATGCTCTCGAAAGCTCTTCAGAAGGCGAATACAGCTGTTCTTCTTGACAATGCAGCGAACTTTGAAGGCGCCATGGACGCATACAGTGATGCCTGTCAGCTCCTACAGCTGGTAATGCTTAGAAGTAATGGAGGTAAGGACGAAAAAGTTAAGCTCCGCGAAATTGTAAGTTGCGCATAATATCTGGAGTATGACTAGAAGCTAAGTTCTTTCTTCTCTCTCTGCCTCTTTTAGAGAGACACGTACATGATTCGAGTTATCGAGCTCCAACGCATGGATCTCTCGTTCCGGGGACCTGATAGCAAGGCCCTGCCAATACGCCCTCTTAGCCAAGAGTCTTACAGTGGGCTTTCTCAATTAATAGAGGATGATAATGGCGAGATATCAGGTACGAGCAATGTTCGATCTTTGTGGGTTTTTTCTGAGTCTCATCGTTCGTCACCAGCAGAATCAAGAGCACCATATCTCGACCGGATTCCACCGAGGCGCCAGTCTCTTTTACCTAGTGTAATTGATAGCTCCCAATTCGAATCATTGCCTAGCACATTGGGAGTGGAACAACAAGTGACAACAATTTCATCCGTTGAGGAGCGTGTTTCAGAGACAAATGTTCCAGAGAATCTGGATGACTGTCCACGATACTCTGAGTTACCATTGGCGACGACGCACACAAGCGATATTTATGAATCAACTTCCTGGCTTGATACTATTGACGAGTCTGGCGCATCTTCCCCAGTATCCATGGGCTCCAAAGCATCTTCCGTGTATCTTCGGCACAGGGGAAGTCGCCAACTTAGTCATGGTACAGAGGCCGAATTCGACGCTGCCCTTGACGCTGCCGTGGAAGCTGCTTATGATGGAGGTCTAGAGCCATCGGAAGACCCAGGTGATGGGTGCAGTAGTGATGATATTGTAGCAAACGCTCGCAGAAATGTCGAGCTGGCGAAACAGAAAGTAAGAGAGGCCGAAAGAGAGGTTGAGGTGGCAATGACGCGGGGCCGAGATGCGTGCCAAATGCAGGAGCTACCGACGTTTGAGCGATCAGACGATGTCGACTCAGATTACCTTGATGAAGAAGCCGAGGAAGAGGAACGTTTGTTGGAAGAAATGACCAGAGGCTATGTTATGGATGACGTTGAATTTGGCGATCAATCTAAACCTGCTCTCCCACGACGATCAAATTCGAACAACTTTTCCAGAAAAATCTGGGAAAGCCCGGCTTCAGTTAACATGGCATCACTTGGTTCAGCTCTGTCGACGCTTGCAGAAGATACTGCTCTTTCTGCTGAGGATACAAAGGTCCCGCAGAGCAAATCACCTTCAAAGAATAATCTCAATGTTTCTCCCATGTTGACGAAAGCAGCCCTTCAACAACTGACTCCGGGTCCGAGTGTACGAGAACGAAGAATGTCACACCAAAACACAACGGAATTAAAAATTGAAACGCACTTCAGGACAGGCTCGGACGTATCAGGGAAGAATGAACCTTCGGCTCTGTCTAACTTTCATGCGTTCTCTCCTAAGGATGAACCACAGACGAGCTTTCCTATCCTTGAAAATAAACCTCTGGACAGCAGCTCCTCCTTACGGCCTACAGGAAATTCTTGTAAGCGAAACGTCTCTGTCGACTCCATCACTGAAGAGACTTCCACAAAATCGGGCCTCAGCCGGACTTTGGAAAACGGGGATAGTGTCGAGACAGCGAAAACATCGTTACCGGCCCGTCAAATTGGGAAACTTCTGTCAGGCCCAGATAATCTGGGCAAGTCTAGCACGGGTCCGAAGACATTTCGCTCCAGAAATGTATCAATTCATGGTCCTGATCCAATCTTCGAATCCCCAAGCACTCCATCAAGTAATGCATTCCCCACCTTGGATCATCAAAGGGGGACGGTACCTACCGTGATGCCAATTTTGCCTACACCCTCTGGAGCTAATTTCGTTCCAAATGGTCTTCCTAGCGGTGGGCTATATTTGTTCGACAACCACATTCATTCTCCAACTAGCCTTGGCTCTCCAAATTTGATGGCTGCAAATGCCCCTCTTCCTTTGGAGCCATGTCCCGAGTCTTTCCTTCTGCGCCCTTTTTGGCTCTTGCGGTGTATTTATCAGACAATCTCTCATCCCCGTGGAGGCTATTTGACGACAAAGTTATTTGTTCCTCGTGATGTGTGGCGAGTTAAAAATGTTAAAATAAAGGCAGTTGAGGAAAAAATCTCAAACTGTGACTTATTAACTGCGGCGCTGCTCAAATTGGCAAAGGTGGATACCTATGATGCTGATGCCGTGTTGGAAGAAATGCAATCGTTCGAAAATATTTTGGATCAGGTACAAATCTCATTGTCGAAGAAAATCGGCAATGAAGTTGGTGTTCAAGGAGCCATACCCCTTTTCAAATCTCCCCAAGGCATAGATGACACGACAAGCATCGATACTTTGCCTCCTAAAACCTCTACTGGCCCAGGGAAGTCATACCTGAGTTCTTGGCGCAAATTGCGGTCCAAAAATTCTGGATTTGGTGCTACAACATCCCAGCCCAGCTCAAAGGATGCCAGCAAGGATAATTTAACAATAAGCTCGCTTCCTATGACTCTGATACCTAATTCTCATCTTACCAAGCACTCCACAACGCAGTTACAATTTAATGGACCTAATGCGAATTATATGGGTGCTTTGGCCCGACTATGTGATGCAGCTCAGGTATTAGGTAAGATTTATTAACGATATAATGCTCTCCAGGGTACTAACTGTTTTCACTTAGATCAAATTGCCCAGCAGGTTGAAGATCCAGGTCTAAAACATTCTTCCCCAACACTTGTTGGTTTAGAGCTGAGCACGCGTCATGCTGCAGAATTCTTTGGGTTTTATGTGTGCCGATTTGTTTTAAATGACATTAGTGTGATGCTTGATAAATTTATAAAAAGAGGCAGTGAATGGGTTCTTATTTAAATACCTGAACGAATCTGAATTGTGTTGCCTACGGTATACGGTTTCCAGTGTACCTAATTCTTAATTTTTTGGGGTGGACGATAGGTTATTGTTCCAAACCTTAAAATATGCATATATATTATTGTTTTGTACTGGTGGTTGGACAGTGTTAATGAGTATTTCACATTCAGGCTGTGGTTCTTTGACGCTGCAGCCAACCGCAGTGGATATTCCCTAAGTGAACCCCCCCGGCCCCCTTTAACAACCTGCAAATCCACGGCTACAATTGCATGCAAAAGCACCTCCGTGTTTTGCTCCTAAGAAGGAGGCATGATTCTAATACTAGGTGTCATATATAGGATAACTTAAAGTTGAAGTGAACATTGGTGTGTTACGGCCCTTGAATCCGCATTGGCAAATTACTATTACTTTAGGTGCCCACGTGCCTCCTTTACGCGCTGTGCCAGTCAAAACAAAGGGACGCGACAACACAGTCAACGGGCCAACCCGAACAACTACAGTATCTACTGCCCACAAAAAGGCCAGGCATTTCAACATCCCGTTCTTCGTGCTAAACTAGAGTGCAGACCAAACTCTACAGGGCCAGTGTTACTGGAGTTTTGGCTTAAAAAGATAAGATCGATATAACAGTTCATTACATCCACCAACACAGCATCATTGGTCTGAAGGACTGAGAGGCCAGCCCCATTTTAATAGTTTTACTCATCTTGATTCTTCAAAACAGTTGGCATGCCGCGCCCACCTACAAAACGCCACCGCAGTACTTCGAAAGGCTTGAAGGCTTCAAAGGAAGCCTCGCAGCGTACTGTTAGACGTAACGATGCGAATTTGGCCTCTGCTCTAGGATCACACTTGGGAAGCAATCAGGATGTGGAAATTTCTGCACATGTCATTACTAGTTCCCAGGTGCAGGAGATCTCGCGACAGTTGAAGGATCAGACACCCGTTTCTAATGCCCGCGAACGAGCGATTGGGTCGTCGCCGATAGGGGAGCATGGAGCTACAGGCAGCCGGCCACCTACCAGGTCTCGAGGCTACTCATCCACCCTGTCTGTAGCTGGGCGAAAAGGAGACATGAATTCGAGGATCCCCGGAACTCCTGCCTTTGAGAGTTCTATATTGAGCAATTTCAGAAGGCGACCACGACAACCAAGCATTCTGCAAATGATGCAAGCTGAGGACGAATCATCTATACTCAACGATGAGGATTTTCTCGGTGGCCTGAGCCCGGAGGACGAATCTACACCACTAAACCTATCTAAGGGGACGTCTCTTCAGATGGGGAACGCTATTACTTCATCTCCTCCGCTTTCGTTGTCATCTAGTGGTGGATCGCGCAAGCATAGACGGTCCATCGAAGAGCTTCAAATCCCCCAGTCACCCTTGGATACAGCGAGAATTAGTCCTACCAGATCGATAACCACAAGCAATCAAAGGCATGAACGAGAAGCCCATGGCTTCATGGAATTAGCCCAGTCCTTTGGATCTCTCGAAGCGCTTGGTCAAACAGTAGAACCACCTCTGAGCAGTAGCCTTCCCGCAAGCCCTACCTCAGCAGCTACGATTTTGGACCTTGCTCCATCTTCGACTGTCTCTAGGAAGCACATGAAGAAAACCGTGGTGTCGGCACCTGATTCTCTATCCACGACCACCTTACAAGACAAACTTCTTCCTAGGCGACGCCAACGGCTATACAAACCCCGCCATGTCGAAGATTCAAAGAATTCGAGCGATGACGATGGTTTTTTGTCTGAGCAGGACGAGGATGAATTAAATTATCTACCCTCCCACAGGACATCGCAGACTCAACGAAAGCAGATCACTAAGCGTAAACCATCCGGTAATCTTCCATATGTGCATGGAACCGAAAGATCGGCTAGTACAAGTGGAAACTATGTGCATTCTACTTTGCAGAGTGATTTGACAGTGAGCCATCCAAAACAATTGAAGCAGCAAGGAGTTCCACAAATGTCTTACTCTCTTGAGGATGAGGGGATGGACAAAGAAAACGTGCCTATTGATACTTCACCACTATCCTCTTCACTTTATTCAGATGCGTTTGAATCTGATTCTCAGCTAGAGCAACTGCCTACCAGCTACTTAAGTGACGAACTGAAGTTACAAGCAAGGAAGTTTGCAGAGGTTGATAAATGGGAAATGGAATTCGAAGATGTGCCTGACAGCCAGAACAATATTTTCGAGTAACCAGTCTTTTTTTTGTACATAGCACTTGCTTGTATGGTTGAACTACGCCTAGGGATAGATATGTATTGTGAATAAATTGTGCACAGCGTAGTTGGCCCTGTATTCCATGTAAAATAGCACTTTTTTAAAATCTTAATATCTCAACAAAGTCACTAGAGAATTTAAAATTTAATATATAGTATAGTAGTACTGAGCAAATTAGAAATAATATCTATAAATTAAGTTACTATTGTATTTTTGGTACTTTTGGCTTTTCTAGTATTTAGAGCCTAAAATAAATATTAAAAAATTGTAAAAAATTTTAATTGTTTTGTTACTTATATTATATGGTCCTACCCACTACCATTTATTATATGTATTGTTGAGATATTGGGCTATAAAAATGGCCATTTTTTATGGAATACGGGGGTGGCACTGGCCGGCTCGGCGCGGTTGGCTGGTTCGGTGGCCAACAACGTAGTTAAAAGGTATTTGTGATTTAGAATGTAATTAATACAATAATTATTAAACAACAATGCAAACAAGACTATGTATGTTCCCGGCGTTAGCCGACTTAGCCATGATGTTTGACCCCGCAACTAAAACCCCGCCAAATTTAAATCCCAAGTCATGTTGGTTTGAATATTATCAATGCTGTCCACAAGTTTCTAGACATTATACAGCTTTGGTTCATCAAGGGAACAACAATGGATACTACTGATAATATTATAGCGGGCAAGTATCCGGCCAAATCTCATGCACGTCGCGTTGCCGAACATCTTAAGAAAGCATGTGGACAAGCAGCTGGGATAATTTACTTGGAAGGGCAGAAGACACATTTGATAGAAGATAGTGACGAGACGATGCCATTCAGGTATACTTCTTTGACTCCCATATACCACAATTCACATGCATAGAACGCTGATCATCGAACCAAACCCCAGACAACGTCGTCCTTTTTTTTATCTCTCAGGGTGCTTACTTCCTGATTCGTCTTTGATATACGACATTAATGCTGAGAAGTTGGTCCTTTTCATTCCCCCGATTGACCCTGAAGATGTAATTTGGTCTGGCCTTCCTCTTTCTCCTGGCGAGGCCCTAAAACACTATGACGTCGACAACGTGCTTCCGACGACCCAAGTTAACGACACACTTGCTTCTATTGCCTCCTTCTACCGAGGCAATTCTACTGCCTTCGCAATTGCAGGACAGGTTTCAAGTGAAATTAAATTCCAAGGATTCTCAGCGACCAATGATTCAGTGTTGAGGGACGCCATTGAAAAGACACGCGTTGTAAAGGACATCTATGAGATCGCTCTTCTCAAAAAGGCAAATGATATCTCTGCGAAGGCTCATATTGCAGCCATCAAAGCATCTAAGACTGCAGATAACGAACGCCAAATCGAGGGTGCATTCATCGCAACTTGTATTGCTAATGGTGCACGCGAACAAGCTTATCATCCCATCGTTGCTTGTGGCGAGAACGGGGCCACTCTTCACTATGGGAAAAATGATGGCAGTTTGAATGATCCCTCAACCAACCAGAGGAAACGAAATGTGCTTATTGATGCTGGAGGTGAATATCGCACATATTGCTCTGATATTACCCGCGTTTTCCCCCTAGGTGGGAAGTTCTCAACAGAAGCCCGACAAATATACGAAATAGTCCTTCGAATGCAGATAGAATGTATTGCCATGCTAAAGGAAGGAGTCCAATGGGAAGAGGTGCATGCACATGCGCATCGTGTTGCGATCAATGGCTTACTAGACCTCGGAATATTGCGCGGTTCTAAGGACGAACTGTTTGACAGAAGAATTAGTGTGGCGTTCTTCCCTCACGGCCTGGGGCATTATCTTGGAATGGATACTCACGATACGGGAGGAAATCCAAATTATGATGACAAGGACTCTATGTTCAGGTATCTTCGAGTGAGGGGTCGTTTACCTGCGGGGTCAGTGATTACGGTTGAGCCAGGAGTAAGCCCGCCTTGTATAATTTATGGATCTGAGATTATGCCATGGCTAACATTTTGTGCTTAAGATCTACTTCTGTCGCTTCATTATAGAGCCATTTGTCAGCTCGCCCGAACTGAATCAATACATTGACTCTGATGTTCTAGAGCGATACTGGAGTGTTGGTGGAGTGCGCATTGAAGACAATATTCATGTTACTGAGGATGGGTATGAAAATCTGACCACAGCACCAAAATCGATTGAGGAGATAGAAGCGCTGGCATTGTAGGGACCACTGTCGTCTTCGCATACGATCGTAGGTTTTTCATGGGGGTCAGGTAGCGTTGCCCGTTTCTCACGGCTGGGTGCACCTTTTGTTCTAATATGCTATCCTGAATTGTGATTGTAGTCCTCGTTGTACCCATGTCTTTATGTGGCCTATGTAATTCTTTCAGTATGATGGCTGGTTAGATGGTAACTATACATACTACTTCTGGCCTGCATTTTCAATATACTCGGAAATAGTCATATGCCGAAGCTTTTTTCCAATATATTCTAAATATTGACTATATTTTGTTATTTATAGAAGCATTGATCGATATAATAGCTTAGGGATAGGTAATAGTGGTTTTGACGATTTAAATTAATAAGGATTATGACTTGGTATGGTCTTTATGTAATTCAGAAATCAATATCTAATTGTCTCTGAAACGAGGTCTATGATAAGTACCATGGATTCTGTATTAAATATAAAAGGGATGGAAGTTTAAACACAGCCTGATGATAATGAGACTTTGTAAAATGGTTACATAGTGATATCTGAAAACTATGAAATGCAGGCCACAGGTAGTAGAGCTCTTCTACAGTTTGAGCAAAGAGATTTTTGAATAAAAAGAAAGGAAAGGAAGGTGGTAAAAGTGATATTACATTGAGCAGAGCTCCCTAGCTATCATATCGAGGCATGTATCCCTGTCTGTTATCCACGCTGAATATTGTACATGTCCCAACTATATAACACTCCGAAGCCTTTTTCTTCCGCTTCCTCTGACATTGAATTCGGCTTCTGCCTTATCCCGAGAGCGTTTTTCTTTATCATCAAGAATGAGGCTGAGTACATCAAAACAGAACCGAGGAACTTCAAGGCACAGCTGGCAGAATTCTTCCTCAGCTTCGTGCCGTAAGACATGACTCCTCATTGCCCAGAATGAGGCAACAGATTTCCTAATAGTGACATCGTCGACAGGTGTGTGCGTGTAGACGTAGCGAGCGTAGGTTATTTCACCATGTGGACTACTGTTAATGCGATGAATCTTGGAATGGGCAAGAGTCTTCAATGAAGGCATCCCAAGCTTCTCCGCTAAAGTATATACACGTGCATGCTTTAGTAGTTGGTCGCCACTATCATCGATTTCGCCTATCACTACGTCTTCTGTGGAAGATGTAGCGGGTGATATAGAATAGTCCTGAGTGTATTGATACTGCAAAAAATAACCGAAAGCTTCTACATTCTCGTCAGGGAGCTCGATGCGACGCTGTCGGGTGTTAGCAAAGATTTCGGATAATTTGCAACTCCTGGTTAACCCACAGAGCCTGAATCGCTAAAAGCTGAGACTGCCTCCGCAAGAAACGGGGATTCTAGCAGCAGATTTTGGTGTGCTGTCAGTACTGTATTATTTTCCCCTTGCCCAACAATAATTTCCACAGTAGGCGATGTAAGATAACTAGGCGATGTAAGCCAGAGGCCTTCCTGGAAGTATATAACCAGGCCGTACTGATAGAGGGGTGACTCCAAAAATGAAAAAAGGAAAAAGATAAAAAAAAAGGGGACAACTCTTACTCGAGAAACCGAAGTCCAGGATTTTGTCTAACAGATGTCGAACCTTCCGATGGCTTTAGTTCTGGCTCTCCAACGTCTGGTAAAGAAATATCTGGTGTCCGTTCCGCTAGTCGCTCATTTATTGACTTCGTGTTTTGAGTCAAATGCATGACCACGTTAGGTGCCTCGGAGTTAACAGTATTTTGGATGCTTTCCGAGACCAGAGTATCTTCTGCACCACCTACCTCTACTTCAGGTTTGTCCATTGGGTAATGTTAAATGACAAAACACAAAAAAATAGGTTGCTCGAAGTCACCAGGTTCAAAACAATTGGGAAGAGTAAACCTTGTACGGAAACCAAGAGATTGCTAGTAGCAATTGAATCGTGGAGGAATTTGAATAATGGCCATGAAGTATTTGAATATCTAGAAGAAAGTACTACAGTTAATAAGGATAGGTGGTTGCTAGGAGATATGGTCCTTCTCGTACTACATAATACTGTAAACCTCCTCTATACGGGACTCCGCTGTAGGGGATCTCCAAATATCTAAACCCATTTTGCTGGTTACCATATTTAGGCCGTGAGACCACCTCCTAAGATCTATATATGGGATCTCCAACGCAAGGGATAAATGCCTTTATCTAAATTAATCCCCTATTGCGAAGTTTTACAAATCTACGTAGAGGTAACTACGGAGTATGGAGTACCTACGGAGTACTTCATATCTTTTTACGTTTCCTATCAGCCACTCATCCTGTGTTGGCATAGTTTGTAATATCGGTATGCAATATCGCTCATCACACGGCCGGTTAGATAGGGGACTGGACGAGGTAGTAGGACACCATGAGCCGTAGGAACAGTCGAATATGGGAAGGGGGGCCCCAGGGCCGCCCGGCCCTGGGGAGGACTGAGAGAATTCTATTGAGTCTTCTGAAGGAATGTATTGCCTAAGCTATCTGCTTGATGAGTCCTCTGTCTGGTCTGCTACTTAAGGTAGCAGGCCGCTATTTAACCTAGTGTCTACCGAGGCCTTCCAGTGCACTGCCGTGGGGATCCCATATCATACGATGTGGAATCGTATGATCTGGGATCATGTCTTCGGAGTGCCTGCGTGTTGTCGCCATATTTGTCAGGCACTATCCATATTAGTCATCCGGATGACAGGTACTACATAGGTAACTAGCTGGGGTATGTACTATATGTCTATTGTACTTAGGCCTGTATTTTTAAAAATTTCTAATACTAATTTTCTAATATATAGTGTACTTATATATTTTATAACTATAATTTTTTTTATAAAATACAGTACTTTAGTTATATAAAAGCTATGTAGATAACATTACTATAATTAAATACTAAGTATCTGGGAATACTAAGTGTCTAATTTTTTTCCTATAGTATTACTAAAAATTTTAAATTATTTTACACTATCCATATTATTAAATGGAGGATAATTTTTATAATAAAAAAAATTATCCTGTGTCACGGGCTACGCCTGTATGTTGCTCGGCTTCACCTTCGCTGCGATTGAACACATATGATTGGTCCGCTTATCGTAGTCACATGACTCCTTGTAGTATGAGAACGCACACTTCCTCCCCTTTCCTTTCTCCCTTTCAGCGATTCCTCTTTGTGTATATCTAGTTATTAGATAGCAAGGCATTTCGCCCCTTTACATCCTGGCCCTTAATATACTTTAAAATAGTTAATTTTTATTTACCCTAAAAGTAGTAATAGTATTTAATATTAATAAACAAACCTTTTAAAAATATTTTAAAGGTGTCTCTGCACACGCAGATATAAGAACAAACTATAAAAAGCTATTAAAAACTAAGGAATCTATTTTATTAGCATAGATTCTTAATATATACAAATATAGCTTGCCTCCAGGGCCTAAAATTATTAAATATTTAGCAGGATTATTATTCTCTGCATGGCTATTCTTTTCCTTATCCTCCAAGCCATCTCCAGCCCCCCTTAGTTAGAAATAGGTAAACTAGTTTATTAAGTTGTAATCTCCTTAGTCCGAAAAGGGTAAGACTAGGTTACAGGGTACACCCAATTGCCACGCCACTGCAAAAAGGTCAACTAGACTTGGTAATACCAAGTCTGGCTCCCAATTCACTTATCTACCGTCTCCGCGGTTACACTAAACTAGCTGTGATTACAGTATTATAAATATAATACAGGGAAAGATTTACTTAATCTTTAAAAATAACTTTTTATATTTTTATTTTATAGCTTATTAATATATATTATTACTCTCTAGTCTCTAATATCCAGAGTGGATTTATAGTAACTAGGTTAATCCCTTTTAGTCCATAGAGAGTACCTTTAAAGCTTTTTATTAAGCTATAAATAAAAACACCAACACCTCTATTTACAGCCCACAGTAATAAATTATTTAGCCTAGGGAAAATACCAGCGGATTTTTACTAATTTAAATAGTAAAAAAAGCGAATTAAACACCTTTAAGCTAAGTAAAATAAAATATCCCCTTTAATAATTACCCAGGCAGTTAATAAAATAATTAAAGGTGCAGAGATCAGCATGCAAAGGAAAGTTCTAGTATAGTATAAAATATATTAGTTTTAAATATTTTAGTAAAAAAAAAAAAGAAAAGAAAGCACCTTGAAAATTTATTTAAGATAAAGGTAGTTTTACTGGTTTAAAAAGCCAGCAAAAACCTTAGCAGATAAAGAAGGAGTTGCTTTAAAAAGAATTATTTAAAAAGTAATAAAAGCCTTTAAAGTGTAGTAATTATAGGTAAACTAGGTATAATTATTTAAAATATCCTAGTAAATAGCTTTATTTTTATTCTGTATTGTTGAGAATCTCGGGGAAGAAGCTATGTCGTGAGGTGCTAGGATAGCGGTGACTAGATAGTATATTGAAACTATCGTGCGATCTAGTATCGCGTGGTGAGTATATTCTTCTATCTAGGAGAGAGAGCGTAGACAAACGCTTCCTTATGTCTACGTGTCCGTTAGGCCCTGATCACGGGACTAGGATATACGAGGGTGCCTTAGGCATCCCGATTTCCAACATGTATATAGAAAATATTTGGATTTATAATAATTATGCAATAGTTGTAGTATTTGTAGATTCAGGGGAGCAGAGTAAAAAATCAGACACTCGTTGTTCCCGGACACTCAGTGTCCGATTACGTTACCTCCATAAAATATCTTTTCCTACTTATCTTTTGATCACTTCATTATCAAATAACAAACTAGGTAACTATTTACCTACTACTATTAAGTAATTATGAACACTGCATCGAATATATATGGCGATAACCACCTACCTACTTAGTTAACTCCCTATGAATGGCTGCGTAGTAATTTCAGAAATTTATAAAATACAGGCCAGAGGTAGGTAATGATTAAGATGTATCTCGATAGTTCTTGGCATTCTGGAGTTTCCTTCCATGTAACTATGGATCTTTGCATAGTTTGACATGATTTACTTCCCCAGAATCTGTCTAGAAACCTGCTAGCTAGTTAGGTCTGGATTACCCTACAGAGTCACAAAAGTAAATAAATACATAAAATCGGCGGCCATAGTAATGCCTATGTACCTACGGAGTAAGCTAGAGTACAATATTAAATACAAACCTAGTGTAATTTAAGATATTTATATAGATTTATCCGCTCTATACCTAAATTGAAGTTAGTTAATACTAGGTCCGTACATGTTCCCCTCCACAAAGTACACTGCCCCTCTCCACTGAGTCCACATGGCCTCTTTTATATCTCAACTCTCAAGCCTAGATGTAGTGATCTGGATTCCTTCGGAGCTCCACCAGCCAGCATTCATCTGACGAAAATATTCAAACGCATCGGACGGCTCAGCTATCTCACTCTTTTCAACCCTTTTTCTTCTAAGCTCGGAGACGTGCAATGGCGACTGTTAGCAATCCGCTTCGGGATCCCAATACTCTGAGCAATTATAATAACTGGACATCTACTCATATCTCTGCAAATTTTGACATTTTATTTGAACAGAAAAAGCTTGTTGGGAATGTTATTTATATACTCAAATCGACTACTCCCGCAGAATGCACCGATATTATTTTGGACACGAGCTATGTGGATATTGGTGGCGTGAAAATAGATGGCAAGACCTCTTCCTGGGAACTTCTTCCTCGCCTGGAACCCTATGGCGCTGCACTAAAGATCAAACTTGATCAGGGTGTAAATCTAAATGAGACCATCGCTGTTGATGTATGTTGCGACGTGGATTTCTGCGCTATTTTTACCTGGCCAACCCAACCAAACTGACAGATATCTAGATTGCAGTAGAAACCACTGATAAATGCACTGCACTTCAATGGCTGTCGCCAACTCAAACATCGAATAAAAAACATCCATATATGTGTAAGCTTGGCACCCGCAGAATGAAAAGAGTCCAAAAGAGAGAGGATGGGGGGAGGAGGGGGAAAGAAGGGAATACATATTGACAATAGGTAGTTTCGCAGTGTCAAGCCATCCATGCACGGTCCATTTTCCCATGCCAAGATACACCTGATGTCAAGTGTACTTTCGATTTCAATATAACTTCCCCACTGCCTGTCATCGCCAGTGGATTACCGGTTGATAACCCCGCAGAAAAATCGTCCCAGCCTGGTGATAAGACCCTTTATCAATTCAAACAGAGGGTTCCTATTCCAAGTTATCTATTTGCTCTTGCTAGTGGGTAAGTAAAGCCAACACTCTCGTATTCATGGCTAAACTCGACCTATCAACAACAGTGATATCTCGGAAGCAACCATTGGACCCCGAAGTGCCGTTGCAACAAGCCCCGATAAACTTCGAGAATGCCAGTGGGAGCTTGAAGCGGATACAGAAAAGTTTATTGATGTGATTGAGGTTTGCTTCCTGCGAAGTGTTAAACTGAGCAACATACACTAACCCGCACCTAGAAAATTGTCTACCCCTATGTTTGGGGTAAGTATAATGTGCTGGTCCTGCCTCCAAGCTTCCCATATGGGGGTATGGAGAATCCAATTTTCACATTTGCCACGCCAAGCATCATCTCAAAAGTAGATCTCCTTGCTTCTCAATCAGGGCAGTAGCCGTCGGTCAACACTGACATGAGTACTAGGATAGGGAAAATGTTGATGTAATTGCCCATGAGCTTGCGCATAGCTGGAGTGGTAACCTTGTCACCAATGCCTCATGGGAACATTTCTGGTTGAATGAAGGCTGGACAACTTATCTCGAGAGACGGGTTTGTGTTTTCCCCTATCATGTCCCCTATTGTGTCCTTCCGATGAAAATACAATTTCTCACTGACCACTCTTTAGATATTAGCTGCGGTGTGAGTAATCTAGGATAGCTAAAATTGTTGACTTTTTCAATGTTGATTAATTCTAGTCACGGTGAACCTTATCGACATTTCTCAGCTATTATTGGCTGGAAAGCACTTACTGATTCTGTGGACCACTATGGACATGATCATGAATTTACCAAACTAATCACTGACCTTAAGGGGAAGGACCCTGACGATGCATTCTCAAGCATTCCCTATGAAAAGGGATTTAATTTTCTATTCCATTTGGAGACGTTGGTTGGCAAAAAAAAATTTGATGAATTCATTCCCTATGTAAGGTTTTGATAATTAACCTGGAGAAATATCCGCTAATTCCTGCGTTTCAGTATTTCACAACGTTTAAAGGAAAATCGCTCGATTCCTACGAATTCAAGGACGCTATTTTGAGCTTTTTTAAGTCAGATATTGAGGCCACTGAACTTCTGAAAATGCTTGACTGGGATGCATGGTTCTATGCGCCTGGACTACCCCCAAAGCCTTCCTTTGATACTTCTCTTGTTGATGTTGTATATGAGCTATCGAAAAAGTGGAAATCGTTCCCCGAATCGTTCAAACCGCAGCCAAGCGATGTTCAAGATTTGACCGCGAACCAGGTCGTGGTATTCTTGGAACAAATTCTGTTTGAGCACTTGCTCACACCTGAACTATCCCAACTCTTGGGTAAGGTTTATGGACTTGCTACAAGTGAGAACATAGAGATCGCCAATCTGTATTTCCAAATAGGCCTGAAAGCTGGCGATGAAAGTGTTCTTGGACCAACGGCAGAATTGTTAGGAAAGGTTGGGAGAATGAAGTTTGTGCGACCTCTGTAAGTGTATCCTACACTTGAGTAAATAAGATTCACACTAATTGGATTGTATAGTTATCGCAACTTGCACAAGTTTGATCGTGCTCTTGCGATAGAGACTTTTGAGAAACATAGAGACTTCTATCATCCCATCTGCCGAGCTATGATTGAGAAAGACCTTTTTGGAACGAAAGGCCTATAATTGACTGAGCATAGTCTTATGCTTTGTCTATTTCTATATTACCGCCGTGCGGCCCGTGCCTGACAATAAATACACTTCGGAATAGTTTTACCAATATATGGAATGTTTGCCGCCAGGTAACTTCTATTATTTGGCTCGAGGACATACTCCGATATATTTATATTGAGATATTAACCTATTGATACTGGATTCTGAAACTTGGCTATGTCATCAGGTATATACAATACATTTTATGTTGTCTGGGTTTATTAGGGAATCTGTCGCCAAGCGGAAGTATCTAGATTAATACAAAACATAAGAAGATGAAAGACCCATGCACAGAATTATGCAAGCTATCATAATGGTGAAATTACCGTTTCACATGAACCATATTTCTATCCAAAACTGAATACCCGAAAATGCCGAGCTGCTCACTGTTTCGGTTACTCAACCGGAGTATCAAATCTGCCTCATTTACTTGCGATAACTCCGAGATCACTCGCCTCATATACACGACAACCCGGGCAACCTTCGTCCAGTCTAACTCAGTCCCGTCTGGTTCTGTGTGGCTCGCTTTCCATAAATTTCTCCAAACTGCTGCCCCCAAGACAGCGTCTCCTTTGACGATGCCCTCATCATAAGCTGCAAGAACGCCTCGCCACTGGATAAACAGATCCTTCAGAAATTTGTTTCGAATAGCACGACTGGTCAAGCCATGCAGGGCATCCATCCTATGCTCAGCATTATGTGAGAAATGGTCGATCAAGTGTCTCGAATATGTCTGGAAACTTTCGTGTGATGGTAATGCACGTAATCGAACGGTTAGCATGTACATGTGCAGGAATGTGATTTGCGACCAGGTAGAAAACGTCGGAATGAGTCCCAGATCTGTCGCTCATGAAATTAGTTACACACTAACATCTATTTAGGGAGCATTTTCGGCTCAATGGGCTGAACAAACCTTCATACCACCACCCAGCTCCTACACCAAGGTCTTCACCAGCTGCAGTTTTAGTGATCTGTGTCCCCTTCCCAGACAGCTGGGGGATACTGTAATCCGCTTGACTCGAGCAGGCCTCGAAAAGTTTTTGTGTCATTCCGTATGCCACATATGTCTCTGCTGCAGCACCACTGCCCGGCATCATAACCCGAGAGAGTCGTGAAGAGGCTCTGTTGCTTTGCAGAACAGGGCTGGGAGACGACAGGGCTATTGGTCGCAGCTGTCGACTCAGATGATGTACCGATTTCGAATTATAGCCCTGGAAAATACTACTGCACGTGTAGGAATAACATTGCAGTGTTGTGGACAAAATCGGTGACTTCTTAAGTTTTTGCTCCTACGGCTCAAAGTCCAATTAGTCTGGAGGACACTTCTCAGAAATTTTATCGAGCTGATGAAGAAGCATACCTGAAGTCTCATGCATCGAGGATTGCGAATGCCCCGCATCCATGTGCTGTTTAAGTTCTGGCAAGGCATCTTGAAGCATAAGTCAGATTTCTGAATTATTGAAGCGCTGAACCATGTCAATCTTGCCAAATGTGGTCCGCATCGCCTGCTGCATTCAATGTTTGCACTGTTTGCCAGAATATCCAATAAGATAGAGCCTTGGCAGTGAGAAAAAGTTTCCTCGTTTTCTGCCTACACCGCCCGCCTGCTTATACCTATCGGTAATTCCGCTGTTCAAACGTTTGTCAGGTGCATGTAGCATACCAATCATCTGCCTCAATAACACCTGTTATACAACGAGTAATCCGAGCATAAATCTCTCATCCCATCCTAGAGATATTTGGTATGCTCTGCCTACATGTTCTGCGTGATCTAGGTAGGTTGTAAGACAGAGGAGGTGTCCGGTCAAGTCGGGGCCAAGGGGAGGGGTGAACGAGTACTTTATCCTCCTACTGTATGTCTAGTACTCTGTACCTACAGAGCATAAAAATTGCTAGTTATACTACTTACCGCCTAATACGCCGGCCTTCCCACCAATTATCGAGGTTGCAACCCGCTTCATTGGAAGACGACACCTGATCATTGCACTATACTATTGTTCAGGAAAACCTTTGTGTAGCAACTCTATCTTTATTTCTGCAAATTTCTCCAAATGTCCGAACTAATGATGCGGACGATGGAATAAGATTATGAAATTCAATATGATTATAGGAAGAGTGATATAATAAATGTAGAAATGAGTGGTGGTTTAATATGTAATTGTACATGTATAGTCTATTACTAGAACAAATTTAATATCTATCGATAGATAACCAATTGTCTGCCTAACACCTTCCACAGAGACAGTAGGCCTAGTAGCATACTGTCCATTTGTTTTAGTGAGAATTTGAAGATAATGGGATCGAGTTGAACCCTGATTAATTCGCTTGTCTGACATTTCCCGATTACTGTGATAGATATCAGGGCAGTGGGAAGAGCATCAATATAGATTTCTCTTTTCTAGCTCAATAGGAGCTGTATGTGTTAGTTTAATAGGCACTTATAATGAGCATTATCTGGTGGATGTGGACAAATGGTACATATATTTGGAGAGCTTGAACTTGCAGTGAAATATCGCCGCCGATGGAGTGGCCGAAGTATAATGTTATGTGCAGAAATGTACCTGAACTGTCCGGCACAATCTCAAATTAGTAAGTGATAATGTTTTGCTAGTAGTTTGTGTCCAATTTTGAATGAGAGGTACTGGACGTAGTGAGCGCCTCCATCGCAAGATAGTGAATGTATACAATTTACTTTCCGCGATATATAGAATATCTCCTTCTACACCTCTGTCCAAAATTATGGGCAAGGCATTGTGGCTGCAACTGCCCCTGTTTTGCTGCTAACCCCCAACACGACTCGTTCCAACCGCTTCTCAAGAAGCGGAAGGATTTCTGATAGTCTGTTGGGATCTCTCATAACGGCTGGAACATCCTCTCTGGTAGTTGCCAAGACCTATAGAGACATTGTCAGCTCCCATTTCTCTATTTGTGGGTGTCCGGGTAGCTGTAAATATACCTGGCGGACAGTCTCGTAATCGCATTCTTTGGACTGGTGTTCACGAATCACTTCCAGTCTTTCAAAATCAATATACACTCTCGTATCGCGAAGGCGAAACAGAACATTATCAAGCCTCATGAAAAATCTCAAAAGCAGAAGCAGACGGTTTGGCATGACACGAATCTTACATGACAACGTCGTGATCCCATTGTCAGCGAGTTCATCTTCATATAAAACGACATCATCGAAAAATAAGATGGGATCCGGACGTTTTAGCAATTCGACAGGAATGGGCTTGTTTGTTTTCTCAAACGGCGGGCTTCCCGCAAGAAGAGTACCCGGATAGTCTGTGCTATAGGACCAGTCAAATGGTTTGACAACTTCTTTGATCCCTTCGTGGTTTTTCTCCCTACCCTGATTGTCAACGCCGTGCTTCAAATAGGGAGCCCGACATACCTGCTTTTTTGCCATTCTTTCGAATGTGCAACTTTTAACATTGATGAGCCTGTCTTATCTACACGATCCAAGGCATCAAACGCGTTGAAAGTGATGCCCCAATTTCCCATTTCATAATCAATAGTTACATAGTTATCACCAAAAATCATCTCTGGTGGGGCGATACCCAACTGGTTTGTCATGTCCTCGATCGGATCGGCTTTGAGTATAGGTCGCTTCTGAGTAGAAATCCTGAATCCCTTAACAGATATGGAACTTGGCTTTTGGAAAGCCGACATATTTGTAGCCGGGTGACCAGATGTTACTGTAGCTGTGGCATTACTGGCAGCCAAGGTTTCCTCAGGCGGTTCATCCGAGAATATCTAAATACCCCGCGGTTTCGGAGAAATGATCAGTCCGATACGTTGCTGGGGTGATCTGTTAAGGAACGGACCTTAGTAAACAGCCGAACAGCTCCAATTTTATCCTCTTTCCCTCACTCTCTCATTTTCCCCCAGTTAACTAATGGATGCTGCTTTATAATAATGCTCAAATAAATCACGGGTATCTTCAGCTACTGTACTTGTTTTTTGCTCTCTATTTATTTTCCTCAGCGTATCAGGATGTCGACTAAGGCACTAGAAGCTCGTCTCGAGCACCTATCTGTCAAAGATGAGAACGAGTCTGGGAACAACCAGGGCAGTTATCCGAAGCATAAGGTAATATCTCTGTATTTATAAAATGGACGCTCAGCTAATGTTGGCTTCCAGAGCTCTCTGTCAACAGCGATGTCCCTTTCAGGACTTGGGACTGCAGCACATTTGACAAGTGGGTCAAATAGGTCAAACCTGTTAAAACTGGCACTACAAAACACCAATGACAATAAGGTGAACGCAATGAATGCTAGCTCTTCCCCTCCAAAGGGGGTCACCATATCACAACGCAATATAGATGAAAATGGCGATCAGCGTCACCCCACACTTTACGAGCAGCCAGCACCAAAAAAGCTACACCTTGGAATGTTCGAGATTGGTAAGCCTTTGGGAAAAGGAAAGTTTGGCCGAGTTTATCTGGCCAAGGAGCGATCTTCAGGCTTTGTATGTGCACTCAAAGTCCTTCATAAGTCTGAACTTCAACAAGGTGGAGTGCAGAAGCAAGTCAGGCGTGAGATTGAAATACAAAGCAACCTACGCCATCCTAATGTTCTGAGACTATATGGCCACTTCCATGACAGCAAGCGGATTTTCTTGATCTTGGAGTTCGCCGGTCGGGGTGAATTATATAAACACCTTCGCAAAGAACATCGGTTTCCCGAGTGGAAGGCTGCCCAGTATATCGCTCAAATGGCTGCTGCTTTGAAATATTTACACAAGAAACATGTCATGCACCGCGATATCAAGCCCGAAAATATTCTTGTTGGGATCCACGGCGAAATAAAAATTAGCGATTTTGGCTGGAGTGTCCACGCGCCTAATAACAGGAGACAGACAATGTGTGGCACATTGGATTACCTCCCCCCTGAGATGCTCAAGCCAGGAACCCAAGACAGCTATTACAATGAGAAAGTTGACTTGTGGAGCTTGGGCGTGTTGACCTACGAATTTTTGGTTGGAGAAGCACCTTTTGAAGATACCCCAGTCATGACCCAGAGACGGATTGCTCGAGCAGACATGGCGGTGCCTTCATTTGTGAGCCCAGAAGCTAAGGATTTGATTAAACGAGTATGTCCACATCTGATATTCCAGTAACATCCGCTCTGCTTACCTTTTATAGCTTCTAGTACTCGAGCCAGAGAAACGAATTTCTCTTGACGAAATACAGCGGCATGCCTGGATTTTGAAACATTGTGTCAAAGATGAGAAAATTTTGAAGCGGAGTTCAGGGTTATCGAAAGAGGGTAAAGTTTGAAGTTCGCATCAATTTGCAAGCGGGTATTTTTTTTTTTTTTTTTTTTTGGTGTTGGATTTCTGTTCCATTGTTCGTGCATATCAACCTTCATGGGGCTGAGGCGTTTTTCCTAAGGGGTTTTGTATTGGAGTTCAGAGTTGTCTTGTGCGGGATTTTCTTTCGTTCGGGGTATGCTCGAATACAGTTGCATCTGATATATCTGGCGAAGAGCATTGGGCGTAATACATTGCAATGGAGTTTTCCCACATTGAGTAGGTGGTAAGAGTATACAAAAAGGGCGTATGGTGTTATCGGTAAATCTCGTCGAACGGTCGCGTGTCTCTGAAGCAGCTGTCCCAAACTTCATTCACAACCTTTTCCGCATGTGCCTCATCTTTACACGAGGGTCTTGCCCGTACAGATAAAATGGCTCTTCTTCGCACGCATTCCTGATGCTGCTGTGTGACTTTCCACTGACCTCGTCGGAAAAACTCTCTTGCCCATCTGCATTCTCCGCTGAGCGAGCTGGCACGAATCTGGAATTTAGTCGGTAAATTGAATTTTGTGGTCACAGGGCAGGTCTTGTTCTTCCTACCTCGGTGCAGGCTGCATGCCGCAGGTTATCTGCCCAATTAACTTTAAATCTTAGATGGTCATAGGCATGGACCATTTCATGGGCCATTGTGTCCTCAAGGTGCCCTTGGTCTTTCATTTCATTTGCGCAGAGAAGAATACCATATTCGGGATCAAATCCCCCAGCCTTCCTGTTTGTGCACCTACGGCAGTAGATGTTGTGGCTAGAAAGATCTCCTCCAAGTTGTCGAATATTGTCGCTCAGAAAACGAATAACTGGGCCTGGAAGAAGTTCATTGAGTCACTTGCTATCCATAGAAGAGACGGGATTGGAAGCCCACTCCACTGAAGTAGATAATCTCGCTGATCTTCGCAGCGCTTGCAGTCCGCAACTTCATTTCGAACATCTCTTGCAACCCGGAACTGTTCCTTTCCCTCGTCTGACATCTTCCCCGACAACATGGCAAAGATATTGCGCCATTGGGTCCATACATCGTTACCTGGTGTATATCCTGTGTCACGATGATCATCTGAGTGCGCGGCCGCGCCAGGCCACTCAGAGTCAGGCATGTCGGAAAGATGTGAGCACTAAATTTTCCAAGAACAAGGTGTCGAGGAGAAACCAGGATTTTGCCGCAATTCTCCGCAATGGCGGTGACAGGTTGCAGAAAGAAAGGACCTATTATTGTAGTAAGGTATTGTGCCGACCTTTGGCTCTAGAAATGATATTCAACATCTTAAAGGGAACAGCGGTATATTCAGAGAGTCTGTATTGGGTGGCTTTGAAATTAAACCACATCTGCCACCAACACAATGACCTCTCGACGGCTGACGATTGTCATCAAACTAGGTGCCGACATCAACCTGATTTCACATTACGCTTGAACCATTTTAACTTTCTCTACAGGAACAAGTTCTATTGTCGATGAAAATACACACGAACCGATTCTATCAATTCTTACACTTATAGTTGAAACAACTGCGAAACTTCGCAGGGAGGGGCACAATGTGGTCCTTGTTTCCTCCGGTGCTGTTGGCGTGGGTTTGCGGAGGATGGATACAGGTGAAAGACCGAGCAATCTTCCCCGCATACAGGTATAACTGCTGTTTTTACTGGGTATTTTGCAATAATTGACCGAATTTTTTCTGGAAGGCTCTAGCAGCTGTTGGGCAGTGCAGACTTATGACTCTTTGGGACGGCCTATTTTCCCATCTTCGGCTTCCAGTTGCACAGATACTTTTGACTAGGAATGACATCGCAGATGTAAGGCCCTCCATGGTTGTACGTGATATAAAAATATGCCCCCTAATATACTAATAGAGAACACAATATATAAATGCGCAAAATACGTTCGCGCAACTTTTTGAAATGGGAGTAATCCCTATAGTAAATGAGAACGATACTTTAGCTGTTTCCGTGAGTCTAAACCAGCTCTTATCCCCTAAGTAAGACTGACACGCAGCTAGGAAATCAAATTTGGTGATAATGACACATTGTCTGCCATAACAGCTGCTATGGTCAAAGCTGATTACCTTTTCTTAATGACGGATGTTGACTGCCTTTATACTGCCAATCCACGGCACAGCCCAGATGCGCGCCCAATTGAAGTAGTCTCTGATGTATCTTCACTGGAAGCCGATGTCTCTTCTGCTGGCTCGTCTTTGGGTACTGGGGGCATGAGCACGAAGATCGTAGCTGCCAAATTGGGTACGAGTGCTGGCGTGACAACAATTATCACTAAGAGCTCGAAACCCGGTAATGTCCATGAGATTGTGGATTATCTCCAACGAATTGAACGTGACACTTCTGCGTCTCCTGCGGCCCTCGAAAGTGAAAGCAGTCAATGTCCGCCCCCCCCGCTCCATACACGTTTCTTGCCATCTGAGAGCCCCATACAATCTCGTTCATTTTGGCTACTTCATGGGCTAAAACCACGCGGCACAGTTTATATTGATCATGGGGCATATAATGCCCTCCTAAACAAAGCTGGTCTCCTCCCAGCAGGTGTCATAGAGGTGGACGGCCACTTTGCGCAACAAGAAGCAGTCAAATTAGTTGTGGTGCAGAGAATTTCGCCGAATTCTCTAAATGGTGATTTTCTCCATCATGGCCAAGAACCCAAGGAGGTTGGTCGTGCATTGGTCAATTACAGTAGCCATGAAATCACACGCATAAAGGGTCACAGGAGTACTCAAATACAGTCTTTACTGGGATATGCAGACAGCGAATATGTTGCTCTTCGAGAAAATATTTCTTTCCTCAAATTAGACGATTCCCTGCGAAAGTAGGGAGACTGCTAATTGATTTTGCACCTGAGGATTTAACTGATGAACTTTTTTTTGTACATTTCCTGAGCATTGAGGTTGAGGATGAATAGTTACGAATCCTGACAATATTATTTGAGGCGATTAACTTGTTCGGGACGACAAGACATCTATAAACCAGAAAATTTATATAGTAGACAGATTGTATCATGGCAAAGGCCTCTCTTCTGGCTCCAATAACTAAGATTCAACGGTAGCCAAAGCGTGTGGGTAGATGTGTTAAGGCTACCTCGAGATGATTCAAAATATGAAACCAAAGATGGACGTGTTTTGTTATATTCTGCGCGTCCACTTGAAATTTTATACATATCATGGGATTTTAGTCTTTCCATCTTTCTAAGAACCTCTTCATATGAATATCATGGGGATGTGGCGCCGGGGAGGCCTAGATACAAAGGCAAGAACGTTAGATTTCTAGATACGATAGATGTGAGAGGCTAAGAGCCGACTGAACATTTGTATTACATACAGTATTCTCAACGCTGACCACAGAGTATGTCCGAGAGGCAGAGATTGTAGTCTGGATTTTAGGCGCAGGAAGGTATGTCGTCGCAATATCATAAGCGCTGGCGGGAAACTGAGGGACAGGTGACGACTTTCCGGGAATTGTGCTCCCAGGCTTCTTCGCCATTGGTGCATATCTTGTAAGCCCTGTTTGTAGTTGATAAGGGATTGTATATTCCCCTACAACTTCTTTTTTCCGCAAATCCCCATGGCCGTGAACTCCTTTTATGGGACGAGGAGATGAAAACAAGCCGGTCATTTCAGTAACTGTAAACCGTTCTGAATAGTTGATCACCATGGTCTCAGGCCCGAAAGCGACCATTTTCAGGAAACTGTTAAGCAAAGGCAAAGGATGCCCTTCAGCAAAAAAAAATACCAACCACATATAATGAGTATATCAGATAGTCTTACTATGCCTCTGGTTTGTCAATTCTGATATCTGGTTGGACCCTGAAGGAGACTGAGTTTCCACGCGCGAAGATACCATCTTTAATGACAAGATCCACTTCTTCCTATATAGGCCCTCTCGGTCAACCGGTGATAAGGATGAATGTTCGACAATATAATGGGAACCCACATAAGAGTCAGGTGTGTCTCGGACGGCACAGAGATAGAGATTATATAGGACTAGGTCCGATATATGAGGAAGCTTTCCAGATTCTTTCCAGTGAGCCGTTACAACATGCCCTGTTTTCATTACTGTACCAGTCACTGGCTCAGTGAATTGGACATCTGCCAAAACAGTTGAGAGCAAAGTAAAAATTAAAGTTAGCGAACGGAGGAACCTCATGATAACAGTACTATGTTCACGTTGAAGGCAAAAATAAAAAGTATAAGTGCAGAAGCTAAAAGAACAGCACGCATAAATTAATGGGTGGCAGATGGAAAGGGTTTACACCCTGCCAACCTGGAACCTAGAGGTCACACCCCCTGTGAACCACCGGTATGCAGAACTCCAGGTTAACATAACAAACCTGCCCCCCTTCCGTCTAGTATACATACTGGTAGTAGCTCAAAAAAGGGTGGGGCGGCATACTCAGGCCCTTAAAGCAGCAATAGGGTGGCATGATCAGATGCGGAATCCACCACCAACCAAATTTGGTCGATCAAACAGCCAAGCTCGGTATGCGAGGAGCTCAAGCTCTTATATTTCCCTAATCTTAGCACACTCACTTACATATATGAATGCAAATCTTTTTTAGTTTGTGTATTTATTCCCTTCTTTTATCAGATTAGTTTGAATATGCAAAATCATATGGGTTGGTCCATTGGTGGCATAGCTACCAGTTTGCTTGAAGGAAATCCCATTGCTATTGCTATTACGGCGCTCATCGCTTTTGGGCTACCGGTTTTGTTGCACCTAATTTTCTACCAGACGGTTGCTTCTCCGTCGCTCTGTAATTTTCTGCTTATTGGACCGAGTGGAGCAGGCAAGACGGCTCTTCTGTCGCTGGTAAGTCTGGCTACTCTTGGTATCTTGTGGCCTTTGGCAGCTATCGCTGACGTACGAATACCTGACTTTGGCAGCTTGAAACAAAATCATCATCTCTCGCGAAGCAATCGCGGCTCACACATATGTCTCAAGCATCCGCCTTAGCTACAGTCAGCCTGCCCGCCTCCGTTCCTACTGCTTCGAATCGCTACCGGTCCGTCAATGACTCCTCCTTGAAGGATATTTCTAGAAACCCGATTAAATATCGTTTGAAGGATACCCCCGGCCATGGAAAACTACGTGAGTCGCGGGTGCTCTCAGAGCTCCACTCAATGCTATCGTCGAAAGACAACAAGTCCAAGCTACGCGGAGTTATCTTTCTTGTCGACACTGCTGCTCTCTCCGAGGTGAATGCTTTGCGGGAAGCAGCTTCCTATTTGTATGACGTGCTCTTGATTCTCCAGAGACGTGCTCTGAGGAAGGGACGATCTTCAATCAAAGCGGCTTCTGAAATTCCTGTACTTGTTGCTGCCAACAAGCAAGACCTCTTCACTGCCCTGCCTTCGAGATCAGTGCAGGAGAAACTAGAGGCAGAGATGGATAGGATTCGCAAATCTAAAAGTAAGGGTATTGTGGATGTCAGTGCAGATTCTGTCATAGAGGAAGATGAGGACGAAATTCTGGGAAGTAGTGATATACGGAATACCTTTAGCTTTAAACTTTTGGAGGATGAAGTCGGGGTGAGAGTTGAAGTTGTTGGTGGTGCTGTCAAAGGCGACGAGGGAAGCATTATTGGGACAGGTGTAAGGAAGTGGGAAGAATGGATTGGCCAGTGCCTATGACACTCGATGACTCAATCTTAGATGTCGATGTATTTAGGAAAATAAGGGTTGGAGGATTCATATCTAGTTGCGGGTTCAGCTGTCTGGTGCATACATAGATCATAGTCATGTCTAGCCCGAGTTGCCATGATCATCCATTTCGCCAATATCTATGCTTGAAGAGGATCGAACACACGGCTAAAGTGAGGGATCTGCCAAGAAAAAATAGGGGAAAAAAGAAGCAGCAATATAAAATGAGGAGTCAATTAGGAGCCAATGACTCCAATAAGCCCCGGAATTTGAGCTAGTATTAACTGCGCTAAGTGGTGTAGGCCTTATCTATATTCTATATAAATCAAGCAAGTATTCCCCAATCAAACCCTGGCCCGCTACCGTTCAGCTCCCATATAGGTGAGCAAAAACTCGACAGTGGGTTCCAATACTTGCATCTCGGCTCTTTGAGTTCAGAAAGCATTCTTATTATGATGAAGCATCCACGTGAGTAGGTCAACTTTCGTTGCGACTGCAACCGGCTTCATTGCACCATGCTCATCTTTTTCGGTAACAATAGCTGCACTGTTCCATTCAAAGAAACGATTTAGGACACTAAGAGGTGTGTCCATAGTGATCTCCACGAACTTGCGATTTTGGATACGGGGTTGTGAAGCATCGTTCAAATTAGTTCCCTCCAGCCTCGAACTGATCAGTCCTATGTCCCTAGGATCAGTGACAATCTCGGGTATTTTGCTAAAATTGAACATGACATCTGCGACAGGACTCTTTCCTGTGGCCCGTCCATGTGTCAGCCGGCTAAGAATATTTCCTAGTGTAATTAATCCAACAAGCTTCTTTCCAGAAGACGCAAGGACAGGAAGTTGGTCAAATCCTCTATCTCGCATTATCTCAATTGCATTCTCGCAGGGTGTATTGGATTGGACCGTCGTAATTGGCTTCAATCGCAATGAATTGACTTTCGATCCAGCAAAGTCATCCCGTTGTTCTTGTGGCGCCGTGGAATAGGAAGGAGTGCCGGCGAGTGGAGAGGGCAAAAGTCCATTTGCAGCGAGCCAGTCATCATCGGCGAACTGTATCAGTCAGAAAGAGCACTAGTAGGTATCTAAGAAATGAGCGAACAGGCCTTCGATTACCTTGGTGAGATAGCTTCTTATACTATCGGGCAAAATGACAACCACCACATCATCTTTGCCAAAGACGTTGTCTTTTGCGGCTTGCACCAGAGCTGAGATAGCACTTCCGCTGCTTCCACCGATAAGGAGGCCCTCCTCTGCTATTAAGCGACGAGCATATTGGAAGGATTCTTTATCGTTGGTTTTGTACCATTTATCAATTGCGTGCTGGTCGAGAACTTCAGGAATGAAATCATATCCAATGCCTTCAACTTTGTAAGGTTCATTTGCATGTTCCTCGTTGAGGGTTGGGGGGATAGCAAGGATAGATCCCTGTGGGTCTGCTCCTATGACATGAACGTTGGGGTTGTGCTTCTTGAGACCCCGAGCTAACCCAGTGATGGTCCCGCCTGTGCCTGCACCGGCGACAATAGCTTTAATTTGTCCATCTGTCTGGGTCCAAATTTCTTCGGCAGTACCGAACTCATGAGCTAATGGATTGTTTTCATTTCCATATTGGTCCAAGATGTGAGCATTCGGTAGCTCTTTCTCGAGACGCTTGGCCACTCCGATATGGGACTCAGGCGAATCATATGCCGCCTCGTTAGGAGTACGGATGATGGTTGCATTTAATGCACGTAAAACGGCTACTTTCTCAGCGGACATCTTTTCGGGGAGCGTGATGATGGTCTTGTAGCCTAGAAGATGGACAAGGGAGAGTCAATGAGGCCGGTCGCGAAAGAACTCCAAGGAAGACTTACCTTTGACAGCTGCGACAAGGGCGAGCCCAATACCGCTAGATGACATGATGTCAATATGATGATTAATTCTAGCAGTGGCAGCAAGACCTACGTATTTCCACTTGTGGGTTCAATTAAAGTGTCACCAGGCTTTATTCGGCCTGTACGTTCTGCCTCCTCAATCATGCGCAAGGCAATTCTGTCTTTGACACTCCCGCCTGCATTGAAGTATTCTAACTTCGCAAAAACAGTCGCCTCGATTCCAAGACTACGAGGAAGCCTATTTAAGCGCACTAGAGGGGTATTGCCGATTTGCTGGGTAATCTTGTCTAGAGCCACTGGAGGAGCGGCTGGGGTAGTAGAGGAGGACATATTAGTAAAGGAAAAATTGGTGAATAATTTATGTGACTAGGTGGGATGCCAGAAGAGAGACCATAAAATCGAAGTTATAAAAGATGCAAAGGTTTTTAGTTGATCCACAAAAGGCAGGTTTCGCAACAGGGGGAAAAAACTCACAAGAACGGTACCCCTCCCGATGGTAGCCGTTGGCCGCCACTATTTTTCGTATGACAGACTAGTGGCATAATACCAATAGACAATATCAGTATCGGTATATACGCCGTGTCTACCTACCCTTGCCAAAGTAGAAGGTTTGTAAAACTGCCTCTCAAGATTTCTCTTTTTATCTCAATCGTGGTGAATTGAAACCAACTATATACATACCTAGTATATCTAACTAGTTATTAAGGAAGATTCACTGCACTAGAAAGGGTACTGGCCGTAGATAGGCTAGATAAATCTTCTAGTATTCTGGCACTACAGGTGGTTTAATTAAGCTATCTGGTACTTACAGAGCAGCCAGTAGCACTAATAATAGTTATTAAGAGTACGGAGTAGTCTGTTAATTACTCTGAGAGCCAGGATACACTGTAGTACTCTGTAACAACTTACTAGATAATTAGTAAGGATTCGGCATATAAAGCTCTTTCCAATGCGTGGCATCTACTTCAGTATGTACAGTTACACCATATCAACTAATTAAGTTGAAGCTTTCTGAATGGATGCCCATCTAACGTAATCCGACACTGAGCGTCAAGGGTAATTACCGCTAACCAACACCTCCTACATCATCACCACCACCACTGTCCCATATCCATCCATATCATCAAAATGGTGGATATTTCTAAAGAAGAGCGAATTATTCTAGCCCTTAATGCATTAAAAAAAGGCCATTATATCTCTAACCCAAAGGCTGCAGCAGCATTTGATGTCAACTACCGAACCCTTTATAGACAAGTTAGAGTTCTTGCGCGTGCTGATAGACTTGTAAACTGCAGAAAGCTATTAGTTACCAAAGAATTTACTTTTTTAGCATGGATTCTTAATATATATCAAGGTGATTTACCTCCTTGGATTGCAACTGTCCAGTATCTAGCAGGATTATTGCTCTCTCCGTGGCTATTATCCTCCTCCTTATCTCCCACCCCTTAGTATAAAGTGGGTAAAACGTTTGTAAAGCATCGTCCAGAGCTACGCTGCAAATATAATCGGAAGTATGGCTATCAACGCGCAAAATATGAAGATCCAAAGCTTATTTATAACTGGTATAAACTCTCCCCCAATACCAAGCTAAGTATAAGATTCTGGATAAAGATATCTACAATATGGATGAGACTAGCTTCCAGATGGGTGTTATATCAACTACAAGGTTATTTGTGGCTTAGAAATAAGAGGAAGTCGAGCAAAGAATCTACAATCAGGGAATCGCAAGTGGGAAACTTTTATTGTTGCAGTTAATTCTACTGGATGCGCATTACCTGCTTAGATTATTCTTGCTGGAAAGAAGCATCAATACGTATTGTATAATTCCACAAGAATATCGGATCAGTACGAGTGAGAAAAAGGGGCAATAGGGCCAACGGGGACAACAGGAACCATAGGCCCGAGAAGTTTAAACGCCCCAGCCCTTTACAGTTAATACCGGAAATTAATTCTTAATAACTTAACTAACTTAAATTAATTATGTAATTGATAAATTCTGTATAAATAGAAGTTGCCCCTTTATATTTACAACCACTTGGTGTGAGCTGCTTTTCTACTCTAAAAAAGGCATATAAAAAGAGTGTTGCGGAGATAATGCTTTGAGAGATTTATTTTATTTACGAGAACAACTTTTTATCTTATTATCCTACAGTTTATTAACATGCATTATCACCATCTAATATCTACAGTGGATTTAGAGCAACTGGTCAAATTCCTTCAGACCTAAAGAAAGTACCTTCGAAGCTTTCTATTAAGTTAAAAACACCAACACCTCCATCTTCTGCTCATAGCAATAAAATATTGGCCCACGGAAGACACCTGGGGATATTCTGGCGCATTCAACATCTCCAGACAAAAAAAAGCAATTTATCTGCCTCCATAATGATTCAGGCAGTTGATAAGATAATTAAGGGTGCGCAGAAGAATATACAGGAAGCTATTTTAGTTAAATATTAACTACATCAGTTCTATGCAGCGCAGGAGAAGCAGGACAAGCCGAAGAAAAAAATGTCTAATAAGTTTATTTAAAATGGGGGTAGTCTTACTGGCTTTGAAGCCAAATAACAAATACACGAGTAGTAGAAGGAGAAGGAAATATCCCAGAGGAAACGAAGGCCCCAGACATGTAGCAACTGTGGCCAAATTAGCTATAACTGGTTGAAATATGTAAGTAAATAGCTTTAATTTATTATTATCTCTTAATTTTATAATTATTCATAGTGGTTGGTGGTAATAGTGGCGTAGGTGCTGTGCGCTTGAAAATCCGTTGACACTTCGGTGTCCGATTACGTTAAACCTATTTAGGATTCTACTCTCCTTGGTATGGTCTAGATCTGTGGCTGTGTCAGGAGGATAATTAATCTAGAGAGTAAACATGGCTTATTAACCGCTTCCGCACCTGTCTTTCTCCCTATTTTTCTCACTAGAAAATATACAAATACAAGTCAAAGACCGCTACACGTAATGTTTGTTTGTTAACCTATATATAAGTTAACTAATCATTATTCTTTTCTAGAAAATTTTACTATTAACAGAATTTAACTGTGCAGGTTAGATTGTCAATTTTCTATTTTTTTGAACACAATATACTTATCATGTTATCATTAAGTCATTTTGTGCGATGATTATTATTAGACTATACTTCATCCTACAAGTTTTAGACATACTCCGGAGTACTCCGTACAGCATACAGCTAGGTGGCATCAATGACTCCATTCTGAGGCCTTGCCAATGTTTTCCATATGTGCATATTGATAATATCATGATACAGTTTAAGACCCTGCCAATGTCGTGGTCCCTGAAGATCGAGGGGCTTAGCAGGCTAAGTTCTAGCTGTCTTAGGTATTTGTTAAAGGTGGGTGGGTGCTGATCACTTAATACAACATGCTGATATGTATGTCCGTAAAAGTAATAATAAACAAATACTAATAATAATATGTTTTTTTTCCCCCAAAAATATTGTGGCAGCCAGCTCACACCCCTGGTTGTCACTTCAGCACCACTTCTTTTACTCTTTCAAGTTTTCATACACCTGCATATCGATCTTCCTAAATATCTACATTGCGAACTCTGCTTGTCGTGTCAATATGGGAAGCGCCGAACAGCTGCCTTTCGCTCAGCAAGAGGATTTAAGAGACAAAGGGGAACCTTCTAAACAATTCCCAAGATCGCATGAGGACTCTGTGCTCATGCTTCCTACACACAGTGACAATGCACCCCACCATGGTGTATTCCACATTAACGCTGCGGGAGAGAGTGGAAGACGTGGAGTTCATCCAATCCATTTCCTAAAAGTGTGTTTTAAGAGTACCTGTACACTGTCAATGCTAGTGAATATTCTTTGGCCGGTTGTTCCTGCAGCAATCGCTATCTACTTTGCTTACTTTGCTCGACGGGACCTTCCTGTCTGGATTTTCTCTCTTAATTATATTGCTATGGTGCCGTCAGCCAATTTACTTGGTTTTGCGGGCGGAGAGCTCGCGAAAAAGCTGCCCAAGGTGTTCGGTGTCCTGTTAGAGACGACACTGACATCGGTCGTGGAGATAGTCCTTTTCATGGTTCTGCTCCACAAAGATGAAGGAGGAAACCTTATACCTGTAATCCAGGCTGCTATTTTGGGGTCTATCTTGGCAAACCTCTTGCTCTGTTTAGGACTATGTTTCTTTTTCGGAGGGCTTCGTCGCGAACATCAGTCTTTCCATGAGGCTGTAAGCGAAGTGGGCACGGGGCTCTTGCTGGTCGCGGGCTTTGGCCTACTGATTCCAAGTGCCTTTCACTCGGCATTGAGCGGAAGCCCGTCGAATATAAATATCTCACCAGAAGAGCTATCACATTCCACTCTGGTCATCAGCCGGTCTACCTCTGTCATCCTTCTTGTGGCTTTTCTGATGTGAGCTAGCTTATGTTACCACCTTTGACTAGCGGTTTCTCCTGCTCATGCTATGCGTTAGGTACTTGTTCTATAATCTGCGCAGCCATCATAGTATATTTGACGAAGTGCTTGAGTTGGATGAACACCAAGACGAAGATCGAGAGAAAGAACTCAAGCGAGCGAAGCTTACATTAACTGAATGTTTTCTAGCTATTGTCATATCATTGGTTTGTGTCTGCATGTCGGCAGTGTTCCTGGTCCAAGAGATTGAAAGCATTGTTCACGAAAGAAACGTGTCGGACAATTTCATGGGCCTGATTCTTGTTCCCCTGGTCGAAAAGGCAGCAGAACATCTGACCGCCATCGATGAAGCCTGGTGGGTGAACCGTCTCGCTCAACCGGTCCATCTGGAGAATTACTGACACTGTGTAGGGATAACCAAATTAATTTCGCACTCTTCCATTGCCTTGGTCCATCAATCCAGACGGCCTTTCTGAATGCACCACTCGCAGTCCTAGTAGGTTGGGGCCTTGGCAAGGATATGGGCCTTAACTTTGAAATATTCATGATTGTTCTGGTAGTCCTGTCTATCCTCGTTGTGGGTAATTTCTTGCGTGACGGAAAGTCCAATTATCTTGAAGGAGGACTTTGCGTCTTGATTTATGTGATCATCGCTGTTACAACGTGGTATTACCCCAAGGTCGAACCTCAGGGTATCAAGTTGGCCCACCATGAAGCATAAGCCGTACATATTTAGGAGGGAATTCATACACAGTATGATACTTTCCCTGTGGACCAGGGGGTGTAGTATAGAATTGGAGCTGTTTCTGTTATACACAAGAGTATGATATTAATAATGCACATTTGTAGGTGGATTAGTAGCTCTATGTTGGTGGTTAGTTAAACTGTAGCACCTCCACTTTTGTGTGGGGCGGTCAATAGTTTGCTACTGGACCAAGACAGCATTAGCAGGTACCTCTGGTATGTCTGAACCAAACAAACAAAGGGAAGCTCAATGGACCCAGTCAACATTGTCCTGTCGGCCTTCAAATCTCATGATATTCATATAAAACATGACGAAATCAAACTAGCTCTCAATGATGAAGCCGCCAAATCGGCCTTGGGACTCCTGGTTGATGACACTCTCCTGTCACAAGAAGAGCTCATCTCGTATGCCACCATTACCAGGTCGAACCTTACACTAAATTCAATTGACTAAATAAATGACATTAAATACCAGATACTTAGAACTAGGAAGTTCTGGCGCCTTAGAGACCCTCAATCTCTCGGACGTGGATATGACTAGGCCATTCCTAGACGAAGACCTTCGGGGTGCGATCGAATCCTTGAACACATCAACAGCCGCGATTCAGAAACAGAATGAAATCTTAGCATTACAACACGACTTCCTGAACAAGCAGTTTAGCATGGAAAGCGAACGAAAACTTGGGCATAAAAAGGACGCGGAACGCCTAGGCCAAAGACACGAATCACGAAGGCAAAGTATAAATACAATGGTAATGATTTCTTACGAGATTTCAGATGATGGGCGCTGGCTGATTTATCTCGTATAGGCTACTGAGTTGGCCCACGAATTGAGCCTGACTCTGAAAAATGAGTCTGAAAAGGCGACAACTGACGGAAGGAAAATACTTTCCGTGCTGACAATCTTGATGAAGGAGGATGATAGGATATTCACTGATATAGAGAAACTTGTGACTGAAGTAAATACAACTGGCGATGACGCCTTATTCGTCAAGCATACGCTGGACCTGGACACACGGCTCTCACAATATGTCGCCGAAGAAATACAGCACCGGCTTGACAGATCATATTTGGAAAGTATCCAAGATAGCCAGAAGCCTGGACACTGTTTAAGAGAAACCGAAGATGAAGGTATGGCTACATTGGAGGACGAATTAGAATCTTTATATCCAGAAATCGATGTCCTCGCCGAGATTTCTTCAAAACAGCGGTACGGGGAACCCATCTTACGTGAGCTTCACAATCGTCACGGCAAAATGCGCATCGCTGCCCACAAAAAACTCGACTACGTAAGCCTCTTCTCAAACTTTACATCACAAAATCTAACTTAAATTAGATTATAGATTTGATAGCTGAAATGATAGTCTCGGCCGAAGACTTCACTAAATATTTGCAGGACCGCGAATCATTTTGCAGTACCCTCGAGACTTTGAGCGCCACGCTTCAATACGAGGTGGGCGAACAATTCCCAAATCCACATACCGCAAGGCGAGAAACATGGAAGAGACGTCCTGTTCAGCCTACGCCGATGCCTGCTCCTTCCGAGGGTAATGTTGGCCTCCTTCCCGAATTTCAGTTTCTCGCTGGCCTTTTGCGCCGAGTCAGTATGCCTTCTGAATTGGTGTTCCGAGCAGAAGAGGATGGGTCCATCGTTGCTCTACACGAGAAACGACTGCACATGTTCGAGTGCTCGAGCAGTTATGCGTTCGCTGCAGATGCATCATTGGTGGCAGAAACAGCCCCAACTGACAGAGCTACCCGACTTTTGTCATTATCTCTACACCCAAGTGATCACGGTGACTCTTTTTGCCATGTGGGCCATGAGAATAGCCTTCCGCAACTTGAATTACAGCTGCGGCGTATCCAAAAAGATATTGAACAACTAAACTGGGACGTGCTTCATCGACGAGACAATAACCGGAAGAGTTTCATGGAAAAGTGGGCATGAATTAGAACAATTATTGATCAAATTTCGTAGCTCCAGAGCTCCTGCAAGTAAAAAGGATACTATCACATTTGTTGTGAAGAAAGCTGTTTTAGACCTCGGCGCTCTTTTACTAGTGTCAGTATTCACTAATCATCTGCCAATAGTTAGTCCACGGGGTGCAATTCTATGTGGCTGGTGCGATGTAGTTCCGCGCCACATGATTTGCATAGTCATGTCTCTTGTCAGCCATCTTATCAAAGGGAAGATTAGAATTGTCCACATGGCATAAAGAGGTATAAGGGATGTAAGCCTGTTGCCTATGAAACCAACTGCTACGAAATACTTGACCTCACTAGCCAGGATCTCTGAAGAGGTTTCATCTTGGTCGCCCAAACATCCCTTTCACTTCATTGTATGAGGCTCTTAATGAAGGGCTCCTAGAAGTAGAGAAAAATATCAAAACAACATCTCAATTAGCGCTGCCCCTTGTCCAGAAGAAAGAGAGAAAGAAAGAAAGAAAGAAAAAGGACTGAAGGAAGGATAAAGAAAATAACCAAAATAAACTCCCTCTCATTGTCCTTTGACCGGCTGACTAGCTAATTGTGCCGCATGACTGAGGCAGCCACATATCATGCCTTTATTTTGTTCACCGGGGCATCAACCATCCTACTGCCTATAGGTTGCTTTGTTGATAACATCTTATTTTATTAGATCCATTATTGTAGATGATGATCATTAAGAAATTTGCTAATCTGCAGGGGTGCACTGCTCTAACGCTGTAGGCACTTGATACTAATGTTGAACACATAAACTCTTTATAACCCTTTTATTATTATTTCTTCCCTTGGCCCGTCCCATCCTTTATGCTGTCTCATGAAAAATCTTAATGATAACTTTGGTACTTGAAATGCAAAGAAATAACAAGCTGTATGCTTTTCTTTAGTCTCTGCATGGTAGGCTGTATCTATGTACAATCAGGCGGCTCAAACCCATGACATTACTCAACCACATGTTTCTGTTTATTTCTGTTATTACTTTTGCTAGCCATCTCGCAATGAAAAAGAGGCCAAGGTATCAGTTCCTATTGTTAGCTATTACTTGTAGCTGCTGCTGTCTATTTGCTGTCTATTAGATTTATGCCTGGCTACTATAATCGCTCAATCTAGACGAATTTGTTCATTTGAGCCTACGATCTCATATATAGATCCTCCAGATAACCCAAAGGTGTACAGTCCTCTGGTCCCCGGCAACAGATATTCTCTTGTCGGGTTCAGAGGTCATTCACTTATCATAGCTGGACGTCAACACTAAAGGATAGAGAGAGATGTGCCTAGTTGATGAGTACACTGACGTGTATCCAATGGAAATCCGATCGAGAAAAGTCTTCCACCGATGTTCACTTAGTGATGGTAGAAGAACCTGCAAGCACGTTCGGGTTCGAAACCATGGTGAATTTTACCACGCAGGCCGTGTCCAGTCAAGGGACTCCCCAGAAATAGCTTCGTCTTTGCTAGAAAAACCGCCGAGAACATCACCGTCGGCTCGAAGTCGCCCATCTAAATTCCGTGTTCCGTTTATCAGATTGTCTTCAGAGGCCGATGAAGAACAGAGCCGTTACAATTCTCGAAGTCACAGAGGAGCCACTCGTCCGTTCGTGGTTGACTTTCCTGAGGATATAGAGTGGACACGGCAAAGAACTGAAGGATCGAATACCCCACGGCGGCATACGGTTTCGCCGCAGAGCAAATTCTTTTTTGGTTTGGGAGACAAGGAACAAGATGACATTGATTGCATGTCCCGAAAATCTTATTCGCAGCATCGACCCCGAGTATCGCGCTCACGAGAAGAGAGGATGCCGATCCCTGAACGTGACCAGCGCCCATCTCTAGCTCATATGGTGGAAGCTCGTAATACACTTCATACCGGCAGCGATAGAGATCAGGGAATGAGAACCGGCCACCGACGTGTCCGTTTTACAAGCGAGGTAAACTATGCGGAGCCTATCAATAAAAATAGAGAGCACAATAAAACAGCCGATAGTGTCCACACTCATCAATATCGTTTCCTCAAGGAGAGGCCAAACACTGAGGCCCGTACGCCTTATCTTGCACGATCAATAGAAGTTACGAAGACTTTTACGGCATCTAGGTCAAACCGTCTTCGACCGAGAGTGATTCAAGACGGCAATCGCCGACTGGCTAGAGCGGGCGAGCGCATCTTCGTCGAGGCTCGGAGGAGACAAAGGGAAGACAGTGAATTCAATTCGTATACTGGCAGGCGACATTGGAACCGCCAACCTAGGCGTTGTACGTGAACTGAGTCCTGGCGATGACAGGATATTCTGCGATCTGCGATGAGAGCCATAATCGCTTTTCCTGACGCAGGCTAACCTGTATAGATAGTTTATCTTGGTCCTAATATGTTAATTTTGTGGCACAACTGTATTTTTGTGTTCGCCATGCTGTATCAGAAACATGGTTTCCCTCCATTTCCTCTGTCTTTTGTCTGGACGACGCAGACATAGTGGAAGAAGAAGCAGTTCAGTGTAATATATCACGTCTATAAGCCCTAGGAGACTAATTGGTGGTATTAAATGGATATGTTTATCAATGAATGTATGCATACAAATACTAAGTAGCAGCCAATAGCTGGGATGGTATGAATGCATGACTATGCAGAGGCGGATTTGGCTGGATGTGGGACCAATAAATGTCCGACAGCATTCTGGTACCTGGCTGGCTACTGCTAGACCACATAAGCATGCTAGGCTACAAATGCTTTCTCTTTAAAAGGCAAGCTACCCCTTAGAAGTCTGTGTTCTATTTACTTCCACCATACCTAGATCAATTCACTATAGAATTCACTCTTTCCACACAGGTCCTGGGCCGACAATGTCCTTGATAGATGATGGTCGATATTTTTATATAGGCTTGATATCCCTGTGAAACTGTGATGTTCACTGTTTCAGCTATCTACAGCTTATCCCACTGAATAGTTAGTCCTCCAGAAATAAATGGTTAGGGGATCATCACACAACTCTAACCGCACAATAGCATTCTCTGGCCAGAGAGCATTAATAATGGATAAAGGGACACTCAACTCTGGGCAGAATCTAGCACCTGATCTCAATCAGATTTCACCAATCAGGGCACTGGGCCTATTGTGTGCCAGCTTTGAGGTGCTGTCTAGGCCGGCTATGGACAACTCCAGCTCGTCTCCTGTCTGGACAGATAGAATATCTGATACAGCGCTTCCCTCAGTTCGAGGTACTGAATTTCGTTGCTCTCCAAGAGAATACGATCAAATGGATCGGGACCTTCTTCAACAGAGCATACTATCCAAGAGGTTCTTCTCAAAGCGGGAACCCCCGATCACATTGAAAGATTACTTACTGCGGCTCCATCGCTACTGTCCAATGTCTACGGCTGTCTACCTTGCTACAAGCATGTACATCACTCGAATGGTCACAACCGAAAGGGTCGTGTCGGTAAATCCGAGGAATATGCACCGCCTAGTGCTTGCAGGAATTTGCGTGGCAATGAAAATTCTTGAAGATCTCAGTTACCCTCAAAGTCGTCTTGCCAAAGTTGGCGGAGTGACAGAATGCGATTTGTCAAGGCTTGAGATCAGCTTCTGTTTTCTGGCCGATTTTGAGCTGCGAGTCGATGTTCGGATGCTTATTATCCAAGCGGCAATTCTTGAACAGAGTGCTATTTCCAATGTTGATTTTAATGAGTAAATAATTCCGCGTTTTATAGACATCTACCAGATTGCTTCTGGTTCTAGAAAGGATACTTATCACAAGCTATTGGGGTTGGGGATTTGACTATGTTCAATGTGACGCCATCCTATATAGGAGAGAGATATAGTATGCACATTCACACGTTGTTCTCTATTACATTCTTTCTTTTTGTTTCACCTGTTTATTACTTCTGAGAGAATAACAATGTTTATTCTGGATACCTACTAGGAAACTTAGCCTTTTCCGCTCGAAATCTTTTCTATCTGTTTATTGCAACTTGGTTGCCTAAATAGCCCCATTTGAAGACTGATGAGTAATCGACAGGGCTGATCGCGGTTCAGTATTATTAATTGCTATTATTTAAAGGAGTCGTGGATAGGAAAAATTTCTGTCACATCTATAAATAAGGATGTAGTTCTCATAAGCTAGCTTTTAATACGCATACTATACTAACTGGGACGAGATTTGTGCCACTTTACAGTTCTCCTGAAGGTTGTTGTTTGGGAATGCCTGAGGATCCTAGCGCCCGTCGCCAATTTCTACGAGCGAAAAAGTAAATTGTCCTGACCGTCCCCGAACTCTCCATTGTGAAGCCCTTTCGTCCTCTCGCTATTCACTTTTCTCATCAGCACCGGTGGCGGTATTTCCATATGAGACTTATATCGGTTTGTGGTTTGTGGTATTGATAGCACAATGATTTATTAGATCGCGTGGAGAGAAAAACAGCTACCCATACTTGCAATCTTCGTCACCATTACTCTTGCTTCCAAGCAACATATACGGTACACCTCCTTGCGCGGCAACCTACCGCGCTTTCGACGGAAATGTCTTCCGAATCTCCTTCAATGGAACCTCAAAGCAGCAGCAGTTCCGCTGGCCTAAGTTCGAGTTCACCATCCGTCGTCAATGGTAAAGGCACGACCACCTTCCCGAAGGTTACCCACGAGGATGCCAGCGTCGAACTCAAGAATATGAAACCAGAACGTGGAGGTATAAAAGGTGCAATCCCTCTGGGGGAAGATATTATGCAGATTGCTCGGATAGGCGAGATCCCAGCCATGCAGGGACTGTTCGATGAGAAGAAGTTCAGTGCCAACTATAAGGATGACGAAGGAATCACTCCATTGCATGTGGGTACCAATCTAATTTTCTTGTACCTTCTCCAAAACAACTTAGACGATTTATCTTTCTTTTTTGGCCTCCTTTTACTGACGTAATGCTTGCGTTGTCTCTAGTGGGCTGCGATTAACAACCAGTATGCGATGTGCAAATTCTTACTGGACTCTGGCGCTGACGTAAATGCTAAAGGAGGGGAGTCAGTGGCTACACCAGCAATGTGGGCGGCTCAGCGGTGCCACTATTATATTGTCCACCTTTTGCTTCAACGTGGTGCCGACCCCCTACTTACCGATGTACAAGGGTATAATATCCTTCATTTGGCAACTATCGATGGAAATGCTTTCTTACTTGTCTTATTACTGCACCAAGAAATACCTGTTGACGTTGTTGATCAACAGGGCCATACTGGATTAATGTGGGCAGCTTACAAAGGATTCCCTGCATGTGTTGATTTGTTTTTGCGCTGGGGTGCCAACGCGAATGCTGTCGACGAAGGTGGCCTGACCCCTCTCCATTGGGCACTGGTAAAGGGCTCGATGCCTTGTGTCATGAAGGTCATCGAGTATGGCGCGGATAGGTTCGCGAAGACTAGAGATGGTAAAACGCCAGCAATTGTGGCTGGCGAAATGAATACAACGAGAATTTGGCATCGCGCTTTAAAAGAATGCGGCTATGACCTCGACGGGAATGTGAAGATTGTCCCTATGGGATTGAATTCTTGGATAGGGAACAAGAACATTGCGTCCAAGTTCTTTTTCCTTTGGCCTTTTTTGATGGTTTTTGTGGCTGTTTGGATTCTTAGCAACATGGTGATATATGCCGCTATTCCAATGGTGCTTGTGGTGCTGTTCGGATTGCAGTGGATAGCGCAGAAGGCCGCCAGCCAAAGCGTACCTGAATATAAGATACTCCAGAAGACGGTATGTATAGACCCATGATGGTGTGTTTCATTTACGCCATGCTCTATTCTGGCATTGTTACTAAACTTCAACATAGCCATATTTGTCTGGTGTATTTGCAGGCACCCTATTCTGGGTTGGTATTAGATATGTTCTCTACGTGCTACCAGGTGCGATACGGTCTCAAAGCTTTCACCATTGGGCTACCTGAAGCTAATTTTTTTTTTTTTTTTTTAAAAGCGACTTACTCTACTGTGCCATTCTTAAATGCCTTTTTCGCCATATTTTTCTGCCTGACGGCATACTTCTACATTTACTCGATGGTTGAAGACCCCGGGTTCGTCCCAAAACTGGGTAGTAGGAACCAAGAGAGAGCAGTTATTGCCGAGCTTTTCGAGAACTGGAAGTTTGACGAAGAGAATTTCTGTGTCTCTTGCATGGTCAGGAAGCCTTTGCGGAGCAAACATTGCAAGCGCTGTGGACGCTGTGTTGCGAAACATGACCAGTGAGATTACATCTGCACAAATACGCAAAGCCCAGGACTAATTTTTTTTCGTTTTTATTTTAGCCATTGTCCTTGGATCGATAATTGTGTTGGTGCAAACAATCTGCGCCATTTTGTTCTATATATTACATGCCTAGAAGTTGGCATTATGTTGTTTTTACGGCTCTCATTTATTTGTAAGTGCATCTGTTGTTAAGGGGCGCAATTGAATTGTCTAACAAGAAGCGCCAGATATCAATGCTTTACCGGCACCAGCAGGGACCAAGTGCAACGTTATTAATGATACACTATGTGACTTAGTGGTTCGTGACACGTTTACTCTTATTCTAGATTTGTGGATAAGTATTCAGCTGGTCTGGATTACTATGCTTTGTGCTGTTCAACTAGTCCAGATATCACGGAACCAAACTACGTATGAAAATATGAGGGGGCATTCGATTGATAGAAGCTATCCAAGTTCGCGGGCCTTCGCGTCTGCTTTGACTGCTGGGGCGACGTCCCTTGATGCAGCTGGTCTCTCATCTGCCGGCCAAGGGCCAAACCCAGCCCTGCCACCGAGTGCTCCTCATCGACCTCGACGACATGGCTGTTTGCAGCAATGGTCATCTCTCCTAGGAATTGACACATTCTTCGCAACTGCACGGGATGGACTACGGGACGGTCGCCATTCGGCCCGGCCCAAAAACGCCTTTTCGCGTGGCTTTATTATCAACTGCCGGGATTTCTGGTGCGATCCCGCACCTTATTTTGGCAAGCGAGAGTCGGGCTCTGCAATGCTTGGTGGTGAGATAGTCAACTACAATCATATGTACGAAGCCCCACTACGGATACACAGCGGCGGTGGGTATCGGGGCCTGGCAATGGAGGAGCCCGAGCAGATGGTTTGAAAATGACTTCATGATATAGTAAATAGTTCTTCTTTTACCCTTTTTTTTTTTTTTTTTTTTTTTTTTTTTTTTTTTTTTTCAGTTGGTTTTCTGCTCAGCTTCAGGTTTGGAAGAGGTGGGAATGCATCTGAGGACCCAGCCTGATATAATGGAACGAATGCGAACCTTTGTATAGACGAGCGCATGACTGGCTAGGTTAAGATGGCCACAAATTGTTGTATTTTTGGAGCCCTTTCATACTTTGGTGTATTGGGATTTGCATACCTTAAGTACATATTGAATGACAACAGTACAATCTCAAGCTCCAAGGCATCACGTTCAACGAGAAAACACCAATGTTCTGAGTGATCTGGGACAGTAAACTTGGGACAAGGCTTGGAGATAAAAAAACAGTGGGAGCACGGAATCTCTTCGATTTAGAGATTTTTAGTTAGGAATTCAGATTAACAACTTTCACGGCTACCTTCCTAGGTTGTGGTAGGAGATGAATCACATTCATGCAGTCTACCTTGTGCTTGGTGAATGTCTGTCCACTTGGGCCCATGCCAGCTAGTACCTACCTACAAAATACTAAGGTACCGTGAGACAGGGAAGCAAGAACAGCCTAGTAAAATCGGTAAGTACTATACGCCGTACGCACTTAAAAAAAAAAAAAAAAAGAAGAAAAGAGAGAGAGAGAGAGAGACTAAAGGTCCGATATCGCCGGAATTCCGCAGGCTGCGCTAGGATCTTATCTCGGAAGGATGTATAGTCCAGGGGTGGGGGCTACGAACTTTCTACAGGCATACTTAGCTGCTGATACTTAACTGGTCTGACATTCCACCACCACTGTTAATATTCGTCCTTCAATCCATTTCATACTATTTGAAGATTTGGGGAAGCTACAAACTGCCCAACACTATATAGAATCCATACAATAACAAGCACCAGTTGACGGGAACGCGCCGGCACTGTTGGTCCGGATTGCCTGCGCTTACCTAGGTACTACGTTCTACGTTCTCCCCGTGACAAGAAAGGTATTGATTGCAGAGCATCGTATTCCCCCACGAGGGTCAACTTCATCCCCGTCATCGGGCCTGGGCCCTACGGGTCCAGATGTATAAAATGGGATCATATCTGAGACAAACAAAATCAGAGACCGTTACATGATAGTGATACCAGGACCCGAAGGAAGAGCTCCTATTCCGAAACCATCGTTGATTCTTCCCCTTATTGGGGGCAAAAAAAAAAAAAAAGCTTGTCCGAGCCAATGGACGGTGATGCCTGCGGATGGCTGGGTTCTTGGTTTTGTGGGTATCTAGGGGTGAAATGTGGGTAAGGGTTAATATTATCAATCAATTGATCAAATAGTTGTTGGAAGAAACTCCTTTGGATCTCAAACTCCCAGAAAAGACCAGTATTGAGAGAAGGATGGGGGATGAAGGTAACTAAGGGAAAAAGAAAGAAAGGGAAAAAAAAGGGAGACGGTATTGAATTAGCCAAAAGAGTTCTAGAACTAGCCACCTATATGTATGTATGGTCACGACGCACTGGTGATATTCCCCAATTGCTTTTTCTGTATTGACGGAGTGGATCGCTCCATGTTTTTTCCTGTCCTCGGGACGTGGTTTAAAAAGGGAGGGGGAAAGAAAAATGGCGCACTAGCGTCGGCCTCGGCTTGGTACCAACGTCAATTCGTGGGATGGCGCCATCAGATAACAGATGAAAAATTTTATCTGATCAGATTATCGGCAAGGTTCACGGATTCAACCTTTGGTTGTTAGATATCTATACAATGCCGTCTATAAATCAAGGAATGAACAGGAGCTCTCCTCTGTTTATACCTACATCCATTCAGCTATCTTAGCAATTTATTCTAACATTTGTCTTTTGCTAGTTGTTAATATTGTATCGTGTGTAGACGTGCCCAGAGCAATAATTACTCGCTAGTCATCAGCGGGGACATGTTTTACGAGTGCTTGCTACCTACCTGCTACCTACCTGCGACCTACCTGCTTCGTACCTGCGCCGTAGGTTTGCCTCACGATAATCGGTCGCACTACTCACAAGCCAGTAAATACGAAGAGACACTCCTTTTTTTCCTTTGGCTAGGAACACAACATATATCATATCTAGCTCTGAATTCAATTTCTGTCAACCTCTTTCCAGAACCCCAAAGTGATTGTATCTAGATAGCATGATATATATATAATAGACCGTAATAATAAATCTTTGACGTTAAAAAAAAAGACCAACAGAAGGTATTCTTTAGCCAAAAAAAAAATAAAAAAAATCATAAAATAAAAGCCAATAAAAATATCCGGTCCTCCCTCATTCCGTGTCCATTTCTACCCACTAGTCCATTTTCTGCCGAATTATTCTTCTAGCGCCGAATACGCGCAAAAGAAGCGGACTTGGAGGGCCTCCCCTACTCGTCAGTCCCCCTCTTGTCCTGTTCTCCACTCCTTGTTTTTTTACTCTTCCTAAAGCATAGCACGGTATTTGGGAGTGTCTGCCAATACTGCGCCCGCGAGCTGGTTTCCAAAAATTGACTGTACCATCTCTCCACCACGGGATGCAAGAACCGACAGAAGACTGTCACTCAAACCATGTGTTTTCTCGTTGGATCCTTGCAGCCAGATTCCAGCCTGCGCGCTGACTTTACCAGGATCTAGTTCAACCCGATATTCCCGGTTCGGGCTCCACTCTTCCTGGCCCACCGGGCGCAGATGCTGCACACTCCCTAGGAGCCGCTCATGCGCATTGCGGAAATAGCCCGTAGCCACCATCAAGGCGTCCACTTCCAAGGTTTCCTTGCCTTCGTCGACTGCGTTCTTGGCTTCCTCTCTGGCAGATTTTAGGTGAATGCGCATCCGACTATTGGGCCCGTAGTGTTCAACCCGCGTGATCTTCCGGTTGGGGAGGATGCGATGCTGCCATTTCGTTTCATCAGGATTCTGAACCCTCTGGATGTACATGTCGTGATAGATCTCCTCGATCAGTTCGAGTCGGACAACACTGTAGTTGGTCGCTTTATCGGCAGCGAGGGAGCGCTGGCGTTCGGCGGGAGAGAGGTTGAAGAATTTATCGACTCGTTCAGGGTTGAATAGTTCGTTGACACTAGAACCTCGCGTCAGCTAGCTGGTATAGAGCCTTGTCGGCGTGGTTTCAGCTTACAAGGGTGAATCATCACTGGGTCGCATGGCAGTATCTCTCATGATAAGTGTGGTCTTTGACTTGGGGTACCTCTTCTGAAGGTCGTGGAAGATCTCCGCGGCACTTTGACCACTTCCCAGCACCGCAATGTTGTAAACCTCTTGGTCGTTATTTAGCAGAGCCGGCAAGGTAGTGCAATATTTGGAAGAATGCATTATCCGAGGGTCCTGTGGAAGTCCTGGAGGAACCTTCGCAGTGCCTCCAATTGCTACAACGACCTTGCGTGCATTTCTTGCAGACACCACGCCCGTTGCCACGTTCCGAGACTTGACGGTGAAAAAGTCGACAACCGTACTGCTTGGGTCAGACTTTCCCGGAACTACTTCAATCACTTCTTCTCCGTAGGAGACCACATCTGAAAATCTCCGTGCACACCACCGCATGTAGTCCTCAAACTCCAGTCGGGCAGGAAGAAAAGTGCCCAGGTTGGTGAAATGGATCAGCCGATCTTTTTGGTGGAGGTAGTTGAGGAAAGTGAAGCTACTGCGAGGATCGCGTAGAGTCGCCAGGTCCTTGATGAACGAAATTTGCATCTTTGAGCCCGGAACCAGCATGCCCGAGTGCCACGCGAATTGCTTCTGTCGCTCAAGGAAGCACACTTTGGGCTGCCAGCCAGAGGGGGCGGACTTGTTCAAACACGGGTCCAACGCATCGTGAAGAGCAATCGCGATAGCCAGAGAAGCTGGCCCAAATCCAATACAGAGGAGATCGTGTAGCTCGTCCTTAGGTGTTGCCTTCAATCGAGGTGGATCGCCAGAGGCACGTTGCTGCACGACGGGCATATTGCGATGATTGTAGAAGCTCTCGGGCTTCAGTTCCACAGGCTCCATTGATGGAATTGAATATGCGGTGGTATGATATACTGTGAAGTAAAAGAGAGAGATAGAAGAGATAAAAAGAAATAATAATATAAATGCTAACCCCGAACTTGACCTAAGGAAAAATTATAGAACTCGAAAGGAAAATGACCAAGGATGTTGCGGGAGAGAGGGATAGCAGTTTATGTAGCGGTTGATGGAGAAGCAGAGACACCAGCTTTAATTATGCAGCCAGAAAACTGTAACAAATCTGGAAGGAAAAAAAAAAAAGAAAGGAAAAATTAAATAATAATAGTAATAATATTATCATCGAGTTACTTTTCAAAAAATAAAAATAAAAAAAGGCGGACCCAGAAAGACAGTTTTTCTAGGCAAACCAAACCAGGCGATTTCTTTGACAGCGGGCCGTGAATGGCAAGATAGTCGTCCTCGGTTCCACCAGCTGATTGATTAAGGTCGGAGAGTTTTCTTCTTCTTCTTCTTCTTCTTCTACTTCTTCTTCTTTTTCTTTTTCTTTTTTTTTTTTTTTTGGTTTCTTTCTGGCAGCCTTTTTAAAGAACTAGGAAGAGCGGGGGAATGTGCAAAGGTAATATGGCAACTGCTGTCAACCCCTGTAGCTCCTACTGCTTAAGTATGTACCTAGGAAGTAGGTAGGTACCAGCTAGGTATGGATGGGCTCTGATCGATTGCGGTAATACAGATACAACTCTTTCCTTTTTCTGGCAGGAGGAACAAAAATCGACTAAACACCTTAGTACCTAACTTTTATACATCCTAGTGTATTACTAGTATTTCTTAGGTCGGCCGGTGGGTTGGAACAGATAATCAGATAACTTTTACAACCAAAGCATGTGGAGATTACTCACGGTGGTTCGTTCCCTCGAACAGTTGAGTCCGTGTTGCCGAAACACGCCACGAGGGTTCCACTGATGAGTTGTAGCGAAAGAAAAAAAAAAAAAGGACTGGGCTATGCAGACAAGAAAAGAGGACGGTATATCACTTATGACTTAATATGCTCAGGCCATGCCATTTTCCCCCTCTCAAGCAAAAGCCAAATGCAAAGCCCCACATCAAGTTTTTTCGGCAATATGTGTAAAGTGGGATGATGGAAGCTCAGATTAGATCCGCACTTACCCGATATCCGGAGAATTGCGTCCACCGCCCATACTTGGTCCATGGCCCTACAACAAACTTTCCTCATCTCTGTGCCAAGTAGTACGTACCAGTACTTACTTAGTAGGTACAGACCTCAAGGATCTCGGCAATATTATGTTGGTACATGTACGAGCTGTATGGTTACCTTACAGCCGGTCCGGCGAAATCGGGTATTTCCTAGCCCTTCTCTTCCTATGTACAACCACTACCTACCTAGGTAGTTAGTAGAATGCTTACCACCCTAGGCCACGGGCAAGTTAACTTAATGTAGCCCAAACACATTATTGCTCAGCGGCATTCCCTGCTATTAATGCTGGGATAGCAGCATCATCTATCAAACAAACTTGCAAGAGCTTCGATGGAAAATATTCCCGCCTTGTTAAATGCCCATGATTCGTATAGTTAGGTATATCCGGAACTTTATCCAGCCGTGACGTCCCAGTTGAACTCAGGAGCTCCCCATCTGGTCCAGGGGGTTCTCCGCATTCTGTTCGTTATATTTTCTATAATGGTAGCGCGCACGCACCGCTTAAGGTCTTCACTTATGTCCAATGCCCACCCCCCACCATCGGAAAAAGGACGGACTGTCTCCGGGCATATTGTGTTCTGAGTCGGTTATACCTCTTATTGTGGTTGCGTTTCAGAGGAGAATAAGTTCTGCCGGTTTGTATTCAGGATAGGAAGAAGGTTTGTCCCACGCCAAGTATTTGCAAAATCCAAGGTCCGAGGTAGCATAAAGTGAGAAAAGGCACAGAGGACAAGACCAAAGAAGGCAATTAAAGAAACTCGGGAGAGAGGAGGGGGAGAAGACTCCTCAATCCTAAGTAGAAGGTAGGAGAATCCATACAAGTCTACTATCTGGCCAATCCTGTCTGTAAGCCCCCGCCGGGTCTCTTTTTCGAAGCTAACCTGGTCAATGGCCATGCAGACATCCACATATACGCATGCATGTTCTCCCAGTTCCCCCACCAATGTACCCCTCATTCAAAACTCGTCTCTCCGTTTGAGCCTACTATAGCCAGTGGCTAATCAAGTCCCATTTCAGCGTGCCTATCCACTCGCGGTATTACTTTCAGTGATGCGATAATTAGATGATCAAGACCTAAGTGTCTACCACAGCGCCTCGGGCCTCGCAATTACTGAAATCAAATAAAGGAAAAGGTGGCCGTATTTGTGACCCCGTGAACCTTAACAGTATTAAGTATATGGGGGGCCGATCTTTTTCAGGAAAATACTTTCGCCTAAAAATCGCTGCAGCGTAATGCTACTTTGGTACTCTAGCTTTTCTAGCATTTTCTCCTTTGCCTAAATTTCCAAATCCTAAGAAACCATCAAGTCTGCCGAGCTGCCTTCAAAGTTTATACATGGATATAACTGCTGACTCTTTAGAACCTCTGTACTGAATTGGAATAGAGGGTACATAAATTTGAAAAATGCACAATTGACACCATTCACTCGAAAAGAAAAGGGCGGAAATAAAATGGAAAGAGGAAAAGAGAGAACCGTAGTTGTGTTGTGGAAGGAGAGTGCATGAATGAAAGGTAAGAAAACACACCTCTCCTCTCTCTCTATATATCTTGTTATTCATGGCATTTTATCCTGTATAGAACTCGGAGGAGGGGCAGTTATTAAATATTAAACTTTATATTCTGAGAGCGAGTCATTCTAGTGATTTTAAAAGTAGCTGGTGATACCCCTATAGCATTCTTCCCGTACCCGGATTGGGCCTACTGTATACGTACATATCCCAACAGCGAACAAGCGTGTCTATTTATGGAAACAGTATCCATAATAAGCAGTATGTCAAACACTAAAATGGAACGAGTTGCATATACTACCATGTCCTACTGGCGCAAGTGACAACTTTTTTCCGTATGAATACTTAAAATTTATGTGAACTGCAGATAATAATAAAGTCCACCCGAGGTATCAATTTACAGATGGTTTGCTCAGGACAGAGGAACTAGACATTAACATTGTACGATATCTCATATGCCTACCTAATAAAGTTTCATCATAGTATATACTGCAACATCGCACATGTATTGGTAGTTCAGTGTCATTGGTAGTTTTAATATATACTAGGGAAATTAAAATCCCTAAGTGTATTTCCTATAATACTGGAAGAAGCAGCTTGTTAGGTGTGGATGCGTCACCTATCATTATATATAAGGCGCTCAGGAATATCTGATCCCAATGGGGATCAGATATAGTGGTCTTTTGGTCCAGTGGAATAGTTAAGATCCTGAGCTTGGCTATAACACAGCTTTTTGATTGTATTGGAACTTGAAGCAAAGAGATACTTGAATTATAAATAGCTCCTTTGAGAACGAATGAATTTTACATTCTGCCTATATTATTTTTTGTAATACGATTGTCTCACCCCAGGCTAATTCTAGCTTATCTCTCATAAATATGTCACTTTCTACCTCAGAGCAGAGTCTTCATGCATGCCCGCCCCGCTTGGTTACAGCTCTCAATTGTATCTGAATCTGGGCTGGTACAAAACCAGATGCCTGATTGCCATACAACCTCTTATAGACATCATGAATGAACACCACATCTCCCTCCTACGAGTTCTGTCAAAAGTAGCATTGGGTTTTGGATATTGACGTTTTTTATTTAATTCTCTACCAGTGCCGCATCGCTGCCTACGGCAAATATCATTTTAAAGTATTAGCAAATAATACTTAGAGAAAATTTAGCAACCTACAATTAACATGCTCGATAAGATTTTTGAAAGAAATACCCAAGAAGATCTATTAATAAGTGCCACACTACCTCCCAACGCAAGACACATGAACAAGTAGAGGGATGCATTGAGTCAAATCGATGGTCAAAATTTTTTTTTTATCTAATTAGGGCTAAAACATGACGTTCTACTAAGTAGCGGTGTTCTATATTTTAACCTTTTTGTCCTAGATCTTTTATATCAAGTCGATAACGATTAAAGGGAGTAGCCAAGTGCTTTATGATCTCTGAAACTAGAAGTTGTATAGTTTCAATAGCTCTGACAGTCAAGTTGCGGCATACACTGCATTATTGCTCTGGAAAAGGTTGAAGATACAGCGTAAGGGATAAGGTACATACATTGCTTTCATCCATTAATTTAGATAAAGTGGTACGTTTAACTAAAGGGCGCTTGTTGATTAGTCGTTTTATCTGTTAGTGATTATGTTCAACGTCTCTGGATAGGGATGGTATTAGCTCATCAATAATTTCAATCAAGGGTTGGTATATTTGCTAGATGATCAACCCAATTATTGTTCGATGTAATATGAGCTGGAATGAACAAACTAGGAAGGACTTCATATTTACAGCATTCTTATTTTATTTTATTTTATTTTTTTTCCTTCATTTTTTTTGTAAGCTGTGAAGCCATGCGGTGGCAGAGGCACATAGAAATATATATTCGGATTGTACATATTAAGCATGAGCTAATACTTATACCTATTTCGCTGACATCAGAATTATGTTCACAAAAATTATAATAAATCTGCAAATATGGATGTTGTCATATAAAATTGGCACTGGTATTTGGAGGCGCTGAGCTGGAGTTTAAGCTTTTAATGTGGCAAGTCAATGCGGATGTCAGGGGCTGAACCCGTAGAACCTATAATAGGCCAACGTACAAAAAGCAATCGTTGAAGAAAGAAAGAGGAAAAAAGCGGGTAAACAAACAAGGTAAAAGTCACGTGATGCGACTCGAGGGCCAATGGGGCCTGTAGGGCACGTAGGACTATAGGGACAGTAGGGTCAATTGGCCTGAGAGGTTAAACGGGCTCCTACCTGGCCCGTTATAGTGGAGGTCACTTGGATATGAGGCTGTTATACCAGTATCCATATACCAGGCTCGCGCAAGATATTGTATTTTTTTTTATTCTCTGAACCATTGTTTATACTAGACCAATAGTAAGATTATCTAGGTGGATGAGATCGTTTATTAGTCTAACTGTTCGAGTACCAAGTTTTGGACACGTCTGAGGAGGGCTAGCACGTGTGAGGAGTTATAGGCGGAGTGTTCAATAGGTGGGATAACTACGTAGGCCTGAATACTGTAATCAATTAGATATCAAGCTTGGTATATCTTAGGTGGGGATAATTTCAAGTTTATAGGATAAACAGTCGTTAATCAGATCCCGTTCTTTTACCTTTTCACCAACTGCTATACTAGGACACTACTAGTGTATAGTTAAATGCATCTATACTCAGTTAACTAAGTACTAGTTGATTATAAATCTGTATATGGGCGGTAATAACCAAGGCATGGTGGCAAAACAGGCGAATCCGTCATCGAAAACCAAGTGTGTTTTGCCTCTAGTAGAAATAAATCATGAACAATAAGGTACCCAGCATGGACTACGGAGTACGGAGACCTAGGTAATAGTGAAAATAAATTTGTAGTACATGCAAGGGGAAAAGGCTGGATTGATCCAAAATCCCCGCATCTTGCTTATCAGTATATCAATACAGCCAAGCCAAACATTACTTGGATAGGAAGGCTTCCAGGCTTCCAGCACTTGCTAGCTGGAAAATATTCGTGGCGTGCAAAAGGAAATTGGCCACCCTCCAAATCCAGAAATTAATATTTGGTCCTAATATGGATAGAGCGACAGAGGAAATAGAACGCAGCTGGGATTTCTAAACAGATTATTATGGAGATATCTGTATCCTTGTAATCATACGATCCGACTTAAGGCGTGGAAGTGATTGGGGTTACGCGTGACTGTGATCGCACTAAACCTAAAATAGGTACAGTCAACAACAAAAGACGCGTGCTGCGCGTGGAACAGAAAAACATCAGGCCTCGCCAGAGGATTGGCTGGAGGCAAAAGAGGCAACAATGCCAGAACTAAGCTAATACAACTTTTTATTTCTTTCCCTCACCCAATAAATTTAGCTATCGCGAACATATCTCATCTTCCCCAAATCCAGCTCATGAAAACGATCCATTCTAGAAACATAACAGCGCACTGTCTCAACCCGCAAGGGAAGTTCCTCGGGCGATTTATTTAGTGAGGAGGGCTGCATACCGCAACTTCATCAGCCCCTCCGTCCATCCCATCCCTTTCTTCCTCTCGCCCTCGCCCTCCTTCGCGTGGCGTCATTTTGGAAGACCTTAAACCTTCTATCACCCCTTGCGCAGTCGCCTTTCCGTTGTTATAGGGCCATACCAAGGGTTTAAAGAAAGAAAGGGAGACGGAAGGGAGTCGAAAGCCGCAGTTGCTGATTCCCCTGCTATCAACTTGAATCGGCCCGCCGCCTGCGTCTCTCCGGGCTCTATCTCCTTCTTGCGCACCGTCCTGTGTTTGTTGTTGTCTTGGAGCTCTCGTGTCTACCTCATCGCGCGTATTGTTTCATTCGCTCCTGCAGTCTCGCGACGCGCCTGCTTATTTTGACATCTTTGTTGTCACTTTGAAACATCCCTGTTGAGTCGAATTCGTCCCAGGCGCCAAAGGACAGAGTGAGCGCCGACACTGTATTTTAGGCGCGTGACTTGGTGCGCGCAGGTGTATGAAGGGGACTTCCACTGTTCCCCCCACCTTACGCAGTTATTCCCAGGTACAGAGGCATTAATCAGTTGGTTGGATGCTTTTCAACCTCAGAAGTATCTAGTGGGATGTGCATCCGTTGCCTGTTTTGTATAGCCGACTAGGTTTTGTCCTAACATTCTGGCGCTTCACCCTACTTTCGCAGCATTCTACTACGGAATCTGTTTCCTTGCCACGACTCGCTTATGGACTAAGGCACAACAACCGCCATATTGCCATAAGCTTCTGTCCTCGAGCCCCTGTGTTGTCAACAATTGCCGCGGCTGGAGGGCTTCGTATCTACCACGAACTGCACTCTCTTTACCAATTCGCTCCGCTTCTTGGTCATCATCATATTTGGATCTCTTCAACCCGTCCGTATTTACAACCCTGCTTTGACTTTCTAACACCACATCATGGTTGCGACTTTCTCGCCGCATCGTGATGCAGGCGGCACGCTACATTTGCCGTCTCACACTGGAATCCATCATGTTGACGCCAGTTCGGCTATTCGACAATTGCGCCGTTCACTATCAAGATCACCTTCCAAGAGCTCAAATTTTTCACTTCTCACCTCCCGAAATCACTCGCCTTCAAAAACAACTCCATACATTTCCTCCCCTTTGTCACCTTCGCGGCGGTCTTCGCATAACAGCTTTGTACTCTTTCCTAGTTCCTCTCACCCATCACCATTTGCTGTGCCATATCCACCAAGCGCCAAAATCTCAAGGCCTGCCATGCGCCGCGTGCGCACCTCTCCCAGAAGCCCTGTTAAACGTGCCTTGAACATTTCTGCGGACCAAGGGAACGCGAAACCTTCACAGTCGATTCCAACAACGCCGGATGTGGAGAACTTCCCTTCAATACAGGAGCCAACCGCCCAGTCGGCGGATAACATCAGCAAAAATGGCTACGTACCTAGCGTGCCAGCATGCCCGGAAACGACGCTTTCCCCTCGTCCAACACTGTCCCGGGTCGAGAAGCGGCGGAGCGGGACCTTCGGGTCTTTTGCGACAGTTAGCCCCCTAAAACGCAGCGACGGTATTATGAACCTTGACCGCGCTTCACGGGGCAGTCCTTCAGCCAAAAGGCGGAGCGTTCAGGCAGCCAATGTCTCTAATGAGTTCAGCATCTTTGATGGGGAAGCGACTCCGACTACTGTTGAAGAGTCTGTAGGCGAGACACTAGCAGAAGATGTAATAACTTCGTTTCCCACTACCATTAGCCCTTTCAGTCCTTTCGCTACGATTCCAAAACGCTCGTCTTCTTTGCGACGCTCGACGCTTCAGCAACGTCAAAGTGATCGTTCCCTTTTCTCTCGGGCAAAGGCTATGGGCGAGTCTGAATCTTATGAAACCGGAAATCGTCCGCGCCTGTCTTTGGATAGTAACCTCTTTCAACCAAATCGTGATAGCTTGTTCTCTCCTCGGCCTGTACCGGGCAGTCCCCTATTTACAACATGTACTGGCGCTGAACAGACTCGCTCTGCTGCCCATCCGCTCTCAAGGACAATTACGCAATCCTCATCGAGCTCAAGTCTGGTAGACGACTCGCCAACACATGAACCTATTCACAAGAATGAGCGTCCGAGAGGGGTGTTCAATTTCTCCAAGTCGCTTCCAGCAGGTGCCACTCGGCCTACAATTCGTCAACTGACCCGTGAAGATTCAACATCCTCCATCGATTCATTTGCTACTCCAGAGAACTACAAGCTAGTAAAGCCTCTGCCAGCTGCGTTCATGTCCACGGGTCTTATCTCTAAAAAGAACCGCAATGCTGAAGACCTTCAGAACATGATTGGCCTGAGCAAGAATATGCCTGATACCCCGTGCAAACGGCCTATCAATCTATTTCCCGCCGCACAGAAACCACAGCCCGAGCTATCGTTAGGAAAGTCAACATTGCTTCATCAGTCAGACGCAGGACTTCAGTCCCCATCCGACCCTCTTACCACACGTCCCAAGCCAGGCCAATTTGGGCGAGGTATGGGCATCTTTGGAAACCCCTTCAACCGGCCTGTGGCTTCACGCCGTGGTAGCTTTGTGAGTGTAGACGGAGATGAGGGGATGCAATCTCAGTCACCATCAGGCAGGCATGATAGCCAACTACTAGGTGAATATGACTTTCCACCGACACCAACTAAACAGTCTTTTTTCCCCTCGCGCACTTACCCACCGGCTGTCTCGCAAATAGCATCTCTCGAGAGGTTGTCCGAGGCCATGGGAACTAGCTCAAGCCCTCTACATGACAGGTTCCAACGTGAATCACCACATACTCCTCAAGAGCACTTCTTTCCTCCTGACCCAAGTGGTCTGTCAATTTCAGCACCCAATGACCAGCACTCTGTCAAAGCGGATTTCAATTCATCCAACCTGCCAGCAACCCCTACAGGACCACGCGAGTCTTTGCTGCAGTCTGGGAAGCGGCCTAGTTTGCCATTGAATGGATATCATGCACCTGACGTCGACCAGAGTCTCACTTCGCGCTTCGAGAAGGTCGAGCTTACGGGTACGGGGGAGTTTTCTCAAGTGTACCGTGTTTCTGAGCCCCACAAGAAATTATCGTCGATATTTTCAAGCGACCCTATGTCTCCAAAAATCTTACAGGAGCAGGTGTGGGCGGTCAAGAAATCCAAGCAGCCGTACTCCGGACTTAAAGACCGTGAGCGCCGCATTCGTGAAGTAGATGTGCTTAAGGCTTTAACAAATTCCGACCACATTATTTCTTTTATGGACAGCTGGGAAGACAATGGCCACTTGTATATCCAGACGGAGTTCTGTGAAGAGGGCAGTTTGGATGTATTCCTTGCCCATGTTGGTCTCAAGGCTAGGTTGGATGATTTTAGGATCTGGAAAATATTGCTTGAATTGTCCACAGTATGGCTGACCCCTTGATTCTCATGAAATCTCGGCTGCAAACGGTTCTGCTAACACCAATAGGGATTAAAACACATCCATGAAATGGGCTTTATCCACCTTGACCTAAAACCAGCCAATATCCTAATCACCTTTGAAGGTGTTTTGAAAATTGCCGACTTTGGTATGGCAACGCGTTGGCCAGCAGAGCACGGAATTGATGGCGAAGGGGATCGTGAATACATCGGCCCGGAGATCTTGATGGGTCGCTACGACAAACCGGCAGACATTTTCTCCCTAGGTCTGATCATGTTTGAAATCGCTGGAAATGTTGAACTGCCCGACAATGGCCTTTCGTGGCAGAAACTTCGGAATGGTGATATGAGCGATGTTCCTAGTTTAACATGGAGCTCTGGGACCAGCATCTTTCGTGACGCATCTGGGAACCCGGTTCCCGGGGAATCATCATTCGAAGAACTCTGCGCCTCGGATTTTGGTGACGATACGTTTGGTGAAAATGGGCTCCTCGGCAAGTCTAGTGAGCGCAAAGCCGTTCCCCTCGCTCGGTCTGGCGAGTTGGTTGATCCTCCAAGCTTTATGGTCGACGCCGGCAATGAACAAGCTTTGGACAGGATTGTACGGTGGATGATATCCCCGGAACCACTTGATCGGCCCACAGCTAATCAGATCTTGGAAACGTATGGTGTCCAATTCGTGGAGCGTCGACGCCGTGCCGGGGCTACGGTATATGAAGGCAATTGGGGCCCTGCAGACGAAATCCTCGCCGAGGATGCCGAAATGATCGACGTATAATCAGTGCTATTTGACATACTGGTGCATTTGGTTGGAGTTGGTGCTTTCTTTACAATAGCATTTTATGATGGCGTTAGGGTGGGTATCTGGGTTTTTGATATCTTACGTGCCTCTGCTCCTTGACTACGGAGTGGCATATGGTGGATACTAATGTGCGATGGAAACGTCATATAATGTACTGCGGAAATAACGCGTACACTTCTTGTTTTCAAGTCTCATACACTACCAACCACTCTTTGCACGACTCGAAACAGTCCAGTTCGACTAACAGACTGGAGCTCGATGCGAAAGGGTTTCACATTCCTTTGATCTTTACTGGGTTTCCTTTGTTTTTTCACCAATTTAGCGTTGATGCTGCTTTTCTGCATGTGACTGAACCATGGCTCTTGTATGATCGTTGAAAAGACTCCTGCACTTGATGTATCAAACCTTTTTTTTTTTTTTTTTTTTTTTTTTTTTTTTTTTGTTATCTTGAATTCTCTGATCATGGGTTGCGGCGGGAATGCCAGCCTTAATACCTTGATGTGTAAATTTTTTTTTTGTCTGTACGCTTGGCGGTTTAATGGCTACCATCACTTTCTTATATTTGTGACTCCTTTTCATTTGCGACTGTGGTATTCGATTTTGCGACTGTTAGTTTCTTCGTTTCCCTCTTGTTTTATATGTGTGTGGCCGATGAAACAGTCGATATGTGATCAAGCGGGCTTGAGAGCAGGTAATGCTTGTGATTTATACTCTTGAATGCGAACACTTCTGGACGCAGTATTTGCGGTAGATGAGCCAGAGTTGCTGTTTGATATCAACAGGGTCCTATTCCATGTAGAGACAAGTTACTGTATGTGGGAATGAAAACGATGCTGTTTCAGAAGGGATGTTGGATTCTCGCCACTTGCGGGTGTCTTGGCGACTCAGGGAGTTTCTTCGCAGTACCGTGCACTTTAGACCTACGACTACTAGCATCCCATCCAACACACTAGCCCCCCTCACTTGTTCCCCCCATCTACTGCTGTTTGTAGCAATTTCTTCTATTTTGTTCATATCCGATTGTCTGAATACTTGGGGAAATTTACAGCCGAGTCGCGACGATGTGCCGGTCAGCTTGAGAGACTACGAAGAGGAATAATACGCGCTTGGGACCGCTCCCCTTGAACTTCCAAACTTGCTCAGCAGACCAGGGAAAGAGACCAATAGAACCCTCGATTTAGATATACATATTTTTAACCAAACATGGACAACCGGACGTTTGTGTCGGATTCCCTTCTTCGCCTTACCAACGCGTCGGATCCTACCGTTGTTGACTTCGTGCTTGCGACCGCTAGCTCCGCCAAGTCAGCAAATTCACTGCAGGAAAAACTTGTTACTTTTCTGGATAGCGACTCGAGTGACATTGGTACGTTCTGCAATGAGCTGTATGGACGGGTCAATACAGGTAGCAAAAATGGAGCCGGCGATGGTATGCCGAGCAAAGCGCGTGGAGATATCGCGCCAATGAAAAAATACCGGCTTTTGGATATGGAGGATGAAGTTCCCGAATCCGCAGGCTCACTGGGACCGACAAACGTCGAGGCGGAAAGGGACCGGCGGAGACGAAGGGACAAGGGTCGGAATCGTGGCGAAGACAAAGAGGAAAAAAGGAAGCGTGAACGTAGTCGCGAGGATCCAGGCAGCTGGGACCGGCCTCAGTCTAAGAAGCTGCGGCGACGGGACGTGAATGATTTCGAAGACCGTTGGGGCGACGAAGAGATCCCCGACGACGAACGGTACGCCGAAACGCAAGAGCACGATTTCCAGCACGATTTCCAAGAATCACCCTCGAAACGTACACGCCTAGAGGATGGGTCCGCTTCACCACGGTCAACTATATCTGCGGACCTAGACCCCGAAATAAGGAAGGAGATGGAACGAAAGCGAGATCTGGCGGAGCGAGATGAGTTTGCTAAACGGTTAGCTAAGAAGGACGATAGAAGTACCAAAAAAATAGTTGAGGATCGGACGAGAGCTGGTGAAGCTGCTCGCAGACGGACTTTGGCGGATGATGCATCTGCCAGAGCAGCCGTCATGCCAGACCTGCGACTACGCTCCCGACAAGAGTATCTCAAGAAGCGCGAGACAGAGCGACTAGCTCTTCTGCGCAAACAGGTTGCGGAGGAAACTGCTGAGTTGCGGGAGAACCCATCCTTGACGCGCAGGGAGAAGGAGGAGTTTGCCAGGAATCGAGAAGTGCTCCGAATTGCTGAGGAACGACTTCGAATCGATGACCACCGCGATGGCTACATGATGCCGGAGGACTACATTACGGAGAAGGGGAAAATTGATCGAAAGAAGAAAGAAGAAGCTCTCTATAAGCGATATGTTGACCGCGACGACCACGGACAAGAGCGATTCATAACAGAACATGAAGAGTGGGAGATGGAGCAAACGGCCAAGGCAAAGGCTCAAATCAGCAGGGCAGAGTTTGTTGATGAAGGTGACTATGAATATGTCTTCGATGATTCGCAAAAAATCAATTTCATCATGGACGCCAAGATGGAGGGCACTCAAAAACCTATGACCCAGGAGCAACGAGCGCTCCAAGAGAAACTCGACGCCGCAGAGAAGAAGGCCGCGTCAATTGAAGATACGCGGAAAAGCTTGCCAATTTACCAATTCCGAGACCAGATCATCCAAGCGGTCCAGGACCACCAGGTTCTCATCATCGTAGGTGAAACTGGATCTGGTAAGACCACTCAAATCCCCCAGTACCTTCACGAGGCCGGGTATACCAAGAATGGGATGAAGGTCGGGTGTACGCAACCTCGACGAGTTGCTGCCATGAGCGTTGCGTCTCGGGTGGCGGAAGAAATGGGAGTGAAGATTGGCAATGAAGTAGGATATGCCATTCGATTTGAGGACAACACGAGTGACAAGACCGTTCTCAAGTATATGACTGACGGCATGCTGTTACGTGAGCTGTTGACAGAGCCTGACTTAGGCCAATACTCGGCGCTGATGATTGACGAGGCGCACGAGCGGACGGTGCCCACAGACATCGCCTGTGGTCTCTTGAAAGATATCGCCAAGGCACGGCCGGATCTGAAGTTGTTGATTTCGTCTGCAACTATGGATGCGCAGAAGTTCCAGCAGTACTTTGATAATGCGCCCATATTCAACATACCTGGCCGTCGGTATCCCGTGGATATCCATTATACCTCGCAACCGGAGGCGAATTATCTGGCAGCCGCGATCACAACAGTATTTCAGATTCATATCACTCAGGGTCAGGGCGACGTTTTAGTGTTTTTGACCGGCCAGGAGGAGATCGAGGCGGCGGAGCAAAGTCTACAGGAGACGGCGCGAAAACTCGGGGGCAAGATCCCAGAGATGATTATTTGTCCGATTTATGCCAACCTGCCCTCTGAACTCCAGACTAAGATCTTCGAACCTACCCCACCAAAAGCACGAAAAGTGGTTCTGGCCACCAATATAGCAGAGACCAGCTTGACTATCGATGGAATCGTCTACGTGATCGATCCGGGCTTCGCCAAGGAAAATGTCTTCAACCCTCGGACTGGGATGGAAAGTCTAGTGGTGACACCGTGCTCGCGAGCATCTGCCAACCAGCGGGCAGGTCGAGCTGGTCGAGTAGGACCAGGCAAATGCTTTCGTTTGTACACCAAATGGGCCTACCATAACGAGTTGGAGGAGAGTACGACGCCGGAGATTCAACGAACGAACTTGAATAGCGTCATCCTGATGCTCAAGTCGCTTGGGATCGACCAGCTGCTGGAATTTGATTTTATGGACCCTCCACCAGCCGAGACGATCATTCGTGCATTGGAACAACTGTATGCGCTGGGCGCGCTGAACGACCGGGGCGAGTTGACCAAAGTCGGCCGGCAGATGGCAGAGTTCCCTACGGACCCCATGCTGGCCAAGGCGATCCTAGCAGCGGATAAGTACGGCTGCGTGGAGGAGGTTCTGTCCATTGTGTCAATGCTAGGCGAAGCTAGCGCTCTGTTCTTCCGGCCCAAAGACAAGAAGATCCATGCGGATAGCGCGCGTAATCGGTTCACCATCAAGGACGGAGGCGACCACTTGACTCTGCTCAACATCTGGAACCAGTGGGTGGATTCCGACTTCAGTTACGTTTGGGCCAAGGAGAACTTCCTGCAGCAGCGCAGTCTGACGCGGGCGCGTGATGTGCGCGACCAGCTAGCGAGGTTATGCGATCGAGTTGAAGTGACGGTCAGCACTTGCGGATCGACCAACCTGATTCCGATCCAGAAAGCCATTACTGCCGGGTTCTTCCCGAACGCGGCCCGGCTGCAGCGTGGCGGTGACAGTTACCGAACGGTGAAGAATGGCCAGGTGGTTTACCTGCATCCATCCAGCACGCTATTCGAAGTGAATCCTCGATGGGTGATCTACTTTGAGTTGGTTCTGACGAGTAAGGAGTACATGAGGAGCAACATGCCGTTACAGGCGGAATGGCTGGTAGAAGTGGCGCCGCATTATTACAAAAAGAAGGACCTGGAAACTCTAGGACTAGAGAAGAAGATGAAGGGCACAGGGGCAGCGGGGGAGAAGAGCCGTGATTGAGGCCATGGTTCATTGTCAAAGTGTATGTAGCAGTATGTACTCTATATAGTGGCTATTGCATATAGTTGGATCGACCCAATAATTAACCATCTGACACCTGAGAAATCTGGCCAGAGTCAATGCATGTATGACCAATCACAACAGTTGTATTTCAATCGACCGCGGTTCCGACAGGCAAGTTACCTCGGTTGTTTCTGACCGGGACCTCCGCTTGAACCCCAGATCATCCATCCGTCAGTGATTATATACCTACTCCTTTCCAACTCATCCAGCAAGGATATCAAAAAAGACCGAAGTCCAATTAACAAGAAAAAGAGGCAACCAAAACTATACACAAAATGTCTCTATCCTTCACCCCTGCCGACGTCGCCTCCCACAACACCCCTGACAAGGGCCTCTACATCATCATTGATAACAGCGTCTACGACGTGACCAAATTCGTCGACGAGCATCCCGGCGGTGCTAAGATCCTGAAGCGCGTGGCGGGAAAGGATGCTTCCAAACAATTCTGGAAGGTACGTACTTGTCCCACCTATTTGTCTGTATACCTGTCTAGAGGGTAGATGGCTAGTGCCATGTGATCGGGGGGATGGTCTTCGGACTGAGTACCTAGGCTAACGATCTGGCTGTCCGACTGGTGTAGTACCATAACGACGGCGTTTTGAAGAAGTACTCGGCTAAGCTGAAAATTGGAGATGTCAAGGATGCGGCGAAGCTGTGAGCCGGGGGGAAACACTCTTGGGTGGCATGATCTTTTGATAGACATAAACTTATTAGACGAAGTGCTCGCTATAAATGGGGACAGACTGATATGTAATGATGGGTTCTTACACTGTATGTATGTGTACGTGTATTTTTTTTTTTTTTTTTTTTTGATTCTTTTATATGGATTACTTGGTCAGCGAAATGACATATGGTAAGAGTACATAGACTTTGTATCTCTCTTAACATTATATTATGATTGAGCTTTCCTGAACCGAAAACAAATCAGGTGGTATAATATGTCCAGCAATAAACGAAGTGGTATCAATATACGGTGGAAATCACGCTTTTCCCACATGCAAATAACAATTACATACAATCAGTCAATATAGTGTATCCTAATGCCATTTTCATATACAGTGCCTGGAAGCCTTTTCACGGAGATGAATACTTAAAACCCTCGGAAAGGATCGTCATGGTGAAAATGCTCACCATCCTCATAGGTTGGATACTCGGGCTCATGGTATCCTTGGCTTCCCACACCCCAAGGACTAGACGCCTTACTCCCATGCCAAGCACGAGTGTTGCGGATCCGGTTGGACTCCGTCTGGTCAATGAATGCCTCCATTCGAACGGTGCCAATCGCATCAAAGAAGTTTCCTGTTCCGGTGCTGGCTTCCGAAGTGCGCCGGCTGTAGCTACTCCGGCCACTATTAATAGTCGCCGGGCCATGGGATGTGGGCCCGTTAGCATCGGAGCCTCGCGTGCTAGGAATGGACGGCATTGTACCCTGGCTAGAGAAACTGCGGATCGCTGGCATGCGGGGGTTCGTGTTGCTTCGTTTGCGCGAGTGGTTAGAGAACCGAGGCACTGTGGGCGGATCGGCTGCATCCATGGAGTTCGTGGGTTCTAGGCTAGTAGGAAGCTCTGGGACTGGCTCCGGTTGATTTAACGATCGCTTCCCCATGGGTCCTGGTCGAGGTCGACCTTTGGCAATTCGGATCGAATCCCGGATTGGATTTCGACGCAACGTCGCCGTTGAAGCGGGCGACGTGATTTCTTCCTGCGGCACCGGTGGGAGAGCAGCAAGGTCATGGAGACCCGTGGCAGAGTGGCTCAAGAAAGACAGAGCTGTAAGCCAGACATAATGTCGCTCGACGCTCATTGCAGTAAATTTCAGGGCTCGCTTTGGGGTCAGGATTAAGATGGAACGATTGAACTGGTTCTGCGAGTTGAAGCCCTTGGGGAAAGGGGTATCATCTTTGACGTCCAGGACTGATTGAATAATTACTACTCCTAATAGTTTAGCAATGTCTTTCTCTCTCGTCAGCACTTGAAGGGATAACTTACGCTTTCTGCCACTCTTGCCAAGCAGGGCCGGCCCACTGGTGGGCTGCTTGCTGCTCCACATGACGGCTCGCTCGTACGGGGCCAGCCAGACCCATCGCTTGTGCCTCATTCCACTGTTGGTGATGTTGGCAGAAACCTCCTCGGCGTTCCGACCGTCCCAATTATCCTTGGATTCACCAACTCCAAACGATTTCCTCCGTACATACTTGAGCATCCATTCCCCAACCATAGTCTGGGCAATCGCATCAACGACACTCGTTGGCTGAACGGATGTTGCCGTTGAATCTTGCCTCTCATGAAGCAGGCTGCGAGGCGGGCCCGCACGACGCGTTGATCGTCTTTGGCTAGCTTGTCGGTCCCGAGGTGCCGTGATGTCATCGAATGGAAGGGGTGGTTGATGTTGAGGACTGTCCGGGCCATAAGAAGAACCTGACATCGGGGAAGAGAGGCTTCCAGGTCGGTGGTGCTCTGATGGAGCCATTGCAGCTGCAGATCGTACTCGCCGCAAGGTTGGACGACGGATAATCTGTGGCCGGCCATCGGAGTATTTTCGGAAATTGGGTGGAGTTGGGCTCTGGCGACCATCACTCCCACAGCGGGGGAATTTCCTTGAGCTGAGTCGGATTGGAACTGGAAAGGGAGGCGTAATGCTAGACGCTCTACTGGCACTGCCGCTGTCAAGGCTCGGCTCACTTGGGCTTCGAGGCCGTATCTTTTGATGCGCAGCTGCTCCACTGGAAATCATCGCGGCTCTTCGGATATCCTGCTGACGGATCCCCGATGATGTTGCCCCGGGCCGTGGACCTGGTTGAGAAGACCCGGCCAAGTCTCTGTCTTTTGGCCTATTCTCAATCGATGCGTCCAACAGATGAGAATCGGGGTCAAGAAGGTGCTCACTGAGGTCGGGCAGTGTTGGCTCATCCAAGCTAGGCCGTTCTTTAGTTGAGACCAACTTGCCCCGCTTTAATGTATACGAAGCAAAAGGCCTATTGAGAAGGGCGTCATCGGTGAATATGTCTTCTGATTCCCGAGGTCCATCATCATCACTCAGTTGCTCAAACCCGGCGAAGAGACTGCTTGATCTAAAAGGCCGCCTTAGGTCCGTCCTCAAGTCTTCAGACAAAGGTCCATTGTCGTTGTTGCCAGGGTAGGCTTGTACATGGCTTTGAATCTTGTTTGATGGCAGGGGTTTCGGCCACTTCTCTTGGACAGAGGATGGGGGCTTAGTCCTCGCAAGGGGGGCATGGTATGCCTGAATCGGAACATCTGCAGTACCTGCTCTGAGAGGTAGATCTTGTATGGCAGAGGGAAGTAGCCTCGCTGGTAATTTAACAGGCCGCTGGTCAATTCGAATTCCCTCTGTCTGTGTGCCCACTGTTTGAGTTTTAACGGCTGGCTTAATATCAACCTGGCAAGAGACGCTCTTGGTCTGTGGTGGGAGAACAACGCTTCCTCGGGGTGATGGGGGATTGGAGCATGGTGGATGGATCGCAATCATTGGAATCGCAAGATCCGGTGATGCTGAGCCATTATTCGGAGGCAGACTAACCCTTTCTGAATCGGGTCTAACATCTGTGAGCTGCTCTGTCTGGACTGAGACGGACGCCACCAATACTGTTTCAGGCTCTTGCGGTGGGGGTGATGATTCGTCGATCTTAGGCGTGAGAGGTGGAGTGGGAAGATATTCGACCGTCTGGCAGGACGCCGATACCATGTCAGCTGAGATTGTTGATGTACTGCTGTCCTTGATCGACCGCGGGTTACAATTCCGATTACCTGCATTTTCTTCTGCATGTCGGCTCAGAAGCAGGCCTTTAGTGACGGCCAGCTTCGGCGAAGCGGGAGGGGAGTATTGGATGCCGGTGTCTCGATACATGAGCGACACCGGGGACTTCCAGGGGCTGCTTGGCTCTGAAGCACCATCATCTCTAGTTACTTGGCCACCTGGATTGCTGTGAAGAGAAAGACCAAGGATTTTCCTCGCTTTCGCACCCATTCCGATTGTATGAGATAGATGAGATTGGACCGACATTGGACGTTCCTCAGGAAGTGCCTCGGGGGAATCAGGCACTAAGTCATTATCCAGCGAGCCGAACTCTTCGTCCTCATCGAATGCCAGCTCCTGGGCAAGGTTGAGGCCTTCACTCTCGCTACCTGGGCTGTTGGCAACGCTGGCCACCGAGTACCGAACATTATGGAAGTCATCCTCATTGGTGCTCAAGCTTGTGACGCTTGTACGGCGTAGTCCTTGGCTGCTGCCAGAACGAACACTTGCCGAATCACTTTCTTTCCCAGTTCCTTCTTTGGCCGTATCATTGGCACCTGAGTCAACGTCAAAAGGCCCAGCCGCCTGTGCTGCTGCCACCTCATCTACAACGACTCGGAGACGGCCTTCGACTACATGGACCTTGCGTTCCAGATTCCTGCGCTCACTCTCCCATGACTGCTTCTCGCGCTCCCAGAGCTTCTGTGTCCTCTCTATCTCCTCTTCCCGGCTGCGGATTCGCTTTTGGGCCTGCTCCAGCTTCTTGCGGACATCCGAAATACTATCCTGAACTTCATCTCGCTCCCTGGTGAGTTCAGTGAGAGCTGAGGAAGTACCGCCTTCCAACGATTGTAGTTGATGCCTAAGTGACCGGTTTTCTTTGTTGCTTTGCGATAAACGAACGGCGATGTTTTCATTCTCTGTTCGCGACTCGTCCAGTGTGCGTTCCAGCATGTCAATGGCCCTAGTTTTACTTTCTGCTTCTCGCCGGAGTGACAGAATCTCCGACACGAGGGAGGCATGCAGCGTTGGTGTGAAACGCCGTGGATCCAACGGTGATAATGTATCCTCGTCAGCGACATCGTCAAAATCAAACCTCCCATTGGGCGAGAAGTTCTGGAAGGGCAGAGAGGTCGGTGATGACGATGCGCCGGGAGAGGAATCATCCCTCGCATGCATGGAAGGTGTCGTTTGAGGGGTTGCGGATGGGGTTGGGAATGCCTTTGACGGCGGGCTCTGGGGGGTGATGTCCGTAGCCATCACGACTATAATCACATCGGAATCCACAAGACCATCACTGCATTATAGATCTACAGCCAGGATATTTAGCAACTAGATCTCGCAGGCCAATGGTCGGTTTATTTCCTCATGCACAGTTCATCGGGGATTATACGCCGGCGAAGTAAAGTTTTCCGGCAGTGAGGATGAGACAATTAGAGCGCGGGCCAGCTGTGGCAACAATAGATATCCCCACTCCTATAAGTTTTGCATTAGCGATATGCGGGTACGATTGAGGATAGAGTGTGGTTGAGGGCAAAGGCAGGCAGGGGAATAGACGTTGCTGCGTCCACCTACTTTTCGAATCAGCTTTCGAGAATGTTTCCCAGGATCGTCTTCGTAAACTATCCTGGCGTTGCCCAACCGGAGTCGAGAAACTTTTAGGTGCACAGTTCAATCGGAGGATACTTTCCTAGCCACTCAGTGGAAGAGGGAAGGGAGGGGACGAGGAGAAAGAAGTAAGAAAAACAGAAACAGGGAAGAAAAAGAAAGAAAAAGTATATGCACAATTGAATAGAGTGCTCGAGGCGGGGGGGGGGGGATGGCAAGAAATTGAAGATCAAACTCCAAGACGGCAAGGAAACTGGCGGAGTCTGTGAGGGTACTGCTGCTCCGTACTGACGATGGCTTCCCACCAACCCAGCTCATGCGAGCCTAGATTCTAGACGAAGATCTGAAAGAGAGGGGGGAACCGGGAAGAAATCCGTTAGATTACGGCCGGTCAAAAGCTAACTGACTAGCTAGCCTGGTGACATGTGTCCGAGCATCGAGATAGACACGGCATAATGGCAAGCCATGGCTACGATACTACATTTGAAATAGGCGGTTTGCTCATTCAGGGGTGTTCGTTAGGGGATGGGGAACGGAGTGTCGACACTCTCTCCGATTAGATAGAACGAGAGGGAGCAATAGAACCGTTCCACCAGAGCTGCCATTGACTGGCTTCCATCATGGAGCAAAACCCGAGAACAAAAGAAACAAAAAAATAAAAAAAAAAGAGGTAATGATGGCAAGGAGACGACGATCACGAATCAGGCTGCGTGATCGCAGGTGGATGCAATCCACCGGAACGCGGGTGCGGATTAGACTGACTAGTCTAGGACGGATTGACTTGGAAGGAACGCGTCCAGCGCGCAGCAAAGAAAGAAAACTAATGAATTGAGCCAATAATTGTACCGATCGGGCGTGGAAAGGGGAAAGAGGATGGCGATATCTGAAACAAGGTGGCCAAGTATGTACTTGGTACCTTAACTGAGTGTATTATTATTGACTGGGCTGGCCAGCGAGTGCACAAGTCCCGAGAAAAATCGAAATCAAACAAAAAAGGAGAGACACTAGCCAGTTAAAAAGGAGGAGTCAGTTAGTCTGGAGATCGGCCATTGGCATCTGCAACTAATCAAAATATTAATCAATAATACTGAATGATAGGGCTTGTTTGGGGTTCATGTTCTCAATAGCTGATGTTCTTCCCGCTGGGGAAAGAAAATAAAATTACCTAGGGTATGTATGGGACTTAGTCTAGTCGTATTTGAAGGGAGAATAATGCTGATAAAATTCGAGTATTCTATATGAGTAGCATGGTATAGTATTATCTTCAGTCCCTACCTAGTACTCCAAGGGTCCTTCCTTGGTTGCCTGGTCAATGATTTTGCTGTTGCATTTCATTATTGTACTCCGTACTCCGTTGGGCCCGAATATTGATCATACGATGTTCCCTGGAGAGGTGAGACCATTTTTTTTAAAAAAAATTTTGCCTTGTTTTTTTCTTTTCTTTTCTTTTTTTGAGCCATGTAGAGAGGATCGTCAAGATGTAATTTCCAAAGATCCCGTAGTCTGTGTTTCAGGACTTTAGGAACCCAGATAGTTTGCTATCTGGGTGGGAAGCACTCCCTCCGTACGCTGATCGTATCCTATTTTCATCATTATCATTATTATTACTATCATTATCATCATGCAATGGTCTGTGGTACGGAATATATTAGAGAAATAAGGCTCAGGTGCAGCAGTTGAGATCGCCATGCAGGGTCAACCATGGTAGTGTGGCTGTTAAGGACTTGTAAATTTGGCGTGGGTTCTGGGTGACAGATGCGTGGCGTTTGGCCAAAACCCTGTGGCCTTTCCACCTTGTGATCTAAGCTCTATTTAGTTCACGAGCATAAGTACCTACTACTCAGAAATAGGTAATCTACTACTAAGGAAGCAATAAAGATTACAATATATCATTCTTATCCGTTCTGAAAATTTGTCTTTGTTGACTTCAAACATCCTTAGTCTAGGCCAATCTACTCCGTATGTACGTAGACATACATTTGTCAAGTCATTTGCTGGATTCGAACATCTCATTCGAAATACTCATGTAATGAAAGTGTTTTTCCAGTTCAGTTTTCCAAGACATAACAGCAGAGGTCAATAATGATAATCGTAGGTGATATACTCCTTAGATGGCATCATGCAATCTATATAGAACCATAAGACCACGCACCGTGATGCCAAGAATGTCAGAAATCATCGGAGGAAAAGAAAAAAAGGGAGCAGCCGGAAGAGAACCCTGGTGGGGAGCTTTCTTGCCCACTTTGAGTTCTCCACCCTTTCCGCTATTCAGCCTACCAGTCATGGCTCAACTTTGGACATTTCACTAACTCCATTTCGGAGATTAGGAGGAAGCTGACCCCTGCAGTTGCTGCTTGGTTCTTTTTTGGGCGGTTCCGAATGAAGTACTCGGTAAGTACGGGGTAGATGCAAATAATTAGCCCCCAACCACTATGCATATATCCAAATTTCACGACACACTGACTCAATGATGGTTATTGTTCTGCAGACTTGCATTGCATAAGTACTGTGTATAGATCCTACTTCTTTCCTGTGCATAGCGATGGGCCTTAAAATCTCCAATACTGACTGATGCAGAATTATGGTTGCTAAGTACTCTGTACTCCATATACTAAGTACTCCATATCCCGTGACTAGGGACCATCGATCCTGTGGAGCGATAAGTTCGATGGACGGCAGTCATCACATCTTAGCCCAGAATCAAATCGCATGCCGCTCAGAACGTGAACCACCTTGGTAAAAGACAACGTGGGTAAAGCTCCAAAGTGTTTAGTCCCTTGTTGGTGACCCACTCAACCAGAGGACCCTCAGTTCAGGGGGTATCAATGAATTGACAGGTCACTTCGATGGAGAAAGTACTGAGTGAACAGAAAGGTACCTATTGGCTGTGAAGGCCGCGGGACTCGAAAAGGCCGGACCACTAGGGTATTCCGCATTTCTTCTTTGTTCGTGTCAGGGTTTCTTACACAAAATAGTTCCGTTGGTGGAGATGCATGGAACTTGGATGTTAATAGACATTTAGCCTAGGATTGTGTTCATAATCACAGGTTTTGGCCGTTGTGATGCAAAATTAGAAAAGAGGAGTTCGATGGAATTGCACCGTTGAGGGGTCTCCAGGCTGCAGCTCTCAAGGAACATGCCAATGGATCCTCGCTGCCCCCTGGCCAATTAACGATATGAGGCGCACGGTTATGCAAGCGGTATTCAATCAATGCTATAAATCTGAAGCACTGGTCAAGGTGATAATGTGATAGATCCCAGGATCACCCGCGCGGCGCACGGCTTCTGAGATGGTCCACCTAGTATCCAAGTATGTATACTTATATGAACACCATCCAATTTGGCAATGGAGACGGCTTGTCATAAATGGGGCCATATAATATAGCGCCTCAGAACAAGCCACCAGGGTACCGGGAATAATAATGATAATCCAAGATTGATAACTCATTTCCCTTTAACTCTGCTGTTACAAGTTTGCTCTTCTAGCACAATCCACATATGCCACATGTATCGGTGCTAGTCGACACTTTGGAAGGTTTTCCTCCAATTAATCTGAATAGGTCAGGACACCCAATTTTTGTTTTTGAGTCTAAACTAGCCCCCACTGCTTCCCTCCCAGGAGAAGCTGAAACCGGAAACACTAGGGAATAGAGAATTAATAATCTAAGCGTAGGATAGATCAGCAGACATCGCGTAGATGAGGCATTATGGCTTATATTGTGCGATGCTGATGATTCAATAAGGGTGGACTATAATTTATTGATGGTAGACCTCTCCCTATGGCTTCGCTGTTGTTCCCCCCAGCTCTTCCGATATACGTACTCCGCAACCTGAATAATGTCCAGCATATTGGCTCACCTCTCGAAGAATAACTGGACGACATTGGGGTAGTTAACCAAGGAGAAAGGATGAATAATCACCTCTAGTCGCATTTTATTTCCGTCCATCTGATACGACACATTCCCCCAGGGAGGACGCTGTGGAACGCTGGTTCGGTGTCCCGCATCCATACCTACCTAATACACGAATCTAAGGTGACTTGCAGATGGACGAGCCTTGCACAGCGAGATACGCCATGCGGCCAAAAGGTTGATTCAGCGTGTCGATCGACGCGCTCCCTCAAGTTTCTTCGACTGTCGTTGAGTGGCGCCCATGTGTCACATCAGCCCTAGAAGTGACCGCCAAGCTGGCTCTCAACGATCCTCACGGATCCCTCTCCGCGGATGTGCGCACACGTGTCTCGGCAATGACTTCAGGATTGGCGGAAATCCTATGGCCGATTTACCTGGAATTTTGACTCGTCGGAGGCATTTGAATCTGTCGATCAGCATCTGTACGCGACTTTGCATGACTACTCCGGCAACGCCAGACAGAGAATGTGTTCACAGATCAGGAGAGATGGGAGTTGCGTGCTAGCCCTAAGATGTTGAATCACCGATTCCGGACCTGCACCCTATCCAACGGTAATACCAGCTTGTTGGAAGATCTCCGGCATCAGGGACATCTACCTTTTGCTGATCTGATCAGCGCTTGAAAATTTGGAGCGTACAAGCCATCGCCCCGGTGTACCGCCGCGCAGCCGACCGATTCGGGCTGGATCCAAAGGAGTGTGCCTTGGTGGCATCCCATCTGGGCGATCTGCAAGCAGCCAA